CTCAGCTTCTAACCACTTATGAGCCATCACTTGACATATACCTTCTTCAACGTCTTGGCTCAGTGTTCGGAATCCTTTTTAAGACCACAATATGATACCGAAGCGAAACAAACAAGTTTTCAACAATGTGATAGTAGAGAAAGAAGCAGTAAAATAAGAAGTTAGAGGAGTAAAAAAATTCACCTTTAAGCCTCATCCACGCATGCATCATCTCGTGAGCTAGAATCGAACCAGTAAGTAACCTAAACAAAATTCAGCAAAACCATCAATGCTTGAACTGTGACATAAGATCAATTCAGTGGAAGCAAAAAGAGTCTTTTTTACCTAGGGAGCCCGAATAAGATGAGAATGGCGGTAACTTCACATTGCCGTGTTAACTTGTAAGGCTCTGTAATATTCCCAGCCCAATTTCCTGTGCCGTGCTTTGATCGCTTTCTTACAGTACTAACAGTTTGTTCTTCTGAAAGGCAGAGTCCTCTTGTTTCCGGCATGTGATAGTGACCCTAAGCAGCACAATGAAAAGGTTTAATACTTGAGAAACAGAATGTGTCAATGTGATGATAGTTTCAAGTATTAACTTAGTATTAGATAATTGTCTTCTTTACTCACATTCTTTTCACCTTCTCTGGCTTCATTAAGTGCTTGCCTCTCAACCAAGAGGAGTGGAACTTCCTGCTCTACCTTCATGTTAAGTCCTTCATAGAAGTCTTGTATTTGCAAGTACAGAGGTTGGCATTGCATGGTGTCCATGACCGCTGAGTCCAAACACTCAAGGCAAAGTTTCCGTCCATCGTTAAGTTCAACATATCTCGTATTCCGTGGCTACAAAATAAACATAAGTTGTCAATTTCCGGCTAAATTTTTTTTTGACTTTGAGTAGGTGATGTATGTTTGGGGACATTTTAGGGAAGAAGAAAACCCACCTCCATTCTTTCACAACTGCAACATCTTGGGGTAGTATCGTGTTCGTGAGAAGGGCAATACTTTTGAACCCAAAAAGGATGTGCCCTATATTCAATAAGACCAGCATGATTTGTTGGAATCTGTTCAAAAAAATAACATTCGGAAAAAAGAAAGCAACAGACGATAAGTGCAAGATCCGGAAAAAAAAACAACATTTTTTATATATGGGTTTAAACAATAGAAAAGGCAAGAGATTTACATACAAAGTGGCTGCAGACATCACATTTTGGATGATATCTCTCCCTGTAACAAGCCTTGTGAAAAGGGTAGTTCCCTGATGTTGAAAACTATAAGGAAAAAAGGGAAACACGTTACAGATAAAATTTAAAGGTTAAGTACAACCAGAAAACAAATGAAAAGAATATGGATGAGCTTGGTTTCACCTCGTACTCAGAAATCGGCTGACTGCAGCCATAACATCGAAAACATTCTGGATGCCATAGTGAATTAAGACAATTCAGAAATCTTCCATGGCCAATCTCCATATTGCAACCAGCACAAATCCTATGCAGACAAGTTGTTGACAAGTTATTTAGCTGGACACTAAACTAACACATCCACCAAATTAAGCCAGCTAAATATGATAGGCTATCTACATACCTAAAATCCATTTGAAAATTAATAGGTCTTGGATAATAAATATCTCCATTTGCATATACATTTCCTCCTCCATACATATGTCCATTCCCATATAAATCTCCAGTCCCATATGCATTCCCATTATCATATGTACTTCCATTTTTGTGACGTGGTGAATTCCCAACTACCATACTTTCTTGTAGGGCTCTAGCAAGTTGCTCATCTTCATCCACTGGCGGCGTCGAGTATTTCCCTGTGTCCATTACTTTTTAAGAAAAATTGTAGCAAACCGAATCCGATAAAAAAACTATGTCATCATTTTTCTGTTTGGCTAAAACAATCATGAAAATGAACTCACCGCTTATACTTGTCTGTTCTTGATTCTCTTCTAAAAGAGACAATGCAATTGCACGGTCTATGTCTTCATATTCCTGGTCATTGGATGTATTATCCTAGTAAAAGAATAAGCACAAACGTTAAAATAACAGTACATACCAGCGTTATGTAACTATTCTTTTACTACTTCATGATCACCAAACTCAGAAAATTTAAAACAAAAAGTAAACAGTAACCATTTGGATCATACTAACCTCAGAGGTAGATGGTTCCTGTGTATGAGGCTCATCATTATCAGCATCTGTATCCGCACTAGGCTCATCATCATGTGAAGCAGTCGGATAATTCTCATAATAAACATGGTGATGGTGCTTATTATTCCCCACCCGGAGTCTTTGGTTAGAGCCTTTAAAGATCTTGTTAAACCAACCCATAATGCCTAAATAAACTATCTGCTCATAGGCAATGCAGCCTGCAAAATCGTCAAATCTCTCTGATTAAAGGAAAACCCAAACACTAGTTCACTTTCAAACATCAAAAGACACAGAACAATAATAGCACTTTGAATCTAACAACAATGACTAAACAACCCTAAAACCTGTTACCATTAAGCAAACGAGTTCCAAATGAATTTGAAATTAAAAAAAAAAGAAGCACGAAATCAGAATCCAGACATGGAATAATCAAGTAATTGCAGCTACAAAGAAGCTAAAGATTGTCCCTTTACCTTGAAAAAATCCTGGATCAGATAAGATCCCAATAAGCTTAACGAAACCCACAAAAAATCGAGAATCAACGAAATAATCTAATCAAGCAACAGCAGCAGCAAAAGAATCTCAAAAAGGACTCTTTAGTTTCTCTCCTTTCTTGAAAATTTGGGGGAGAATCTAAGAATCTATAACATGGGGAAGAAGGAAAACGAAAAAGACTAAAGAGAAAAGAAAAAAGGAAATTCAACTTTTTTATATTGATATTAAAAAAAAAACGTAGCTTTGACAAAATCAATGTCCACTAATACACGAATAAACCCAGAATGTGCTTGAATTCTACGCTAATCCAAAGTCAAAAATTTTGGTGCAAGAATAAAAATCGTATTTTTATGTCATGAGGATCACCAAGAAGAAGAAGAAGAGATTGAGTATCGAGAATTATGGAACCAAAAAAAAATGAAAGAGGAGAAATTAATTAAAAAGTCTTCGGTGTCGGAAGTTTTGGTCGTTGAGCTTGTTGAGAGCTCTCTTCTTCTTCCACGAAAAAACGTTCCCGACGCTGTGAATTAGAGATAGAAAGAGAAATGATTTAAAAAGTCAAAATTTTTGTTCGTTTGCAATTCTTCCATTTTGCAATTTTTAGGCAAATATCTAGATATTTAATAAGTGTTTTAATTATTGCTTGAAGCCTTAAACATCTTCTATAAGTCGTAACGCATTTATCCGGATGTTCGGGTTCTTGATTCTGATTGGTAATTTCATACTGTTGCGGTACAGAATTTACCGTTATATAATTACCAATCACAAAATCTACTTAAAAATATTAGGAAAAACATTATTTTTAATTATTTGTATTGTTTACCGTCACAAAAGCGTACCAAAGTCTAGGTTTTAATCATTTAAAAATAATTTTATTTTAACTTTTTGTTTCTCAAATTTGTTTTTTTTTTACAGCGTGGTTGGTAATTTTACCGATTGCTAAATAATTAAGTAGAAAGCTAGATAAAGATGCAAAAATGAAAAAGATATCTACATATATATAAGAATGAATTACTGATGTTATTACTTATTCGATATCAAAAGGTGACAACAAAGGAAAAAAGTTGAAGAAAGATTAGGAAAAAGTTGGTGAGGCGTGGTTCCGTTTCTTAAAGCGTCATTTTATATATTACAAGCAAACACAATTTAGTAATTTTATATCATAAAAAGGAAACTTTAAATTAGAAAGGAAAGTATAGAGGTCAAAGAAAAAATGAAAAGGCAAAATTGAATTCCATGAAAAAGTAAAGTTCAATCATGTTTACCATATTATAATTTAGCATACATACACGTACGATATACATTACATGAATTTATAATTATGACTACATGTATGTGTCAATGTGATATCGTTTGATCATCACTTTACAATAATAATTTGGTAATGAAGTACGTGTTTTCTTCTTTATACACTCGCGGAAGTTACGGTGACCACGGAAAGTGATACTTTTGTATGGGCTTTCATAAGTCCAGTATTATTTCGAATGCAGAAACGTCTTTCGCGTTTATTGGCTTTATAGGCCCATATATGTAAAACATATTTTAAAATCATTACATCATCTAGTTTGACAATTAAAAGTTAAAACAGAGAAACAATGACATTCCATAAACTTGTGTTTCTAACCACCACATCTCCAGACCACAAGCTCTTAGAATTTAGAAATTACGTCATCCATCAGTTATCGGATTTTTAACTTATGTTTATGGTCTTACCTTTTTTTTGTTTCTTTTTTAACTACTAGCCCATTATTGGATCCGACGATTTCTGGCTATTAGTTAGTTCCCTATTACATTCTTGAGAAGAATTCGTGTAGAAGAACAATGCAACAAGAAATAAAGGTTACTTGTTTTTTTGCTTTGCCCTATCAGTGGACAGCAGTTGACTGAATCAAATTTTGACTTTACTGTCTCTTCCTTCGATTAAACCGAGGTTGGAGGAGACGAGGAGTATATACTTTTCTCAGACTATATACTCGGATTCGATTTTGTATATGTTTCTCTCTACATTCATGTAATTTTAGAAATATATGTATATTTATATATATAAGTAGATAGAAAAATTACATTCGAATTACATATAGCGAAAAAAATAAAATTATTCAATCTCCTCCCTTTCGTTTATTGATGTTCTGTGAATAAACTAATTAATGATTTTTTTTAAATGAAATAATTTATTCTGGTCGTTCGTTATATATATCTTACTTGTTCTCTCTCTCTCTCTGGCTTCGCAGATGTTCATTGAAACGACTTGGCGTCTTCACGCATCCAAACACTTGTGAGAGAGAGTGAGAGAGAGAGAGAGAGAGAGATCCGTGACTCGTCGTCACCTCTAGAATCTATCTTCTTCTTCGCTAGATTCTCATCCCTACAATCACACATTTTTCGTTTTTTCTCAATTCAATCTTTTCACCATTAATCTCTCGCTGCCCATGACGAGTGCGTCTTCATGTTACGCGTCTCCGTTACGCGATTATCTAGTGGTAGCGTGCATGTCCGGCGGCGGAGACCGACTTGCTCTATCCGATACTAGGACTAGCCGCCGGAGGAAACTTGTTAAAAAATGCTCCGCCTTTACTTCTCCCCAAGGATCCGCCGGTCTTGTGAGTTCCTGTAACAACAATGCCTTGTCTTCCCTCTTCGAATCGAATAACACTTACTTCAATCGAAAACAGAGGAGATTCAATCGAGCATCTTATACCTCTGGTATTATACCATTTCAATCCAATGCCATTAAAGTGTTGACCTTTGGAGTGCTTTGCTTGTTACAATGCCATTGAGATAAAGTTAGTGTCTTTTTGCTAAACAGGGCAAGTCACGCTAGAGATGGAGAAGGAAGCAATGGTTAACAAGAAACCTCCTTTGAAGTCACGACGCGTTGTTGTGACAGGTATGGGAGTTGAAACACCATTAGGTCATGACCCACATACCTTTTATGATAATTTGCTACAAGGCATCAGTGGTATTAGCCAAATTGAGAATTTTGATTGCTCTGCATTTCCTACAGTAAGTGTTATATAAAGGGCTCTTACAAGTTTTTGTTTCTGGATGGTTTTTTTTTATTTATTGTAAATTTCCTTTTTTTTGTTTGTGCTTTGGCAAGAGAATCGCTGGAGAAATTAAATCCTTTTCGACCGAAGGATTGGTTGCTCCAAAACTTTCGAAAAGGATGGACAAATTCATGCTTTATCTTCTAACCGCTGGCAAGAAAGCGTTGGCTGATGGTGGAGTAACTGAGGATGTAATGGCAGAGTTAGACAAATCCAGATGTGGAGTTTTGATTGGCTCAGCTATGGGAGGCATGAAGGTACCTTCTTGTTTCTTCTTTTGAACATGAATGAAAGAAGGGAATATTTTTGGACACAAGGTTGTTGTTCAGAATCTCTGCTGATCAAAAGATTGTTCTTTTATTTTGATCATAGTTTTCAGAAGATCTTGTTTAGAAATATGTTTCTAATTGTTGCATTTCCCTCTGTGTTTGTGGAAGACAGATCTTTTATGATGCGCTTGAAGCTTTGAAAATATCTTACAAGAAGATGAATCCTTTTTGTGTGCCTTTTGCGACGACAAACATGGGATCCGCTATGCTTGCCATAGATCTGGTCTGATCATCTTTGGATATTATGTCGTAATACCAATGGCTGCATGTAAGTATTGACCTTCTTTGTTATGATACAACTTTAGGGATGGATGGGTCCAAACTACTCTATTTCAACTGCATGTGCCACTGGAAACTTCTGTATTTTGAATGCAGCAAACCACATTATTAGAGGTGAAGCTGTAAGTATCCTCGATTGAGGAATTTTAATAATATGGTATACTTTATGTGAGTCTACTTTTGTTTGACATTTGCCTGTCTTTTCCCTAAAAACTTATAGGATGTAATGCTCTGTGGTGGCTCTGATTCAGTTATTATTCCAATAGGTGCATACTCTTTCCTTTTACACGCTTTTCTTTGTTCTCAAATTTGTGCCACATGAATCTTATCTCATATGTCCCAATGCAGGGTTGGGAGGTTTTGTTGCCTGTCGTGCTCTTTCACAACAGAATGAAGATCCCACCAAAGCTTCACGTCCTTGGGATAGTGTAATTTTCCACCATTTTTCATACTGTCTTGTTTTATACCATGCCGTACGAATTTCTCCTATGCTTCCATTTGAATCTTGATTACTAAAGATGGTGGATTTTCAAAACATGGAAACCTAGCCCACCCTATTATAGGCATGGACTGCAAGGTGATTCGCCACCTGCCTGAGATCGCTAAGCCGTTTCTGATTTTACTATATGTTTGAAGGGTGTGCATTAAATGGTTCCCCAATGATACCCATGGTAAAAAATGACAGAAACCATGGGTGTTAAGCCTCCTTGTCTTGGCAATCTAAAGAATTTTTGCGGACATAAATGTCCAGTGCATCTCACTCTCCTGTAGGATAATATTGAAAGAGATATTGTTTCAGAAATTTCTTTCTTTTCTATTAAACTTGATCTTGGTTGCTAAACAGAATCGGGATGGTTTCGTCATGGGAGAGGGAGCTGGAGTTCTGCTTTTAGAAGAACTTGAGCATGCCAAGGTTTGTCACTCATTTCAAATATTCATACAGAAACATAGGCTCCTGTTATTATTCCTGATTACCCATCTGTATCTTGCATTTCAAGTGTTTGATGTTCTTCAAGCCATTTGTATAATTTGTTGACGGAATTTCTTAACTTTCACAAAGAAAAATGTTTTCAAAGCTTTTAATTAAGTCATTGTGAAGCTACATAAACTGTGTTTTTGCAGAAAAGAGGAGCAACTATATACGCGGAGTTCCTTGGTGGTAGTTTCACATCTGATGCATATCATATAACTGAACCACGTCCTGATGGTAGATCTCTTTTGTCTTCTATCTAACTTAATTCACTACTCCACTGCGTTTTTTCTTCTTCTTTAGTTTGCTTTTATTTATCTATAAAGTTATAGCAATACAGTTAGCCTAAAGAAAAAGTGAAAGCAATATCTATGGATCCACGTGTGGAAAAATATCCTTGTTGGGTTGCTCTTGAGCATGATTCTTAGCTTTACTTTCCAATGGTTTCTTATCTTTTGAAACCTTTATCTTTTGTACTGAAGGAGATATCTAATATCCACAGGTGCTGGGGTCATTCTCTGTATCGAGAAAGCGCTAGCTCATGCCGGGATTTCTAAGGAAGACATAAATTACATAAATGCTCATGCTACCTCCACACCAGCTGGAGACCTTAAGGAGTACCAAGCCCTTGCTCACTGTTTTGGCCAAAATCCCGAGGTACATTTGTTTCTCTTGTCAACTAAGTTTATTTCTTAGACACAATTTGTAGATATGCTGATGTCTGTTTTCTCTTACGCGTGCCCTGCCCTCTGAAAATTTGGCAGCTAAGGATAAACTCAACAAAATCTATGATCGGACACTTGCTGGGAGCTTCTGGAGCCGTGGAGGCTGTTGCAACCATTCAGGTAATGACTTCACAAGTCTAGATACATCACTATGTCTACAAGAAAGAAAATGCTGTCTAAAAATTCAAATTTTCATGGATGAATAAACAATCTGAGTAGACAAAACAATAATGTTATGTGACCTTCGAACCCTGCAGGCAATAAAAACAGGATGGGTTCATCCAAATATCAACCTAGAGAATCCAGACAAAGCAGTGGTATGTTGACAAGTTTTAGTTTGACATCACTGGAATGATCATTTAATACCACAACTTCATTACAAAAATGGATCAGGATACAAAGCTGCTGGTGGGTCTTAAGAAGGAGAAACTGGATATTAAAGCAGCCTTGTCAAATTCTTTCGGGTTTGGTGGACATAACTCTAGCATCATTTTTGCTCCTTACAAATGAAAGGCGAAAGGTCCAATGCTGTGTACTCCAACTTTATCTGTGTAACTTGCTGTAAGGTATCTCTTAATTTCTTCTCTTTTTTTTTTTCCTCTTTAATGCTATCTTGGCCCATCATTGATACAATCTTGGAAATTTTGGAACAATTTGCTCCTCACCTAACAATGCTTGACTATTTGCTCGACAACTGGAATTGAACCTAGTATACTTTTCTTGAACCATTTTAGGGACAGATAACCAAAGTAACGAAATGCTTTTTTGTACCATCATCTCATCAATATCTTTGCTCGATTGCAAATGACTAAGTGTGTTTTTTGCCATGTTTCGATGCAGTGTGTACAAGAACTTCCCATTTTTTTTTTCCGTAGTGTTATGTTCAGGATTCGATTAGCTTTACACAAAGAGTTTAGGCAAAGTTTCTTCAGGCAACACAAAAGAAGATCTTAGGAATGGGCCATAGATTGTGCCAAAGACGGAACATCCCAGGAGGAGAGAGGGCAGAGGTAGCTGAGTTTTGGGTTTGTCATGACCAAATTGTTCTTTATGTATGATACAACTATATTACTTCAGATCTCATTTTGGTTTGTAATATTGAAATCTTTTGAGCCTCGTTCTTTTTTTTATTACGAAAGCTCTACCAAGCTAATACCTCGGTTTTAACAATGAAGTTGCAAATTAACTTATATCACACACTTTGTAGATAATCCAAGAGTAAGTTTGATATGGGCCTCAAGTTTTATTTCTAGAGGCCCATTAATATTTGAATCATTCGTTCGATCATTTTGGTGGTAGAGTCTTTTATAGACATGTGACCCGTAAACTATGTTTAGCTTTATTCTCTTTTTTTTTTTTTTGCTAAGAAGCTTTATTCTTCTTATTCGCATTTTGGGGAAATTTAATCCTTTTTAGGTAGTCTTGGCAAATTTTTACAGGTGATGCACTTGAGAATATACTAAATGCTCTGCATGCTACTAACTTTATACTCATATACAGCTTTGATCCAAAGTGCCTACCCAACACACCTAACTAAAGAAAGAACCTTGAGTATAGACTCTGATGGATGATCAAGTTGCAACTACTTTGTTGTAAACTTTCTCAATCCGTTTTTTATTTTAATTTTATTTTTAAATCTTAAATCCGTACGTTTCTAAACTTCCAAGGTCTTTTATTTATTTATTTGGTCAAAAATATAAATAGTCGACGCATTCATAAGTTTAATATTTTATAGTAGAAGTCAATGTTACGAAGATTTCAAGTGCAATGAAAATTTCACGGGATATGAAAATAATATCAAGAGAATATTCAACGTTGTTGGTTTCACAAAGATGAAATTATGATGTTAGCTCGATATAAATATTGATCGGTTGATCCAGATGTTATAAAAAAAAATATCTTGACCGGTTGATCCGATTTAACTTTTCAAGTTCCAATGATGAAATGTGTTGCAAACAAAAAATCTTTTAAAATATTTTTTTGAGAATTTAGTTATTAACTATTGATCAATATATAGTTGTTAATTAGGATCTGAATATAGTTTCAAAGGTCAGGGTTCTAAATGTGGTATAGTGTTTACTGTTGAGTGTTGATTGTACAAACAATACCCAATAAAATAAGAGAGCAATAAAAATAGACTTCAATAACATTATCAACGCTCTTAGATTGTATATGTCTAATTGTTTATGCAACAACTAAGTATGTCCACAGAGATAAGGACACCCGCGTGAAATTTTAAAAATCTAAATAAATTCATACACAGTTGATAAATTAAAATAACAAATATTCGTTTAAATATAATTTATAACCAACCTTGCAAAAAAGTGTAATATCAAATTCAAACACTTCATCATATTCTATAATTAAAATGTGAATATTTTAAAATAGTAGCTAGTAAATATATAATAGAGGGAAAATTATTAACATATTAATTATACTTGTTTACCTTTGCTAATCTTTTTTTGATAAGAATGTAAATATCATTTCAAAAAATGAAAGTTTAGGTTTTACAACATAGCAAATCCTAAAAAGTATCAAATTACAACAAAACAAATCCTAAAAAGCAAATCCAAATGTAACACCTTTGGTAATTAGGACCACAATAGACAGTTTAATGGATGTAACAAAGACAAGAAGTATCAAGTAAGATTACGAAATATCAATCGTAAGAAAATTGATTCTTACCAAACAATTAGAATGGTACATTGTACTTACTCTCTTCCTTTTTAATTTTCTCAAATCATATTCCTAACTTTCTCTCATCTGTTTGAGTTCAAATTCCTCATTTTCTTTGTTAGTTCCTCCTCTTTTCAATATATTATATCATATTTGTATGACTATATACATAAGTATTCTATGTATATAGCATAAATATACATATACCAAAAATTAGGATTGCTCATCATTATTGGGTATATATTACTCAATTTTTAAGTGCTTTGGATACATACACCAACTTGACTCGGTTAATCAACCAAATGATTGTATTAAAATAATTTACGTGAATATTTATAAATTTCGAGAGATTAGTTTTCTTACAAAATTTGATACTAAATAATTGACCATATATCTACCAAGTTAATTATTAAGTATACTTGTGACTTAGTCACTTAGCTTCTTTTTTTTTACGTCTGACTTGAAGATTCTCCACATTCACGACTAAAAGAAGTTGTCTTACTCGCTATACATGTTAAGATACCTAATTAAACACCCATTCACTAACTGATTAGGGATGATTCTCTATGACATGGATTGGATATAAAATTATTATCGATGTGTATGTATTTGAGTTAGTATAAATAACAAAAAATAATGACAAGTGGATTTTGATTTCTTCGTACATGCGAAATAAATATATGCTAATAATACTAAAAGCCATCGCTAATGACGATATAATAGAAGAATGGTTGTTGGCAAAAAAAAGAAGAAGAAGAAGAATGGTCAACCCAAACAAAAAAAATGACTAGTCTTATTTTTGTATGTGTGCATGAGCATGACAACATATCTAAAGTCAAGATATTCTATTAATTTGAGAGAACAATTGTTCTTCTTTTTGAGAACAATATTTTATTCTAATGCGTACGTCAATAATCTATGTATAGTACATCTATATTTTTTTGATAATCCACATTTTTATTTTTATTTTTTTGATAAGTTTTTTTCTTCTTCTTCTTCAAATTTTTATTATTTTATCATCGGGTATTTCCATTTTAATCTAATTCGCATTATAGTATAGCCGATACAAAATTATAATTTCTAAGTGTAAGGTGGTATAAATTCCTTACCGCTTATGTATTACGATGTTGTCTTTAACTCTTTTGTAAACGTCTCTTTGGGAGCATCCGATTAAAAAAAAAAACTATTTCGTAATCTACTATTTCATATCTTATCTTTTCCACTTTTAATATGTATATATATATATATATGTGTGTGTGTGAAACTAATGACACAATTTAACATATATTTGATAAAATAATTATTTAACATAAATTTAGCCGGAAAAAAAAACGTAGCCAAATTGTGGTTACATAATTCATCGTTTTGGGTGAGAGTCAAATATAAATTATGAAACTAGACTTTTTGTCTATTGTTTTGAAATTCAAAACTTGCGTGGACACGTACTTAAGAACTTGATTATTATTTTAGTTAGCTTTTAGGGATAAAGATTTAGTGTATTTTTTTTTTGGGCAAAAAAGATTTAGTATAAAATTAGTAGACTAGAGACAAAAGAAAAGAAAGAAAAAAAGAGATAGTAGTTAGAGTTCAAGAACCTGACAGAAATAACAGAATTAATAAGAATAGACCAATAATGATTAATTAAAATAAATTAATAAAGTCTATCCACCAAGGAACATGTATAGATAATCAGAGATTCTGGTTTTTCGTTTGTCTCATCTACATTCTACAAATTATGGTGTTCATTTTATTTGCCTTATTACTCCATCGCGGAAAACATTTCCTTTATTGATGGACAAACAATAATTACGTTGTTCTTTTCAGACTTAAACGTAAGAGGGTTCTCGATCGGAAAAACAAACATTTTTCCGTGTATATAATTAAGCTGTATATGATGCTATAATTATCTCACGAAATCGTATATTGATTATAAATCAAAAGAGTAGACTAGAACACATGTGTTGAGTTAAGTTAAGTTAGGTTTGCTTATGAACGGTCATATTGGTTACATACAATATTCATCCGTAATTAAACAGATGCGATATATGTTCCTCGATAAACAACTCTCCATAAAATTTATATGTCCGCCGAAATTTTAAAGTATACTCGCAACAATCATATATATAAATTTTGTCACTGAGAGGAATGAAAATTATCTCTCATTCTTATAATGTTCTCAAATGATATTCGAGAGTACGTTTTACATATATAGGAACGAGATTTCGTGAACGATATATTAGAATGGAACCAAGATTTTGTCTATCCCTATTTTTTATTTTTTTGATAAATATATGCCTATTTTTATATAATATAGTTGGTCAATTTATAGACTAAGAAGAAGCTCTTAATCAAATTCAAGAAGACAAAGCAAGTTAAAAAACTATTTTAACAAAAGAGAAAATATTCCATTAGACTTCTTGAAAGTAGTTAGAAATTTAACACGAACAAATACAAAAAGAGAATTTTTAATAGCACAACGTACACTTGCAGAAATTTCCTCACAATAACCACAAAATTTCTCATAGAATAAAAAAAAAAAACAGTTTAGATCTTTCAAACCTCCTCGAAACTAAACTAATATTCAAAAGCACGTGCTCCCTAATAAAATTCATTCCCGACCCGACCACCCAATACCCGACCCGATCCAAAAACATCTTATAAATATGCCCCATGCAAACTCACAAACAACTCAAAACACTCTTCATCAAAACCTTTCATCTCTCTCAAAGACACATATATATCCTTCTCCCATTCTTCTCTCTAGATGGCTCCTAACTACGATAAGCTTACTTCTTCGAGAGTAGCGATCATCGGTGCTGGTGTTAGCGGATTAGCAGCCGCTAAGAACTTAGCTCATCACAACCCGACCGTATTCGAAGCCTCGGATTCGGTCGGAGGTGTTTGGAGGAGCTGCACTTACGAGACGACTAAATTACAATCGGCTCGAGTCGATTACGAGTTCTCCGACTTTCCATGGCCCAATAATAGAGATGACACAACTTTCCCATCTTACGTTGAGATATTAGATTACTTGGAATCATATGCCAAGCATTTTGATCTTCTCAAGTTCATGAAGTTTGGCTCTAAGGTCATCGAAGTTAGGTTCATCGGTGACGGCCAAACTCCTCAGATGGTTGACCTTGGTGCTTACGGCAATTTGTTGCCCGGAAAACCTGTATGGGAAGTTGCAGTTCAGACCGGAGATTCTGGAGATATTCAGGTTAATTTGTCTCAATTCTTTACATGTTTCAGTCTCATATATTTGCTTATGCATGCATGCATTAACCCGATTAAGTACTTACGTCTATTTATGAATTATTGTATACTAATGTTTTTGTTATTAATGTTTGTGTGCAGTGGCATGCATTTGAGTTCGTGGTAGTGTGTACCGGAAAATACGGCGACGTTCCAAGAATACCTGCTTTTCCGGCAAAGAAAGGGCCGGAGATATTTCAAGGAAAAGTAATGCATTCGATGGATTACTGCAAGTTAGAGAAAGAAGAAGCTTCTAGTCTCCTCCGTGGCAAAAAAGTGGCCGTCATCGGCTTCAAGAAATCCGCCATCGATTTGGCTTTAGAGTCTGCTTTAGCTAATCAAGGTATATACATATCTATGTATATTTATATAAAAATTAGCTGATCAAGTCAAAAAAATATAGTAATAGAAATAATTGTCTTACTTACTAGTATATATTATTTCTTTTCCGTTGGACTTGGACCATTATGGTTCTAGTTGGCAACAATCAAACAGTAACTTGCAAGTTAACAAACCGACAGATTAAATATAAATCCTAAGATGACCCATTCCAATAACAAAATATAATATTTTAAATTTTGCAGGAGGAGGAAAAGCTTGCACAATGGTGGTGAGAACAACTCATTGGGTGTTCCCACATTATTGGGTGTGGGGTTTACCATTCTTCTTGTTCTACTCAACGAGAGCTTCTCAGTTCCTCCATGATAGGCCTAACCAAAGCTTCCTTAGAACTCTCTTTTGCCTCATCTTCTCTCTTCTGGTTAGTCATCTTAGAACCTTTCTCACTTCTCTATAAATTGCACAATCTTGTGAAATTTTTCTAAACATATATGTGACAATATAATAGCGTGCTGCGGTTTCCAAGTTCATCGAATCATATGTTTTGTGGAAGCTACCTCTTGAGAAATATGGTCTAAAACCGGACCATTCTTTCGAGGAAGACTATGCTTCTTGTCAAATGGCGATCATACCGGAGAAATTCTTTGAGGAAGCGGATAAAGGGATGATCCGGTTTAAGAAATCATCAAAATGGTGCTTTTATGATGAAGGGATTGAGTTTGAAGATGGGACTACGTTAGAAGCTGATGTTGTGATACTTGCGACTGGTTATGATGGCAAGAAGAAGCTCAAAGCTATTGTTCCTGAACCTTTCCGAACTTGGCTTGAGTTTCCATCCGGTGTCATGCCATTATACAGGTACGTATACACTTATAAAATCGTCTCTAGATTATTTGAAATTTGGACCGTTGCTTATAATAACAAAAAACTAAATAAATTACAGGGGAACAATCCATCCATTGATACCAAACATGGGTTTCGTGGGATACGTCCAAAGCAACTCGAACTTACACACATCAGAGCTACGTACGATGTGGCTAAGCCGGCTGGTGGATGAGAAATTCAGATTACCAAGCAAAGAGAAGATGTTGGATCAATTCTTCAAAGAAATGGAAGTGACGAGAAACTCAAGCAGATTCTATAAACGTCATTGCATTTCCACTTTCAGCATCCAACATGCTGATGATATGTGCAACGACATGGGACTCAATCCTTGGCGTAAACCCAACTTGCTCCTTGAAGCTTTTAGTCCTTATGGTTCTCAAGATTACCGACTCGGTCAAGAAGAGAAAGAAGATGGCGGCTTAAACTAATTGAACATATTACAAAATGATATTGCTATGAATTGTTGTGTGATGGATATATAATTAATGAATGAATAAATGTATCTTTAAGTACATGAGCTTTTATAAATAAGAACACAAATGTTTTTAGTAATATTGTATACTTGTATGAAAATATATACTAATAATTTGACCTTGGTCAATGATTATTTTCAACTAGCAAATTGTGTTTTATTTTATTTTTGGCAAATTTCTCTTTTTTTATTACTATATTTCATTGCTCTCTGAGTAATTATGAAATTCCAATTTTGTCCTTTTTGGTTTTGGTCAACGACAAGTCTCTTCCTAGTGGAATCATCAGCTGAGGATTGAACCCTAAACCCTAATTGATCGTTGTGCGATAATGGAGGGTTTGGAGAAGTTTTACAGCAAGATGGTGAAAGATGCGAAATCGGCAGTTTCTTCTTCGTCGTCTTCTCTATCTGATTTTGCGGATAATCTGATGCAGGACAAACGAGGCGCCGGCAGCAATTTGACTACATACGACGCAGGATCCGGCACTCTGGTCAACAGACCTCCGAGGTAAAGCTGCTTCTGTTCCTAGTTTTGAAACTCTGGATTCAATTTTGCCTGCAATTTGTTCGAATAGTGATCATTCACGACGAAAGCGAAAAACTTTTAGAATTTTGGGTCCGAAGAAAAGTGAGTGATGTTCTTACTTTCTGGGAGATAAAAGAGGGCATTTTTCGAATTTTCAAATTCTCTCTAATTATGGGAAGGATGATAATCACTGTTTGTTGTTGATGGATTATGAATTTGGTCTGCTCGAGAAAATTCTAAAAAGATGGAACAGATATGAAAAAGAGGGCAGATTTCTTTGTTATAGCTCAAAACCTAGAGACAATAATGATTTCCTAGTTCCACATTAGAGAAAGCTTGTAAATTTGTAATGGGTTGTTTCTGATTGATTCGACTAATATGTAATGAGTTACTTGTTTTGTGTACTATTAATTCTATTCAAATTTTTCATCTGACCTATCTTGGGGTTATGTTTGGTGGCAGCGGAGTTTCGGTCTGGACGTGTTCAAAGTTGTGCGCTGTTTTCTTTGTCGCTGGAGTGTTTGTGGGTTATACCCTTAAGAGACGGGTTCGACGTTGGGCTTCTAAATTGCTCAGAAGAATAAAGGATGATTAACTCCAACCTCTGTTTTGTCTTCCACTGCGAGTTTTGGTACTGTTATCACATAGGCATTAGTCTATTCTCCTTCTTGAATGTGTTTCAGTACCAATATACTGTGCTCGAGACACCTTGTCGATGAAACTTTTTTGTTTACTTTTCTGCCTCTGTGACTAGTAGTAGCTTGTGGTAATGGAAAGAGAGATTGGATCATCTTGGGAAAGACGCGTATATTATTCGTATAGAGTAACTTATATTTGTTATTTTCATGCCTTTAGGCGGGTCTATACAAATAGGCAAGACAATGTTTGTGACATAGTGTATATAATCTACTTTGCTAAGTGACTGTGAAGTTAGTATGAAAAATAATGGCTTCAATCTCACTTTAGGGAAAGTGATAGAAGCTGGCTTGTAACATTGAATTAGAAATGCTCCTTATGGAATTCGAACCGTGTGGTTGTTTTTTGACTCATGTCTTGTGCTTGCTTCTTCAACTCCTTTGCCACGGTTGGTATGCCGCAGTAAAACACGCCTGCACAATTTATAAATGGTTTTCACATATTAATACCTGGGCACCTGGCCTAAATATTAGCAAACAAGTTCATGTGTTTGCCTGTGTCATTAATTCCTATTGCAAAATTTTCTTTCTTTTCCAATGGTACTAATTCATTAGTCCTAGAAGAGAGGTTTATCAGATGTCTTGTTGGTAAGCAGCTGATTGTATAGAATATTTACCGACTGTCGAATTTGGATGCTTTCTTGCTATGCTACTGAAGACTTCCTTCCAGTTGGGCCTTGCAAAATGTGTTCTCACCTGTTTGAATGATGTTATCTTGTCAGTTATAGGTAATATTGGGAAATAGTTTCTGGTTATATGCCCTGCAACAGTTCTTACCCGTGTTCCGGATAGAATATCAACTCCATGTTTGGCATGGTTCAAAGCCTGAACCATTTTTATCAGGGTTGATCTTGCATCACCTTCATCATATACGCTTGTAAGATAGTTGTGCAACTCAATCTGGCCCTGTATTACGAGAAGATGAATGAGTATGTTAGAATATCGATCAACATTAAAGTGGTGATGAAAATGAATGATATGCTGGTGTTTATTACTCTGCAGTCCATGTCTGATATTTCTTCCATTACTCCTCTAAACCATTCAACGGATCCTGGCTCCCTTGTGACCCAGTAAAAGTGAGCCTTCACTGCTTTCTTTTTCCCTCCATGTGTTGAAGTTGGGGTTGTTGTGGTATATGAAGATGTATAGCTATTCCAGCTGAAATCCGATCTGCTGAATTCATTGTCCTGTGCCATTGAAAGTTAAGAGATATGTATTTGGTTCTTGAAAAGACTAACTTTTCTGGTGCACTGAATTGGACTTACTGTTTGTTCGTCTCTTGAATTGTTCAGGAGATCCTTCAGGATACTTATGAAAGGAGTAGCTCCTATTCCCAATCCAATGAGGAGTAAGACATCATAGCTTCTGTAGTCCTGTGCTGGAGCTCCATATGGGCCGTCTACTAGTAATTTTGGTCGGCTGCCAATGCAGGATCAACAAGCATGTTAATACTAGGTATCCAAGTGTAGAAAAGAGAAAGCAAAGGTGTCTGGAAATATACTTTATTGTATCAATATTGCAATAGGCAGAGAATTTTGAACGCCCAATCACGCATGTTGAAAGATCTTTGCCCACAGTTAGAACTCGTCGTAGCTCCTCTGTCCAGTCTCCGAGTGTTCGGATGTGAACACTAAGTTGGTCATCTCCTGGTGCAGAGGTAATAGAAAATGGGTGCCTGGAAAAGTTTAGGGAATATCTTTCTGAGTGAAACCTGAGATGTTTGTTAATTCACTATGGGAAGTCGTATCAGTACTCACCATTCAAATCGAGAGATAGTTGGACACTGCAAGAATATGTATTGACCGCTCTTGTACTTGAATCCAGGAGGCTTTGACATGATTAAGCTGAGTACTTCTCCAGGTAGCATAGAAACCTGCAGAGATCAGATTGAAAGGTCCATTTTGTTATTAAAGCACCTTTTAACAGGAATGAATTTGTTGGGTTTGTGGTGGTTGCCTTGAGGATTTTGACAGAGTAATGCTTTGACCTACAAGCTCGCAGACTTCGTTCTGCCACATAGAGCACCAAAGGAACCGAGATGTACATCCAAGTCTGAGGACAGCGATAATCAACAATAATTTAGGTTTCTAGACATTTGGCATTTCGGTTTAAAGTAAAGAGCGATTATGTTTGCTGCTGCTTACAGTTTTCTGATACCACTTATCAGCAAAGAACAGGAAGGTACCGTGGACAATGAGCATGATGTAGACAACCACTAGAAGGTGATGAGTGTACCAGAATGCGTTAAAACCAGTCAACCGATCAAGTGGTGCCGGAAGCCTCACACGGTTTCTCCTGAAATGAGTTGATGCTAATGTGAATGCGATGGTTGTCAAGATCACCATCGAGATCCCGGTGATTCCTTCTGCACCTGTCATCAGGTCTTTGAATGTGGGCTTAGTACCATTGAAGGCAGAAGCGATCAAGGCGAATTCTTCTGGACTCGAGTTTATAATCCGGGGGAAATCACACGCCAAATGAGTACCAGCATGAACAAGTATCCCAATCGCTATGGCACAAGCAATAATCTGGCACACAAACGGGACAACAGAGAGAGAAAGAGTTGATCTCAAGTGTTGCATTGATGAAATTTGAGAAATTGTAGGAATGAAGGAAGGTTGTATTGTACTTTACCTTATGGAAATTGATGTTGTCATCAAAAGGAACACAAGCTCGAGCGCGTGTAGATCTTAGCCAAGTCAATGTGTTTCTGCAAACAGGTAATAAAACCAGAGCCATATTGAGCTTAAGAGTCTCTGCAGCTCCTTTAGCAGTGGTTAAACAATACCCCATGACCTTAAACGCAGCTTTTTCTCTGTACTCAAGAAACTTCCAGACGAATAGGATGGCCATAAGCATGATCCACAGTAAAAGAACCCAGCTTCTTTGCCAATTATCTAGAACCAGACACTGAAGTTTTTTTCTACATTTTCGAACCACATGACGAGGTCTGATTAGATTCCGTCTTGGTGTACTCACTCCAGCGCTTGTTGTGCTAAGCGGTCTACTGTAATTCATGTATGCGTCTCTCTGAAGTAAGAGTGTCTCCAGTTGCCATAACTGAAACAACACAAAGAAGGTTAAGAAACAAAACAAAATCGTCGATATTGTGTTTGAAGAGTGATGATATATAATGTTTTGAACCTCAATGTATCCAAAATTCTCAGGATCAAGTTCTTCCATGATCAGAGATGCGTACTCTTCTGCTTGTTCCTTGAGTTTTGCTAACTTGTTTGCTGATGCACTTAGCATCAAAAGCTGCGTTTCAAATCATAAGAGTTGTTAGAGACATAAGATTGTTCAAACGTAATTTTCGGTGTTGAAGGAGAAAGTTACTTCTTTGATTTCTTCTCTAGTGATCTTCCCATCTTCGTTGCTATCAGCCCTGTAACAAAACCGGTACTAGTTCTTAGAATCTTTTTTTATTAGTAACACTGCAAATTATAACAGAATTTTATAATCGTTAAACCAAAAAAAAAAAGTTAAAAATTGTAAACTTATTTTGGCATCTGGTGTAGTTAAGACTTGCAAGTAACTTATTGCGGGAAGAAAGCTGAAAGAAGAAAACTTTTTTGAAATTTTGGTAAAAGTTGGTTTTACTGGGCCAAGTAAACTACAGCCCATTATTTAAACTCACTAGACCATTTTCACCGTTGATTGCGTGAACTACCAGATCCAACGGGTAAGAACACCACGTGATTTAAATGATGTATCTATCTATCTCTCTACAAAAATATGATATTAGTGAAACATTTCTGTTGCATTGCCTTAAAAACAATCACAATTCAGCTTAACCAACACATGTATTTAATTTATGCCTAATAATTCCCAAAATTGTAGAAAATTATTGTGGAGTTGCGGTAGTTCTCACTAAAGAGATAACAAATTCCAATCAAAGAAATGATTGGTAAGCTAACATTATCTTTAATCAACAAACATTTTTACTCAATATTTGATTTAATCAGCTAAACTTCATAAAACACCACAAAAAACAAAAATTAGTCCAATCTTTACAAAACTGCAAGTTGATCAAACTTCATCTACATTATTCAGAATTCGGAATACTAAAAAAATAATTATCAATTACAGATAATGTTTTCTTCAATGATTAACGTCGTCAACTGATTAATATTCGTAGCACTTGGATCAATACACTTGTTTTCTTATGCTTTTGCTAATTGCAATGCGTTATTCCCGTAACAGTTATAAACGTAAAGACAAACCAAAACTTGACTTTAAAATAAAAAGAAAGAGAGAATCAAAGACACGTACATGTCGAAGAATATTTGAAGACGGGCGTCGAAGCTTTGGTCAGAAATCTGTAACCAGAAATCATGAAGTTCATCTTTCGTTATCTTCTCCAGTTTTTGTCTCCTTCTTCTAGCCAAAGCGTCGAATACACTCACCGCGAACTCTTTCGAATCCACCATCCCTTTAAAATTTTGAAAGCATATGTTATATTAATTGGCAATGAGTGGATTGGTCCATATTCGATTTTTATTGACTTACCAACGCACTCGCCAAAATCGTCTCGCGCTAGTAATCCTTCTTTAGAAAGCGATTCGAATCGTTTCTCAACTTTTTTCCACATCTGATCGCAACTGCAATCCCAATCGCAGTTGCAGCTGTTTCCTCTCGTGGTTTTATTGATAAATTGTAATCCTTTTAACGCTCTTTGCGCACTCGATGTTGATCGCTGTAATATCGCGTTTTCTCTCCGCTTATCCCTCGCCGTCATAATCCCCGAAGTCTCCCCCGTCTGACGTTCGAGATCTCTATCTCTCTCGCCGGCGGTGGAAGACGTCGTCGTTTTCCAAGATTCCGACCTCAGTAATTTCCCCAGTTTCTGCCGGATTTTCGTAGACGCAGTCGATAAACTCCTCGACAATCTTGCGGTTACTAAATCCACCGATCTCGGCCGAGAATCAACAGACGCCGCTTCCACCGCCTCCGCCGCCTCCGACATTCCGCAGATGAGTATGGAGTCATCGCCGACGTCAAGCTCCAAAGTCACCTCCACGAGCTCTCTTTCCCAGCTACTACCGCTTCCGGATTCTCCATTACTACGACTCAAATCGTTGAGAAAAACCGGCAGCATTGCGCCGCCGGAAAATGGAGATGATCTTAACTCAACACCGTCGTCGATTCCATCAGCGTGACTGAAACTCGAACCCGTAGAGAAACTAAGAGGCGATAACTTCATCAGTGAGAAATCGATCAACCACCAGCAGTACTAACACATAAATATAATTTAAATATCTCTACACGAATTTTCACCAATCGCCATGAAAACTGTAGAAGCAAAGAAGAAGAGAAAGAAGGTGAGAAATTTTGAAAACAAGAAAGAAAGAAAGTGAAATATGAATAAAGAAAGAGAGAGAGAAAAAAAACAAGAGAGGCACTTCTCAACCGATTGATACAAGAAACACTAACACACACAATTTTCAACGCTTCAATTTTTGTGGCCAAGTCGTGGTTTCACAGTTGTTTTCTTTCTTCTTCATAGTCTTTCTTGATTTTAATTCAACTCTTTTTTTTTTTTGTTTATTAGTGTGTATCTTTTTTTTCCTATCTACTTAAACTAATCACCTCTACTAATTATCTATTATTGTGAAAACGTAATATAAAGATTAGTTGTTGTTGTTGTTGATGTTGTTTACCTCAAAAGAAAAGAAAAAAAAAAGAATGGGAATAAATTAATAAGTATTGGTTTATGGTCTAACGTATGTGATTAATTCACAATATCTTAGTTCAAAGTTTTAGCCGCCAAAATTAATGTTGATAATTAACTATTACTAGTACTAATAATCAATCAGTAATCTAATCATAAGGTAATTATTGCATACAAATTACAATCGGCATTAAAAAGACATATGTGGGTACCTTAATGAATATGCAAAGGCAAGGGGAAAGAATTGTTGTCTGAAACGCTGGCAGAAACTCAGGGGATTAGGCCACGTGGACACTTAGATGACAGAATCAATTTCTTATATTGCTCTTTACTTAAATTAATAAGGGAGGAGGAAGAGAGTGGGAGACAAGAATACGCAATTGTTTTATACGTTATATGAAAATTCAAAAATTATGTAAGAAAATAATATGAGCTGGCTAAGAAGAAGAAAAAGAAGGTCAAAGAATTATAATGTGACGAAAGAAGATCGACCAGAGATATATAAAGGGACTTGAAGGAACAGAAACTTTAGGGTTGTGTTTGTTTGGGGAGACTATTAAATCTAAATTCTACGCTTTGTCGCAAAGCAGTACATAGCTAATGTTGTACGTCCTAAGTTTTGAGTACCTCCTCTTCTAGAATCTGTCTCTTTTGTTTGCTTATTATTCTCAGGTTCTTCTTTTATGGGCCTTTATGGGCCATTATTATAGTGTCTTTGTAGAGATCCAACCAACAACTGGTCGTACTTCTGTCATTTAGCATTTTTGTCGGTTTCAAAGCTTTAAGTAGTATAGTACTATACTACTATATAGCCAATTGCTTTTTGGTCGATGATTTTTATAAGCTATGATAATATGAGGTGTTGTGAAATTAAGAGTTTTAGGAATCTATTCAGGTAACGTGTTATCTGGTTAACTATTATAATCCACCACTATATAATCTAAGATTTTAAATCATTTCTATTTAGAATGTTTTTACAAGATAAATCAGAATAATCGATGAGGCTATTAAGAAAGAAGAAAAGGATCACTGAGAACTGAAATATGTATGAAAATTTCAACATATTTTTAACTCATAAATTTTTTAAAGCAAAAGATTCAATAATTTCACATACTTGCAAAACGTATTTATGTGGTGATTAACAAAAAAAAGTAACAGCCTGCATGCTTAATACTCACTCCGGGTTGAAGATCGGATAATAACGGGTAAGCGTCGTGTACTTGGACCTTGGTTAGTAGTTTGAGTAAATAAAATTTCAGCCCAAAGCATACTCATAAGAATAAAAAGTTGGTAATCGGATATCGAATAAGGTAAAAGTAGGTCATGTACTCATAGAGAAATGCACATGCATGCATGATGCGTAGTAAAACATTGGAATTAAATTGATTCAACAGTTTATACTTTGGAGGAGGTAAATGAATATAATACGGTCGAAATTCGTAGCAGCAACGTGCATTCCACTCGTACATTAAAAAAAAAAAAAACCATAGTTAGAGTAGCAGCCCACGCTTCTTTTGATTTCAAGTGTACTTTTCTTGACAAAATCAAATTTTGTAAAAACAATATATATTAGTACGACAAATGAGTGTGATAGATGTGCTTGTTTCATATATAAATTTTGTAAAATATTTCAAAGTTCTTTTCTGGTAGTTGCAGACTCGATATCATATTGAATAGTTTAATGTATGTGAATCTTAAGAAAATAAATACAATTTAGAAAGAAGATTCTAAGGAAAAAAAAAAAAACTGAAATAACAAGACAGAGTCAAAAAATTATTTAAAACAATCATCAGGCGGGCCTGATCAAAATCAATACTTATTTAAATGCGCTTAAAACTCAAACGATGCTAATGGGCCGTAATTTATTTATTGGGCTAGCTTGGAAATGATGATTAAAAACAAACAAAAAACAGCTAGGTGTATTTTTCTTTTTTTCGTTTAGTGTTAAGAAAATTTTGATTTTGGGTAATAAAGTAAAATCTGGATACAAAAGGTAAATAGTGACTTTTTGATTGAGGTGAACCCAAGTATTTTTCTTCTTCAATTTGTTAAGATATAAAAGTAACAAAGTTTGATTTTAGTTTTGTGGTTTCATCCTTGATCTCTGTACCCGATTGTCGATAAATTCAACATCATTTTCATCACTAAAATGGAATATTATGTATCATGATTTAAATGTTTCTGGCATTCTGCATTGGATTGTCTTACACTTGGCAAGTTGGCATGAATATTGTTTATATGATATATCCGAAATTCCGAATACAATTTTTTTATACAAGACAAATAATAGAAACGAGAATCCCACAAAAATAGGAAAGGCAAGATTATATATACCTGGTGATTGATGATAAGATATGGAATTGGATGATTATTATTGATGATAGTGCTCTGCTTATATACACACTAAGAAGATCTCTTCACAACGGTAACAAATATACAGAAGTAAATATATAATCAATTAGAGGAATTAAGGGAATAGAGAGGAGCTGACATATATACGATTTCCTTATTCTATCAATTGAGACCTTAGTGGTCCGTATTCATTCAACACCTATGATCTAATCCTATTAGTTCTCTGCCCACTGCATAAAGCTATAACATGACCATTTAAACCAGGTCAACCTGATCGAGTTATCCGAGTACAACTTTAGAGTAAAAAAAAGAGCCATTAATTTAAAAATTCTTAAAAATCAACCGAGAGTTCACATGAAAAACTTGTTACTTGGCATGATTCAATCCCATGAACACAAGTTTGGACTTTTTGTTGCTCTCTTCCGAAGTAAACCACATTTGCAATAATCTCTATTATTTATTTTACTTTTTTTCTTTATCTACTTGATTTTGGATTTGTAGTATGTCTAAGACTTGCAGTTAAATCGAACGTGTATGTTTTGATGGAATTGCTGTTAAAATTTAAGATTAATTGTCAAGAATTTTTCTATAGTTTAATGCAAATATATTCGTATATGTATAAGACAGACAAGAATACAAGAACAATAATTGTAGCATCTAATTTCTGTTCAAGAAGATAGATGAAGTTCTAAGCAAATGTTGTGGGGGGACCTTCGAAACGACGACACTTTGGTCGGTGAATCTCTCTATCTATCAACATAAAATTTAAGACCGAGGAACTGTCATATCCTTGTCTCACCCCTATATTCCATACAATTGCAAGTAATTTGATTGTTATAAAATTATCGCTCCAAGAATCATATAATAAGATATATAAGCACATCGTCTAATTAATTTAATCCCACATCTACGACAACTTAAGATATAAAACAGAAAAATGGCATTTATCGGAGAAGGAAGGAGACAGGCTATCGAGTTTTATCAATTATTAAATGAGACATAAAGATTAGTTATAAGTATAATTAAAGGAGATTAATTAATGACGGATATGATACGATTTAGCGAGAGATTAGAGGTGAGTAGTAATAATGGAAAAAAAAAACAATAAATAAATAAAAGGAGAGAAGCGGAAAGAGAGGCATGTCGAGTGATGGCATGTAAAAACCTAACATGGGATCATTCCAATTGCATTTCCAACGCCACCAGCTGTGGAATTTCATTACACCGAATCATTCTGTTTGCTCTTATGTCCTCTATCACTAACCATATATTATACACACATGATCCAACATATATCTATATATGTATAAAAACATCTATATTTATACATATGTATATTTAATTTGTGTTTCAATATCCTCGATCGGTCGTACAATTCTCATGTTTTCTCTTTCTCAAATGTTTTTTTTTTTTTTAAGTTGGAAAATTTTGGCCATATTGTTCATAATCTCAATGGTTTGTATATTTGGCGGATAGATACAAATTCGAATATAATGTCACTGAAATAGCATCTATTTTAAACCTTTTTCAAAAACAAAAAAAAGCATCCATTTAGATGATATATGTGCTAATCAACCGTATATGAATAAATGTTACTTTGATTCTATAAATAACAAAAAAGCGTTTTTTTTAATAAGAAAACTAACTTTGTATTAATAAAGTATGTTGAATTGGGATTCTCTCAAAAGGATTTTTTTTGTTTTGTTTTGTTTGCTCTCTTACGTTTGATGCCTAAATTTGTATATGAATCAAATGGGCAAATCCCAAGAAAACTGTTCCTGCTAATACAACGAGAAACTAATGTATATGTTTACATATACATTTATATGATGTCGTCATACTACTCGTACACATAGAAACAATATTTCGAACTCACGGGAAAGATGACAACATTTTCTTAAACAGTTCTTATTATTTTAAACATCATTTTATTTTTAGAAAGATATATTTTAAAGTAAATATAAAAAGAAAGCTTGATATCTTAGTTTGTGTAGTCATGTCTTATACTATATCGGAGTGTACTGCACCGAATCAAATGCCATGTGAACTATGCAGTAATCAAGTATACACACATACAATTTGTAATTTCAATCGACATGGTGATTCTGCTCAACTATAACCATTTGATTGTTTTTCTTCCATAAATTGTTGGTTTCTTCCGTTTTGTAGTGGTTACGATGTGAATTCTGCAGTGGTAGTACATCCTTAAAAACAAATTGGATTTATATTTTTTTTTTTGCAAAATGAAAGTGTATAATAGGGATGAAGTTTTAAACTAAAAAAAACATAGGGATGAAATCCTCGAATATTGTTGTCTGTTTTATTTGAATTGATTGGTCTGTCCATTATAAACATGGGTACAATAACAAGAGAGGAAATGAAAAGTAAGAAAAAGAGTTGGAGAAAAAGGAAAAACGTGTAATGTTGATAGTAAGATTCTCTGTTGATTGATGACTGTGAACGAGGGAGAAGTAGTTGGGTCTTGTCGCATAATCTTCGCTTTTTTAACGTTGGTTTCCACATATTCTAACTTTTCATTGGTTATATTGCCCTCGGTGTTGGTTGCTATTTGTGAATACGTGTCATTCTAAAGATCATAATATCAAACCAATGCTAATCTCCAAGTCTGGCGTCATAATTTATATATTATTGTTGTCAAGTATAAAGGAAAGAGAGAAAATGTTAAGATAACTGAATTTCAGATTTTTTTAACTGAAACCCATTATTAAACTGATCCCAAACCCTAGAGTATAAGTCTTCGTTTAATACAAGTAGTTGTCATCAATTATAAGTGAAGCAGAAATTCAAATGTTTGAATATCTGAATTTACAGTCAAACTTATCACTTTTCAAGATATCATATCGTGTAATTTCTACATCATTTCTATATATCTCTAAGGTGTGTATACTGATGATATATTCTAAACTTTCTTACATAACATAACATACAATAGATGAGAGTTACATGAAGTCGCAGAAAAAATATCAAAGCAAGCTCCATTAGTCTTTCACACTATATTTTGGACATTAGTGTTTCAAATGAAAAGATATGTCGGTTCGATATAACGATATATATTCATATTTATGATTCTGAGATTATAAACATGGTGGTAAGAGAATAAGAATTTCAACCCAAAAGCGTACGTAATTTAAAGATTCGCATGAGTTCTAGCCCTTACGCCGATAAATCACGGTACGGTGACATGTAAAATTTGGAGTGGCCATAAAAAACAAGTAAAAATATTTTACACACAAACACGATAAGTTACAGCTTGACAATGGTTCATCAACCATGGTTTTACTATTAACGAATCATATTATTATTTTTTGGAATTCACAATGAGAGAGTAGTTTATAATATATATATATATATATATATATATATATATATAATGTATATGTGTATGCATCAATCAGTGACATACATGTGCAGCTGTCTCTAGATATGTAGAAGCTGTCGAGGTTTGACCAATCTTTCTATAATTTTTATCCCTCATCATGTAATACTCATTACCAGCAGCCACATGTTTTTTCTTTAAAATATATTACAAACAATATTCGTAAGTATTTACACAAAATAAATGTTCAAATAATTTAACAGTGATAGCCCTACACACCCATGCATACATATCTGGAAAATGACTATAAAAGTATTTGGAGTATTTATATGTTTATAAATATTGCATAGTTTGTGTGGGGAAATATGGCAACAGTTGAATGGGAAATGTGTATTGATGTTGATTTTATTGCCTACGTAGTACACAGTGTTTTTGATATGATATGTCTCGCGCGTTTAATAATTGCATCCCCGTATAGAATAATAACGAATTACATAGTTACCAATATATAATATCATTTTTTTAATTACCATAACAAACTCGCAAAACTAACTGTATATTTATGCATGTTACTTATCCAAAAAAAAAAACTTATGCAATTTTATATACTTTTGTACCGAATGTAACTAATATTTGTAACCTATGGGATAGTCTTTTTTTTTTTGAAGCGTAGACAATGATCAACCACGACTAAATCGCATTAGAAAATTTTAAACCCTAACTCCGATTCAACCTACAGCTATTTGACCAAACATGGTTAGTTGTGTATTTGATCATACAATACAAACGATCTCTTTACAATAGCTGCAAAAGTTGAGAATTTGGTTTGGTTGTTCTCTTGTCTTCATATTATATGTTTTAATATTATTTGATGAAATAAATTTTAGTTACCATATGCTATATTGATAAATAATACTCCCTCCGTTTCGCAAAGAGTGTCGTTTTAGGATTACTTTTGCGTTTCAAATTAAGTGTCGTTTTAGATTTTCAATATAATATTTGGTATAAAATTTCTAATTTAACCTCAAGTTTATAGAAGAATACCAAAAGTCAATTGGAATTTAAAGGATATAAGAGATATTTTAATATGTTTTCTTAATTTGTGTGAAAAGTGTCAAAATGACATTTATTATGAAACAGAGGGAGTATCGTAGAGAAGATTTTAACTAATTAGGAATTTCATTAAATTACAAGTTACAACTTTAGGAACCTTCATGTACATGTGTGCTCGGTCGGTCTTAGCAAAAATTGATATGCCAAGCCAATGAAATGTATTAATGAGTCGGTTTGGGTTAATTAGATTCATCCGTATTTGGGTTAATCATTGGATTGAACAAATAAACAAATGCAAAACCAAGCTGTGGTGACAGAGTGAATGAGTGATAATTAAAGAGTTTTTTTTTTTTTTTTTCTGACTAGATCATCAATACAGTTGTAGACATAGCTTAGAAATTATGCAAAATAGAAAATTAAAACTGTGAATAATCAAGGTAAAGTGAAGTTTCTACCCACACAAGTTGTGTAACAACTACTACATCAATTAACGAGTCAAAAATTAAATTACCATATGAAAACGTCAAAGTTAATTAGAAACTAAATTTTATTCATTGAACCGATGAATTTTTGATGTATGGTTTATTAATCTGACACAGCATTATATTAACGATTTTTATTTTATTAACTAAAAAAAAAAGTGTGAGAGAACCATCAATGTTGAACCAATAGATGATAGTCAACTTATGGAGATTAGAGTGCAATTCCTTTCACCATAATGTCAATCATAGTTAGCCGCTATAAACATTTTTATCATATTGATTTCGGTTCGCAATTCCATGGTTATATAATTTTTTTTGTATAACGTTGTTAGAACATATGTACTTTTAGGTGTCAAAAAAAAAAAAAAAAAAAGAACATATGTACTTTTGTACTAAAAACATAAAACTAGTGTGCAAACAAGATTTTAAGATAGTCTGAAATCCGGTTAACAGAAAAATAAAATATTGTTGGTTGGGAAATATTAGAACAAACGAGAGAGAGTATGTGGAGGTTACGATGAGGAGAAGAGACACAGAGGCACACACTCACTTAAAAGCAAAACCATTTTGGCTAAACCGAAAGACTCGGTCGGAGTCTAGAGCCTGTCTCTCCCGACATCCTCTGTCACACCTCACGTGCATGCTGCACCCACACTCACGTGCACATACATTTTCTATTGTTTTTTTTACCCAAAATAAAAACAACATATTTATTGACTCTTTCTTTAGTTGTTGTACAATAGGGGTGGGGGAAATTGAGGAGTTCATAAGTCTCAAGTTTTTGTTATATGATGCATGCGTATGTTTTTGAGGAAACTTTTGCAGAATGCATAAATCAAATCCAATTATACTTTTATATTATATAAATATAAAAGTCAATAGTGGGAGGTGAAAAAAAAAATATCAACAATGATTGATTGTTATTACTTATTAGAATGGTTAATTCGTTTTGATGAGGAGTGGTTTCTAAACACATCAATTGTTGTACATATACTCTCCACGCGCAGCAAATATTGACCCAAAAAAGCAAAAAAAAACTAAAGCATGCCTACTTTTATTCTTGTTGAGATTTACTTTGTTGTCCCATATCTTTTGAAATTTTGATCCTATATATATGTTTAAACCTAACTTACCAAACTTTACATTCTTTTTTTTTTTGAAGTTTTCTTTGTTCATTAGAGTTCAAAAGTTCTTGAGATCGCTTCACCTCGAATTTAGAAAATTATAAACAATACATCTCTTGTTTAACATTTATAAACATTTAGATGTCTGATTAATCTATTTACAACTTGTAAATTATAAACTCTAGAAAGAAAACACGTATCAAATCGATTAATAGATATTAAACTGCTAAGTTCATGGCTAATCTTCGGTATTCTTGTTTGATAACCTCGATAAGTTGAACATATATTAGTGAGCTTTTTACCAAAAAAAATATATATATATATATATTAGTGAGCTCTTATGGTTTTTGTTTAATGTCCATTTAGTGGTGTGACATCTCATATGTTCTCACCAATTAAAAGATTACCACTTGAATTCTTTTAAATGTGATATCTTTTACTGTAGTAATTTTATTCTGTTTTGATCAAAAGATTAACTAACTTGTTTTTTGGATCTTGTAGTATATATTAATGCATATTCGGATATTTGATTAATTGAATACATTGAACAATCATCTTCTCAATGTATTGAGATAAAATAAAATCAGTAAAGAATATCTATCTACTTTGGAAAGAGTCAGAGTTGTTCACGAAAGATATATAAATTAAATTCCGTTTGTCGAAAGATAGAAAAGCCACAGTAGTGCAATATAAATAAACAAAAAGGTAATAATTAGGTCAAAACCTCCCAACTAAATGCATATAAACTGAGATTTTTCTTATTAAAAAAAAATCTGAAAAACAAATATCAAATATGTTCATTTAAAGTAAATTCAATAAGAAAGATGGCGTTAAAAAGGAGCGTTAAAAAGGAAAAGGCTCTACTACTACATATAATATTTATACGTAGAGAGCTGAAAGTAAGGAACTACTCTACTCCGGTCCAGATTAATTGTAGAGAACTTTATACATTAATTAAAACAAAAAGAACACTTTATTATTGATTTTAAAAATCAGAATAATTAATAATGAATTGAATTCCCTGAAAAAATAATAATTACACATGAAGGTTAGCTTTAATTGGAGTATAATGATGTCCGTAGCTCTGTAAACATGTGAAGTTCTCCTCCTTTTGCGGCTAGTGGGTGCTCCATTGCGTATCAAAAGGAATATTATTCTAATCATACATTAAGTAATTAAAATACTCTTTCTATTATTGCATTAAAATAAGTGTATTTCCAAAGTTTTTTCTCGCATTATACGGACATGTCTCAATTTGGACCAATCCATATAAATGAATAAATTTATTAGCTATATTATAACAAAATAATCTGTATAGAAAAGAAAAAAAGTGGGACATCTTTTCTAGTAATAAGTATAACAAAGAGTTTATAATTTAGGATTAGTTTTTTAAACATTTGGTTTGCACTTCTCGATCCACCGAACCTAATCCTTATTCTCAAGTTCTCAACAAATCCGGGTTTATGGTATAACCTTCATAAGAAATTCCATATTACTAAAGTAAAAATAAATATGGTTATAAAACGAGGGAAAGTTAACAGATTTTTGAAACCATGGACTATTTTTCCAACAACATACATAAATTACAATCTGAAAAAGATAAAAATTAAAAAAAAAAATGTAAAGAGTATTAAAAAAAGGGTGGGACCGACAAGAAGAAGACATCAAGTGGGGTGCCACGTCACAAGGCATAAGAAAATATTTCATCTTTCCGCATGTATCCGATCCCAATCGGCTTAAATCTCAAAATCCTAATTTTTTTTTTTTTTTAAAAAGAAAGAAAAAAAAAACACTTGAGAATCTGCAGAAACACGAAAAAAAAGAAAAGTTTCAAAGCTTTTTAAGAGCTTAAAAATTTGCTTTGAAGCTTCAAAATATTCTTATGAACTAAAAAGAAAAGCCTTTTGTTTCTTTTTTTTTCTTAGAAGAAATGATTTTTGTTCTCAAAATCATTATTTAGTTTCTCTCGTGCTCTTCTCTCTTTTTTCCTCTTTCTAGAGTTAAGAGCAAATACAGATTCGTTAATTTTGCTCAAGAACTCTGTTTCTTTCCTCCAACAAACAAAAGTTTTTTTTTGTTTTTTCTTCTATAACCCATGAAGGCTCCATCAAATGGGTTTCTTCCCACTTCCAACGAAGGTACTTCAAGCTTTAAATTTCGAGATTTTAAATTCAATTCTCTTTCTCAAGCTTTCTGGGTTTACAGTTTCTGCATTTCATGTTTTGAGATTTTCTGATTGAAAAATTGAGTTTTGTTATTCAATTTCAACTTGGAGTCAGCACAAAGCCACAAATCGAGTTCTTCTATCAGTCTATTTAATAAAGTAGTTGAAACATAAATGCCGCAAATTTTTAATAAAATTTCCATACTTTACATGAAAATATGCAAAATTTCTTCATTTTAACAGATTTGAATATGTTTTGTGTGATGATGAACAGGAGAGAAGAAACCAATCAATTCTCAACTATGGCACGCTTGTGCAGGGCCTTTAGTTTCATTACCTCCTGTGGGAAGTCTTGTGGTTTATTTCCCTCAAGGACACAGCGAGCAAGTAAGTTCCAAACGCTGTTTTATTGCGTTTGAAACAATTGACACTTTGATAGCAATCTAAGTAATATATTTCAATGAAACTTTTTTCAGGTTGCAGCATCGATGCAGAAGCAAACAGATTTTATACCAAATTACCCAAATCTTCCTTCTAAGCTGATTTGCTTGCTTCACAGTGTTACATTACATGTAAGTCTCTTCTGCCTCCAACTTGTGAATCAAAATCAGATAGAGGAGAAGAGGATGAAGAACTAATCATGACTTTTGTGAAATTCTGAATCAGGCTGATACCGAAACCGATGAAGTCTATGCACAAATGACTCTTCAACCTGTGAATAAGGTCTGAATCATCATTCTTTTTGTGGTACCTTGGTTTAAGTTTGAGGATTTTAAAGCTGATCTTTACTCAAAATGTGTAACAGTATGATAGAGAAGCATTGCTAGCTTCTGATATGGGCTTGAAGCTAAACAGACAACCTACTGAGTTTTTTTGCAAGACTCTTACTGCAAGTGATACAAGCACTCATGGTGGATTCTCTGTACCACGTCGTGCAGCTGAGAAAATATTCCCTCCTCTTGTATGTCTCTGATCAAAGCTACCCTCAATTTCTTCTGCTTTATCTTTAAAATTCTGTTTTGCTAAAAGTTCTGAGGGTGCTTAAAAATAGGATTTCTCGATGCAACCGCCTGCGCAAGAGATTGTAGCTAAAGATTTACATGATACTACATGGACTTTCAGACATATCTATCGAGGTTTGAATCATCTCAAGTTTGGTTTAGTAGTCCAAAAGATTGGAATTACTTCAACCTGATTTGTTTTCTTTGCTGTAATCTGATCTCAGGCCAACCAAAAAGACACTTGCTTACCACAGGTTGGAGCGTTTTTGTTAGCACAAAGAGACTATTCGCGGGTGATTCAGTTTTGTTTGTAAGGTATGAGTCATACTTTGATCAAAACACTTAGCAGAATTGGACTTTCCTCTTCTCATAAGGGCACTCTGGTTTGCAGAGATGAGAAATCACAGCTTATGTTGGGTATAAGACGCGCAAATAGACAAACTCCGACTCTTTCCTCATCGGTCATCTCCAGCGACAGTATGCACATTGGGATTCTTGCAGCTGCAGCTCATGCTAATGCCAATAGTAGCCCTTTTACCATCTTCTTCAATCCAAGGGCAAGTCCTTCAGAGTTTGTTGTTCCTTTAGCCAAATACAACAAAGCCTTATACGCTCAAGTATCTCTAGGAATGAGATTCCGGATGATGTTTGAGACTGAGGATTGTGGGGTTCGCAGATATATGGGTACAGTCACTGGTATTAGTGATCTTGACCCTGTAAGATGGAAAGGCTCACAATGGCGTAATCTTCAGGTAATGATATATCAGAGTTATGCTAAACTGTTTATGATGGTCATTTCTTCTTAATCTTTTCCTGAATCTTTGTTCATGGTTTAAACAGGTAGGATGGGATGAATCAACAGCTGGAGATAGGCCAAGCCGAGTATCTATATGGGAAATCGAACCCGTCATAACTCCTTTTTATATATGCCCTCCTCCATTTTTCAGACCTAAGTACCCGAGGCAACCAGGGATGCCAGGTGAGTTTACTTCTTTCTATATATTTATCCATAGATCTTTGACTAGTTTCTGGATCCTAACCTTGGAGGTTTGTTGCAGATGATGAGTTGGACATGGAAAATGCTTTCAAAAGAGCAATGCCTTGGATGGGAGATGATTTTGGGATGAAGGACGCACAAAGTTCGATGTTCCCTGGTTTAAGTCTAGTTCAATGGATGAGTATGCAGCAAAACAATCCATTGTCCGGTTCTGCTACTCCTCAGCTCCCGTCTGCGCTCTCATCTTATAACCTACCAAACAATTTTGCTTCCAACGACCCTTCCAAGCTGTTGAACTTCCAGTCCCCAAACCTCTCATCCGCAAATTCCCAATTCAACAAATCAAACACGGTTAATCATATCAGCCAACAGATGCAAGCACAACCAGCCATGGTGAAATCTCTACAACAACAACAACAACAACAACAACAGCTGCAACAACAACAACAACAGCTGCAACAACAACAACAACTACAGATGTCACATCAACAGCTGCAGCAACAAGGGAATTATAACAATGGTGCGAGTGCTGTTGCTAACCAAGTCTCTTGTCAAAATCCAAACCAACCTACTGGATTCTCTCAGTCTCAGCTTCAGCAGCAGTCAATGCTCCCTACTGGTGCTAAAATGATACACCAGAACATAAATTCAGTGGGGAATAAAGCCTCGTCTCAAATGACATCGTTTGCGCAAGAAATGCAGTTTCAGCAGCAACTGGAATTGCATAACAGTAGTCAGTTACTAAGAAACCAGCAAGAACAGTCCTCTCTGCATTCATTACAACAAAATCTGTCCCAAAATCCCCAGCAACTCCAAATGCAACAACAATCATCAAAACCAAGTCCGTCACAACAGCTTCAGTTGCAGCTACTGCAGAAGCTACAGCAGCAGTCGGTTCCTCCAGTAAGCTCATCCTTACAGCCACAATTATCCGCGTTTCAGCAGACACAAAGCCATCAATTGCAACAACTTCTGTCATCACAGAATCAACAGTCCTTGGCACATGGTAATAACAGCTTCTCAGCTTCAACTTTCATGCAGCCTCCACAGATTCAGGTGAGTCATCAGCAGCAAGGACAGATGAACAACAAAAATCTTGTAGCCGCCGGAAGATCACATTCTGGTCACACAGATGGAGAAGCTCCTTCGTGTTCAACCTCACCTTCCGCCAATAACATCGGACATGATAATGTTTCACCGACGAATTTCCTGAGCAGAAATCAACAACAAGGACAAGCTGCATCTGTATCTGCATCTGATTCAGTCTTTGAGCGTGCAAGCAATCCGGTCCAAGAGCATTATACAAAAACCGAGAGCCGGATCAATCAAGGCATGGTAAATTTGAAGAGTGCTGGTGAACAGTTCAGATTTAAAGGCGCGGTAACAGATCAAATCGATGTATCTACAGCGGGAGCGACATATTGTCCTGATGTTGTTGGCCCTGCACAGCAGCAACAGACTTTCCCACTACCATCATTTGGTTTTGATGGAGACTGCCAATCTCATCATCCAAGAAACAACTTAGCTTTCCCTGGTAATCTCGAAGCCGTAACTTCTGATGCTCTCTATTCTCAAAAGGACTTTCAAAACTTGGTTCCCAACTATGGCAACGCACCAAGAGACATTGAGACGGAGCTATCCAGTGCTGCAATCAGTTCTCAGTCATTTGGTATTCCCAGCATTCCCTTTAAGTCCGGATGTTCAAATGAGGTTGGTGGCATCAATGATTCCGGCATCATGAATGGTGGAGGACTGTGGCCCAATCAGACTCAACGAATGCGAACATATACAAAGGTTATAGATCTTTCTCTCCCTTTCCAAAGCTCTAATCTTTTGCTTCTTAATTTTTGAATGCTAAATGCCGAAAGGTGTGAAATCCTTGAAGGTTCAAAAACGAGGATCAGTAGGAAGATCAATAGATGTTACCCGTTATAGCGGCTATGATGAACTTAGGCATGACTTAGCAAGAATGTTTGGCATCGAAGGACAGCTCGAAGATCCGCTAACCTCTGACTGGAAACTCGTATACACTGATCACGAAAACGATATTTTACTCGTTGGTGATGATCCTTGGGAGTACGTTCCAGACCTGAAAAATTACTCTGTAACAATCAAGATTCAACAATTCTGATAATTCTTGTCTGTTTGTATTTTCCACAGAGAGTTTGTGAACTGCGTGCAGAACATAAAGATACTATCATCAGTAGAAGTTCAGCAAATGAGCTTAGACGGAGATCTTGCAGCTATCCCAACCACAAACCAAGCCTGCAGCGAAACAGACAGCGGAAATGCTTGGAAAGTACACTATGAAGACACTTCTGCTGCAGCTTCATTCAACAGATAGAAAAAAGATGCAAATACACCAAATCAACTTACATCGATATCATTAGGCCATCGCAAAGTACAGCTTTTTTTGTATGTGTGTGTGTGTACTGCAAACAACAAACTGAGAAGAAGAAGAAGACGATACTGCAAGGTATATATACATTTTTATAGGACAGTGATTGATTTTTCATTCTAACTTGATGTTGTTGTACTTTCTTGTTTCCATATTTGTATAATGCTTGACAAGTCTATGAAGAGCATATTTTTATACAGAGATACTAAGATGTAATGTAACTAAACAATTACCTTCATTAACCATGAATCTTTGGTCCTCTCTTCTTCTCTTCAATGCCTCCTAAAGAATCTGGGATCATTTCAGATTCTTTTAAACCAGAATCATCTAGACGCAGCAAAAATATTCAACGTTTTGAAAACGAAAGAGGAGTTAAAGAAAGAATCACGTGAAAAACAAGGACATGGACAACAAAACCAAACAGTCTCTGAGATTTCCCGCGTGACCACACAATAAGACTAAAGCTTCTTCGAACATCCGCCACGTGTCCATCCCCCTGACACTTTGCGGCGTTTTAAGTACAAACGCGCTCCCTTTGACCTTTGATTTTGACCTTCTTTCTTCTTCACGCGCCATAAAAAGTCAAAAACTCACTCTTCACTCTTTTATTTCACTCGTATAAATACATTTCTAAAGCGCCAAATTATATCATCTCAATTCAAATCAACACTAACACTTAAGAACAGAGCTCACTGAAAACTAATAAGAACATAACTAAACCGGAAACAGAGAAATCGTACCGGGTTGGTTTAATTGTGATGGAGGGATCGTCTTCTTCGATGCAGTCAAAGTACAAAGGAGTGAGGAAGAGGAAATGGGGGAAATGGGTTTCAGAGATCAGACTACCAAACAGCAGAGAACGTATTTGGTTGGGCTCTTACGATACTCCTGAGAAGGCGGCGCGTGCTTTCGACGCGGCTCTTTATTGCCTCCGTGGCAACAACGCCAAGTTCAATTTCCCTGATAACCCTCCGGTGATCAACGACGGACGAAACTTGTCGCGATCTGAGATCAGAGAAGCTGCTGCTAGATTCGCTAATTCGTCGGAGGATGATTCAAGTGGTGGAGGAGCAGGATACGAGATAAGGCAAGAGTCGACTTCAAAATCGATGGACATTGATTCGGAGTTCTTGACTATGCTTCCGACTGTTGGTTCGGGTAATTTCGCTTCGGAGTTTGGGTTATTCCCTGGGTTTGATGATTTCTCCGATGAATACTCCGGTGATCGTTTCAGAGAGCAGCTTTCACCTACACAAGATTATTATCAAGGAGAAGAGAATTACGACGGTGGTTCCATGTTTCTTTGGAATTTTTGAATTTCATGATTCACAGTCTGAAAAATTTTGATTTGGGTTTTTAAAATTTTTTTTGTATTTCTTTTTACCCAATTTTTTTGGATCATTGGGATAAGGGATATTCATTCATTATTTTTTTCCCACGTGTTAGAATTTTCAGATGGGAAAAGGCCAGCTTAATAAAACAAATATATTTGGATAAAACCCTTGTGATGTCAGTTGATCATATCATCATCCACTCCTATCGCTTTCACTGGGCCCAATTACTCATCTTATTTTTAGTTGTACGATTAAGCCCAATAATATTATTTCAGGCCCATTCAAACTAATAAGGGTATTGTCTTATTGAAGATTAGTCATTGTACGATTTAGCCCAATAATATATTTTAGACCCATTCAAACCAATAAGGGTATTGTCTTAGCCACTGTTTTTTTTGACCAATGTGAAATAAAACGAAGAAGAAGAATTAAGAATCTAGTTACGTAATTATCTGAAATTACATACTGCATTATTATATTTACAAGTGGCAAAACGTTAATATAATATGCAGTAAGTACAAAAAAAGGGTATCTGGATATTGAAAGAAAAAGACTTTTTAATAAAACTAAAAGGTACATATTACATAACGTAAAGAGCTTAAAAAAAAAAAAAAAAAAAAAAGAGCTTAGTAACAAAAAAATGCGAATATCCGACCCGTAAAGAAGAATTGCGGATATCCGGTGGGGCTAAGTCTGTAGCTTCTCCATTTCGTCTTCTTTCTCTTGTCCATAATCACAGATTTTTTCCTATAAAGATTTGCTTCTTCCATTGCTCTTCTTCTCATCGTCAAATATATCTCTCTGGTCTTCTTTCTTCAGTTTTCGATTATGTCATTAAGCAATCCAATGACCTGGAAACTCTCCCACATGGTGGTTCCAGGAAAAAACTCGATTATTACGTCGGCAAATGTCACAGCTAGGCGAACAAGTCCATTAGATATGAAATTCCCGTCGCCTGGAAGTTCGAAGAGGTACGAAGACGGCTGTGGAATTGGTTTAGGTATAGTCGCTGCGCTTGAGAAATCCGGCATCGGGATCGATACGGTTTGTCATACCGGGGCCGGTTCGATAGGATTCGACCTGGCTCGATATTCCAAGAGATTCCAATTCGCGGCGGATATTGATCAATCTGACTCTGAGGAATACACTTGCGTCACGACTCGTGATGGCCGGACCAAAGTCTATTACAACGAAGAAGAATTTGAATTTGGTCAGAATCTATCGAACGGTAATCAGAGATCGAAAAAATCGATAGAAATCGCGGAGGAATCACCGGTGAAGAAGAGAGAGGCATTGAGAGATTCTCCAAATTTTCTGATTTCATGTTGCTTGTGTAAGAAGAAACTTAGAGGCAAAGACATTTACATGTACAAGTAAGCTCCTCCAATGTGCCCCTTTTGTTATTCATATGACAAATTTACAACTCCAAAGAAAGTGAATTTGATTAAATATTCTGAATATTGATTAATTATTATTTTTCATGAATGTGCAGAGGAGATGAAGGATTTTGTAGTAGAGAGTGTAGATCGGTGAAGATAATGGATGATAGTTTAGTCGAGCAACATAAATTGAGAAATGCCGAGGTTTTAAGCTCCCCATGCGCCGGAGATGAGATTGCCTCCCCCGGAATATTCCTAATATGAATTTGTGAGCGGTCCGGTTAGATTCTACCAAAAATTACAGAAATTTTCTAGTAATGCTGTATATTTTGTCTATCTTGCCATATTTGTTAAGGCTTCGTTTTTGAGTTATAACGAGAAACCAAAGAAGAATGTTTTAGTGTGGACAAAACAGACAATGATTAACAATTTAAGTAATACACTACAAAGTTTAAAATATAGTGTTGATAAAAGTATGAAACCAACCATGATCCTTCAGGCAAGTTAAAGGGGAAATGAGGAGTGGTTAAAAAACTCGCTTAATGCGAGAAGAGTGTTTCGCTCAGCCTGTTACGACAATTGAGCACTCTCCTTCTTTTATCATCTGATCCCTCTTTAAAAAAAAAAAAAAAAAAAAAAAAAAAAAAAGTATGAAACCATACAAACCTTATTTAGTATTGAGATGGTAACCGGTATTTTTGCATTTTTCATTTCAACGACGTCGCTTAACATGTTCCTTCTTTAAGAAACTCTGCAAAATTCCGCAAAAGTCGACGAGCATTATCAGAATCAGGATTCCTCAAATGAAAAACATGACCTTCCTCCTTAGTCTCCATCACTTCCACTTTCCCTACCCATCCACTCTTCTCCAGCTCCGCCGCGTAACTCCAACCTCCCCTCGCCAACACATCATTTCCCGCCACCATAACCAAAACCCGCCCGCAACCCAACTCAGATAGATCCGACCCGACCACATTAATCCACGGATCCTCCACACCGTTTTCACTATCAGGACTCGCGATTCTCCAAAGCCTCTCATAATATCTCATCGCTCCCACTTCCATCTTCTCAATCAAAGCTTTTGACATAAAATAGGGATGAAACAGAATCATCCCCGATATTTTGAAAATTTCCGGCGAGAGTTCTTCTTTCTCGACTCTAATCGCCATGTGATGCGCAATGTTTGCTCCGGCGCTGTCTCCGGCGAGAAATACGTTACTGAAATCTGCGTGTTTGTTTAGCCAATCTTCAGAACCAGATCTGGTTATATGAGTGAAGATCCATTGAATCGCTTCCCATGAATCTTCGTACAAGATTGGAATCGGATGCTCAGGCGCGCGCCGGTAATCTACTGAGACGGCGATGCAATCAGTGGCTGAAACAGCTGATGTGAGAAAAGTGTGGTAAATTGTAGAGAAAGCTGTTTCCATGATGAAAGCTCCGCCGTGGAAGTAGACGAGTAGTGGGATTTTCTTCTCGCCGGTTTCATCGACGGATTTCTTAGGGAGGTAAATGCGGAGAGAGAGGTTTTTCTCCGGTGAATAGACTGCGTCTTTAGATACGACGCCGTTTTCGGGTTTTAGCGACGGTGGGACGAATGTTTCCGCTACGAGGCGTTCGATGCGGCCGTTCTTGAAGATCCTAAACCTCGGAGAATAGTCGAATGCGACATCGGAATCCATTAGAGATAGTGATGATTAGGAAGAGGATTAAGAGTTGATTTTGGTGTTTATGCAAATTATTTATATAACTGATCTCTATTCTCTAGTCTCTACAGTTTTGGTTTGGTTGAGATGTCACATTGTTCTTTAGTTGTTGTATACACATACCTACTAACTCATAATTCATCGGTTTAAATCATTAAATATGAGATTAGTGATGATAACAAGTAAACGATTTTTGTGATGTTTTTTAAGGCATTGAAGACACACCTACTAACGTGATTGGTGATGATAACACAGAAACTATGGAAATGTGTAAAATGTTAGGCCATCCACAATGGGAGAACTATAAGCAATTAAGCATGGTCTTAGAATAAAAAAATTACAAAATAATAAAAAGAGGAAAGAACAGTTGAGAAACAGATCCTCGGCCAGATCTGTTTTTGAAACGATCTTAGAGACAGGTGTCTAATTCTGATTGGATTCAAATTTGGCAAAGGAAAAAAAGCCCCATTTCTCTTCTTCTTCCTCCTCCGAAATCTTCAATGGCAACAAGTGTCTAATCAACTTTTTAACAAAAAATCTTAACTACTGATCTTATATTTTTTTAACCATATTTTTACTCTAAGAACACCCAAAAGTGATCCCCCATTGAAGATGCCCTAAGAACTACACATTACAGAAACGAATGAAGTTAACAAGAGATGTAAAAGAAGCACTTTCAAAGGACTATAAGATATCATTTATATTTGATACTATTGTTCGTCAACAAAAATTATTTCTTACAAAATTAGTTACATACATAACTAATTTTGAAATAACCCAAAGCAAGGGGATTTAGACAGGCGACAATACCTAGTAAAACAACAAACTAAGACGAATACTAACAAGAATTGATCACTAATCAAATACATACAAATATATGAAGTTTCCTAATCATTGAGTAGTTGTAACAATATAACAAGCTTAAATCAAGAAGCATGAAGATATATAGGAGCTTTTATATCTTGTATTGAAGCAACGTCAAAAGAATTGTCCCGTACGGCTTGAGGATGGTCTAGCGGTTAGCGTTCATATTTCAGCTGCCAAACCGAGCCACGACATGTTGTCTGCGGTTTGAGGCTTTGAAGACGCTTTGGCTGGATCGCATAACTGGTATGGTGCCTTTGACGTAACTCTGTCCTTTCTCTTCTCCAAGAACCGGTGAAGTGAAGCTCTTCTAGCAATAGGAAGTTCTGTCAATGGTGTTGGGGAGGATTGGATTGGCTCTTGTGTTGTGGTTTTTCTTGGATGAGGAACTTGGTTTGTGATGGTAGCGATGTTGCTTCTGATCTCGGTTTGATTCTTGGCTAAGTTGACATTAGATGTGAAACCGGTGAAGCTATTAGCGTTGCCTTTGCTAGCCAAGTTCATCACTTCTTTGGCTTTCTCAGCAGAGAAGTCATTGAATACAATCACTTGCCCGGCGTAGAATATAGTCAATGGTGCAGTTTGAGACTCTGGTTTCACAGATCTGGTAGTCTGTGTCATTTTCAGAACATCTTCCTTTGGAACAGAGGAAGATGAGGAAGAAAAACTTGGTTGCCGTGGAAACAAATTCGTCGGTTTAACATCTTGAGCTGGTGCTGCCATGGAATCCATGTTTGAAGCTTCACAAGGAAATAAACTCATCGTTGTTGTCGGCTGACGTGAGTTGCCAAAAGTTCCTGCAAATATATGATCCAAAAGTAAGAACTCTCTCCCCACAATTTTCTTTGAATCGATTCGCAATTCTTTCAATCTTCTTGAAAAAATTTCAAGATCAAGATTCAAGAATTCGAAATCAGAGAAAACGAAAAAATAACTGGATCTAGGAGAAAGAGAAGGTTTCTTACCATTGACATCAGGCTTGCATGCCATGCCTAAGCTCAGATCTCCAAAGCTACCGTTCTCTTTCAGATACTGACTCAATCGACTACACGTCTGTGAGAAGCTCGGCTTCCCAGTAAATCTCCGACTACCGACGAACTCAGAACATTCCATAGAACTCGACATCTTTAACAAATAAAACTTTCAAAACAAATAAATCTCCAATCTTTCTTCAGAATAAGGTTAAGGTTTTTCTTCTTGTTGATGTTGTTGCTTCTCTGCAAATTGCGTTTGTCACGAGGGAGAAATGGAGGGTCTCTTTAAAGCTTTGTTTGGCTTTGGGTTGGTTTTGGTTTGGTTGCAGAGTTCTTCCTTCCTACCTCCAATATAACATAAGTATATATTAATAAATTAATAAATACTACTACTTTACTTATCGTATAAAAAACACGTGTTTTATTTATTTCTGTTTTAATAAAATCGGGAAATGTGTCTCGGTTCACTGTTCTCCACGTTCAACGCTTTCCGTTTATTTTCAGATTACGATTTTATCCTCCTTCTTCTTCTTCTTCACGAGCCTACTACTTATCTATTGGTTGTTTGTTGGTAGAGGACGAAGAAAGTTAAATAAAACACAAGATGCATGTAAAGAGGTGTTAGATTTTATCTTTGATCTTTACTTATTAGTAACGTAAATTAATCGTAGGCATAATTCTCGTCGTGATTTTGGTGCTGATTTTTTTTTCTGTATCCGATAGTTAACAAGAAAATCAACCAAACACGTCCAAAATAACTTTAATTTTCCTAATTAAAAAATCACATTTCACAGTGAAATATACATTAAAAAACAAAGCAAAACGCGTTAGAATCAGTCAACAGTCAAGCCTAATCTCTTAAATGCTCTTCATTGAGACTAAATAATCTTATAATCAAAATCAAATTAAAATCTATATGATATTTTATACTCGAAGCATTTTAAAACTTATTAGTATTATAAAGTATATTAACGCGTGATTCATGCAGAGAGACAAGCGAAGGTTTGTCTAATACTATCTAGAAAATAATAAATTAAAATATAAAGTCTGCTAGTTGTCGAGTTGGAATAAAAATGAGGCCCAAGCTAATAGTCATACATCAAAGTCAACCCACATGTCGACCGTCACAATTGATAAAACGCCATGAACTTCAATCAATATTACAAACTGAGGCATAATCAAAAGGCTCGTAAAAAAAACAGGACACAATATTTAACATATCCGAAAGCAAATGAGAAACGACTAATCCATAAGTGAAGGGTATTACCGTCAACAAACAAAGTAAACGGCGTTAGTTAACTGTGAGTGGTCCCCAATTTAGGACAACTCCACCATCCACATGTTCCGTCGACCACGTTTTTGTTGTTATGCGTTTTTTGAATAATATCAATATTTAAAGAAAAAAGAAGCAAAAGAAGAAGGAAACCACAAGGAAAGGAGGTTGGCAAGTGCACGTTGTCTGTACCTGTTTTCTATGACACGTGTTTATCTATGGTTGGTCCGTTTTTCTACGCGTGTAGTAGATTCGTCTTGTATTTCAGTATCCCGGGCTGTTATACGCTGCTACGCGACCTATAGAGAGTTCTAAATGTGATTTTATATCACTAAAATGGCTAAAGTTGAACTCTAGAGCCCCTTTCTCAAAATACACCAAGTCCAAGTTCAGATTTTTTTAATCCTATATATCTATACATGTATATTAAAAAATATCTATTTATGCAAAATAAACCTATACTCATTCCGTTGCAAACTCTAAAACCGAACTTCTTAAGTATGTATAGGTTTTAGGCCTGGGCAAAATATTCGTTCGATCTGCTTCGATTCGGTATTCGATTTGATTTGATTCGAAAAATCCGAATATCCGTAAGATTTTGGAGCAAAGCAAATAGAAAAATATAATATTCGTTAAAACCGAAGCAAATACCAAATACTGTATTTTTAAAAGTTGGATATCCGCTTCGATCCGTTTTTTCTTATATATATTAGAATATATATAATTATGTATATATATATATCATAATATAGTTTGTGTTTTTGTATATTTTGGGCTTGTATTTTTTTTATCTTTTGGGCTTGTGTTTTTTTTTGGTGAGCTTTTGGGCTTGTGTTTGGCATGTTCGTGATCGGTGATATCAATGATGGTTACGTTTGTTTTTTTGGAACATATTTTGAAAACATATGAAACAAGGACTTTAAATATATGATATTTTGTTATTTTATATAGTTTACGGTTTTTAAAAAATATTTAGATGTATAGCGGATATCCGCAAATATCACAAAAATATCTAGATATTCGAATTTTCGGATATTCGCAAATATCACAAAAAAATCCGGATATTCAAATTTCCGAATATCCGGAAATTTCCGAATCAAAGCAAATCACAAAATCGAGTATTCGGTTGAAACGAATCAAATATCAAATATCACAAAATTTCCGGATATTCGCTTCGTGCCCAGGCCTATCACCTACGTCGATGACATGTTTATAGGCTACATAATAAAACGAATAATAGATAGATCTGAATTGTAACTTGGTCGTCTATAATATACACATAATGTTTAATTAGACTTGGATAATTCGACACAATTTCCTTTATATTAATTTAATCAGTAAACTACGATATTATAAAATGGACTCGATCGACACAATTCGGAAGAAAAAGTCGTCCGATACAATCGAGTCTTTCTTTTTACATAATTGACAGAAACTTTATTAGTAGAAGATTATATATATATAAAATTCAAGATATGTTTCACTAATAAAAAACTCAACTAATAGTTTTGAGTTTATTGGTTAGAAGTTGGAACGTATAAGATATGAAATGTGGGCTATGAGCCTAGAAAAGTAGATAGGAATAGGATTAGATTAAACGAGAAAGATCGTCAAACTCGTGGGAAATGCGTGTTCTGTAGTATTGTAGTGGTTGGGGAAGGAATACAGATCCGCGATGCAAGTTGAGTAACGTGTCCAAATATATATATATTTGTACTTTTACAACTATTCATGCATCATTTGAGTTTACCTTTAATTTATGACTCTTAATTTAGTTGCATTATTATAGTATAGTGTTTTAGTCCTTGTTAATGATATACTAATATCATAGAAAACTTTAATGTCTAGTATATTATACAGGTCGTTTAGGGTTTTCTTTTGAGTAAGGTAATACTTACAAATTAAATTTACATGGTTGACTTCGCTAAGCATAGATTGATACGTTGCCACGTTGTATAGTTTTTATTTGTTTAACAAATTCTTATGTAACAATCAATTATACAAATATACATGTTTTGAGAAAATTGAAAATAAATAATATGCACATGAAATTTCTAGAAATGATCAAACAACTGTTCTGCAATTTCTTTTTGTTACATGTAAAAGTACGCATGCGTTTGTTAGACTTTCAAAATTAAATATTATATAGATAAAATGTTAAACAAAGAAAGGAAAACTATAGTATATAATAGAAATAGAAATAGAAATAATACAGTTGATGAGGCGCCACATGGGTCGTGACCATTATTGGAGTCGTCGGTGTTCTGCAGAATTAATGTATGAAACTGTGCTAATTAACTTTATGAGTGGAACATGCTTCTCGTGACATTAAATTAAGATTTTTATATAAATTAGATATTTTGAATAATTTATCTTATTTCTTGTTGGTGCTTGGTTTTCGTGCTAGGTCAAAATGTGAGTTCAGTCAATCAAAAACCACATTCTCGCGATTGTTTTTTTGGCCGGAGTTGGCTATCAAAACCTAGCTAGTAGCTAGTTAAATTAAATCAAGAACCAACCTGGTTCACTGAATATGCCGAGACCATGTATCATGCGCATTAACATGCGAGCTTAGTAATGGAGTCGTCGAATACAACATCACGTGCTTTCGATAACTTCAACATGGACATTCTGATTTTTCTAAGCATTCTTCCGCTCAACTGTATACCTCAACATTTATGAGTTTGAGTTTTGTATTCATTCATTATATTCATCAAAATTTGTATTCTTTAATTCGATCAATAAAGAAACTTAATTCCTTTTGTTCTAATCTATTGTTTGTTCATCAACGAATTATCCAAGATTCAACAGTTCTTTTTATACTATCATTAATAGACCTATTTGTGAATAATTTTCGTGTCGAACTAGTAGTCTGTTGATTTGTATTAATTAGTATTGTCCTCATAATGCAAGCTGTTTGTTCTACTCAAAATGAAAAAGATACCCAATATACTATTACTATATCACAAGAAAAGAGTAGAAAACCATATTACAAATATATTTCACAGTTTCTTCCTTTATTGTGGAAAATGAACTGCTCCTTGTCTATATTTATAACATCTACTTTATTAATGAAGTCATGAGTTTGAATAGTTACAAAGAAAGACATCAGAAATTACATAAAAAAATTGGGCCATTTTTCGACTTGTGCATGAATTTTTACCCTTTTCTTTTTTGGGCAAATGATTTTTTCCGGTATGATTCCAATTTTATTAGATGTCCCCTAAGGCGACTATAGACATCAGAAATAAATATTTCTATTTATTATTTTTTAATTAAAATCCCAACCCAAAAGCGACGAAGAGGATTAATTATTAGATTTCAGTTGTTTAATTGTGGTTTTGTGCCTATAATTGGCTTATGTTATGATACTTTTGGTTTGTGTTGAAAAAAAAAAAAAAGCGACGAAGAGGAATGGTCCAAAGAAAAAACAAATAAATTTCATTTTTGTGTCCCAAAATTTACTTTTATGTACACAAATGATCCCAAATGACAATGAATTGAAAAAACATTCAAATGTCGTAGTCAATGTCCGTCACATTGGACTCAGCTGCAGGCTTAACAAGACGACCTTCCTCGTCGTAAACATCAAAATTCTCGCATGGTCGAGGAAATATCGAACCGAAGACTCGTCCTTTCACGAACGAACATTGGAATATATGTTTCTTCTTGTACGTTAACCCAACCGACATATCCCGAAACGTCACATTCCTCACCGGAATCTGTTCGCTACCATGGATTCGGACCGGCACTCGCACTCCTTGTCCGTGGATTCCTGCAAAACTGAATCCTGAGAGTATCGGATACGCTTTCCGATCATAATTATCGTCTGCATGCTCGTTGTAATCCGTTTTGATCACGATCCCAACCCGAACATTGTCTAGTGTTAGGTTTTTGTAGGATATGTTTCTGATGTAACCGCCTCGTCCTGGTGCCGTTTTAATTCTGATTCCACGGCGTGAGTTCCAGATCAGAAGGTTCTCGATCATCACGTTAGATATTCCACCGGACATTTCACTTCCGATTGATACACCAGCACTGTCACAACATATAGAACACTTCCATGTTTTGCTTTAAAAGAAAAAGTTTTCAAACTTTTGCGGTGTTACATGAGAAATGAGAAAATTCTTTACCTGATAACAGAGCGAACAACGAGATTACGGATAAGAATGTTTGTTGAAGGTCGTCCATATGCAATGCCAAACTGATCCCATCCACTTTTTATCGCGATCGCATCATCCCCGGTGCTAATGTAGCAGTCCTCAATTACCATATCTTCACACGAATCTGTTTATGGAAATAAACACGGTACAAAAGGTTTTAAATTTATCGAGCACAGAATAACCGGAAAACAGATATAAGCGGTAAATGAACATACCCGGATCAATTCCATCAGTGTTTGGTGCTCCGGTTACAGGAGCCAAGATGGTGACTTTCCTTATTGTTACGTTTTTGCAGTCATATGGATGCAGAGTCCAAAACGGTGAGTCACGCATTGTTATGTTAGCGATAACTATGTCACTCGACCACATTATTTGAACTAAAGGCCCCCTCGTATAGTTGAGAAGTCTTCTTTGATGCTTCGTCCACCACGATTGACCTTGCCCGTTTATTGTTCCGTTATGACCTGTTTGTTATATCCATTAGTTACTAACCCGGTCATCACAATATCACAAACATGAACTCGAAAGAGGAAAACCACTAACCAGTTATCACAATGTCTTTGAGGTTTTGACCATGGATTAAGCTCCCATAACGAGGTCCCGGACGCTCTCTACCGTAACCATATGAAGGCAATGGTGGCATTAAAGGCCAATACTTCTCATCCTGACAATTAAAGTGACACGTTGAGTAAGCAAGACTCACACATCCATCACGCTAAGTCTCAAAATCTTCTAAAGTATGTTCCTTCATCCAACCAAAACCAAACAAACACAGTCATTGTACTCTAACTTGGCTAGAGTGAAGTGACCTGTAACCTACAAATCTAATGTTCCAAGCTTAGTGGTGGCTGAAAGTTCTACAATTTTGACCTAAACAGAGCTAAAGCGTCTGACTTTCAGTAAACAATAACCAATCAAAACATTTCACAAACCTCAACGCCAAGAATCTCGGAATCTTCAGCAAGAAACAGAGTCATATGGCTAGTGAGATTAAACGGCGCCGTGAGCCACCGTCCAGGCGGCACATTCAGCTGTCCTCCGCCGCTATTTCTCTCAAGCTTCGAGATTGAAATCACAGCTCTCTCGAACGCTTCAGTGTTAAGCGTAAACCCATCTCCAACACCTCCAAAATCTTTCAAATCAAACACAACTGGTCTCAATCGGGGAAGTGGCTGAATCGGTTTGATCTTACCGAAAATTGTGAACTTTCCTCCGACGGGGCCAGTTCCAGAGCCGCCGTCGATGTAAGCCGTTCGCTGCCACAGGAAGACGGAACCAAAGGCAGCGATCCAGAGAAATGTGAAGAGTGTCTTGTGAGAAGCAAGGAAAGAAGTAAGACGACGCTTCGGGTCAAGTCTCTGAAGATGAAATTGAAATCGAGAAGGAAGCAAATTCTCAACCATGATTCGATTTACGAGGAATTAGAAACATTGAGGTTCTGATTTTGGTGCCTCAGATCTAGCTGAGAAATAGTGAATTAGAAGCAAAGATCCGCCATGAGAGTTGCGAAGTCTGTGTCAGAAGCTGGTGAGAGAGTTTGGTGTGTGTGATTCGATTGAGTAACCGAATCAAACCGGTAAGTTAAGCATACCGGTTTAGTTTGGTTCAGGTGTGGTTGTTTATTCGTCTTTGGTGGAATAATAACCATTTTTACTTTAAAAGTCGTTATTTAGGTTTCTTCTTTTGTCCAAAGACCAAAGTTCACATAAAATGTTTACATTACATCCTCAAATCTTTTCTTTATAACTTAACTAGAGATTTACACATCTTTAACCTATAATTTCAAAGTCCTATATACTAGCCCTTGTCAATTCAATTAAGAAATATGGCTATTTTTGTATATTAATTTGTTTCAAATCCAAATACATTACAGTAAAAGTTGACTTAACAATCAAGATTCGAAATTAATTAATATACAAAATATAGTCGCAATTCAACTAAAAACTACCTCTATTTTTTGGTATATTCATTTATTTTGAATCCAAATTTATTACAATAAGAATTGACTTAGCCATCTAGATACACAATTACTTAATATACAAAATATAGTCGCAATTCTGGGGTGAATTGACTTAATTATTTAGATACGAAATTAATTAGTAATACATTTTCATTTTGAAGAAAACATGAAGTCAATCTTACATTAATGACTAAGCAAATTTCTTCCCATTGTATACATCTATATATTAGATATACTCCTACAACAAATTATAGATGAGAAACACAACAATTTCTCTATGAAACAAAAAAAAATACTAAAGTTTTTTCTTCTTTATATATGATGATTCCTGAAGACCTTTTGGTCGAAATTCTCCTAAGGTCACCTGTGAAAACCTTGGCGAGATGTCTATGCGTATCCAAGCATTGCTACTCAACCATCCGCAGTCGACGTTTCATCAACTTATACCAATCTCGATCCTCTACTCGTGAGTCACGTGTCATGTTTGCTTTCCGTGATGTATACACATTTCTTCGCTGGTATTTCTTCCCGTTACCTCAACCACCTTCTTTAGTTACCAATTCAACATGCTGCATCGATAGTACTTCTTTTTGTATGCCTGTTTGCGTCCATGGCTTGATATGTGTCGAACACATGTTTCGGCTGTGGATATGCAATCCTGTCACGAGAAAGGTCGCACTGTTGCCCCAACCAGGTCCCCGTAAACAATTCACGACATGGTATATGGGATATGATCCTATCAATTACCATTATAAGGTATTGTTTTTGTCAAAAGAATGTTTATTAGAGGCATATAAAGTGGAAGTGTTTACATTGGGAGGTGAAAGTTCATGGAAAATGATTGAGGGTGGGAATGTTCACTTTCCGGAAACCAGAGGAATATGCATCCACGGGGTTTTGTATTACGGTGCTCACACGGGGAATGGACCGAAAATTGTGAGGTTCGATGTGAGGACGGAAAAGTTTGGTAAGTTCATTGAATTTCCGGCTGAGGCTTGTGGTATTTATGGTGTGTGTTTGGGTTTCTATACCCTTGTGGCCTACCAAGGGAAGCTAGCTTTACTTGCTTCAAAAACCATAAGCATATATGATTTATGGGTTTTGGAAGATGCCGAGAAACATGTGTGGTCTAAGGTTTCTATCGTCATAACTCGAGAGATGTGTTCGTACGAGCTTATTTGGCCAGGTGTGACGGGTTTTGTTGCTGGTAGTGATGAGCTTATAGTAACTGCTCGTGATCAACATCATGAGTTTCATCTTGTCTATGTTGATCTCAAGACTAGACGTTCGAGGGAAGTTCGGTTCGATGGAATCAGATCCTCATTTGGATCATCTCTGGTGCTTGCTTTCACGGATTACGTTGAAAGTATTGTTTTATTGTAATACAAGAACAAGAAGAGTGATCTTGTCCTTACATCACATGAGTGTATATGGATTCTTCTTTCGTTTAATGTTTTAAGTTTTCTTTTTCTTTCTTTCGTTTGATGTTTTAAGTTTTTCTTTTTCTTTGGTTTCATGTTGGTCAGTTTTTCTTTTTCTTTTTGGAGTTAATGTTTTAAAGTTTATGTCGCAAGTCTCGTCCCAGTGAATCGTTTGTAGAACTTTTAATGTAATAAAGCTCATTTTCTAGTCTTGTTTCTTCTTCATATATTTGACATGTTAATTAATTAAGCAGAAGTTGTAACATCGGCGAGTGACACTATACAAAAGTTTAACATCCGTGATATATTATATATATAAAAAAATTATATTCGCCGCAAGCTAATCCTCATTATTGTGATGTAAATGCCTGCAAAAGAAGTACGTACCAATGAAGGCTGATCAATACACATAGCATCATCATCATGATAATGATCATAAAAAGTTTAGCTTACCGAGAAGACGTTGCAATGACCAGGATCAGCAAGATGAGCCATGAGATTTTCAATTGGATCTTGACTAGTGTAGGTAGCTTGGAAACAGAACCCAACGAAAGCAAGCATCGCGAGCCGTCCGTTTTTAATCTCTTTAGTCCTCAAAACCATTACCGGTTCAGGAGAACCTCTCCCCCACATCATAAAATCGAACCATAAACCTCCCGGGTAACCAACATCCGGTTTAGGATTTACTTTGTGCGGGTACTTTGGTTCTATGTCCACAGACCCCGGTTTAATCAAATCAGCCCATCTCCTACCTTCTGCCCAGCCCATTAAAACCATTTGAGCTACAAACAATGTAATGGAATCCGCGAAGTACTCACGAGACCCTGCGTCATACCATGAGAAGTTTTCAATGAAACCTAACCGCTCGAGACATTCCGGTATTAGGATACCGGTCACGGCCAGCATTGCCCACCGGCTATGTATGAGCTCAGCTTGTGCAAACCATTTGAGGGTGTCCGGGTCAGACCCTATGAAGCAAAAACCGGTTAGTCAGTAAAACACTTGGTTAACATTTTTAGAGTCAAATACGACAAGATCCCGTGTAGATATATGTACCTAAACCGAGAGGATCGAAACCAAAATCACCAGGTAAGCTGCAAGAAGAGTTTCTTACAGTTAAATTGAAAGTTTTGATGGACAAAAAAAGTATCAATAAAGAAAGACTAAGTACGAACCTGCCATCGAGCCATTCAGGTGGAGAGCTACCAGGGAACCACAAAGGACGGTCCGGAGGAAGTGGTTCACAGACGCTAGAAACTTCTTTGCCGGCACGAACCACCACCAAGCGCTCACTCATTCTTCCACCGGTGGGTGATGCGGACGCTACTTGTGGTCTTCTATGGGTCGCGTTTTGGACTCTGCTCGTGGATAATGTGACCGTGGAAGCGAGAGCAGAAGCAATGGCAAAAGCCATCTTTGATTCGTGGGGAGATGAAAATGAAAATGTCTAGTGCCATCTTTGATTGTATGGGACTCGTATGTTATGGGCTTTGTTATCCAGAAGAATTTGTGAAGCCAGTGTTACGTGACACGTGTACGGTTCGATGTGAAGGATAATTTACATTAAAATGCTGATTCTGAATTCTCCAATGCCAATGCCCAATTGGGTTCTTTAGTATAATTTAAATTTGTTTTCGTCTTTTAAGCAAATAATGATAAATAGTTGGCCAAAACTATAATTAATAAATTAAGAAAACGCCCAATTCACTTCGTTAGCGGGGTCGGTTACGAAGAAAGGAAGCTCTTTTACTTTCTCGTGGCAACGATCTCGTCTACGTGTCACAAAACTCAAATCTCTTACTCCGGCGAACGATGTACCGAACGGCGGCGAAGCGTCTTCTCGCCGGTGGTGGATTCACAACCACCCGTCTCCTCCGATTTCCGAAGCTCAGGTCAACAATCATCCCTTCCTCTTACACTTCCGGTCTCTGCACTTCGTCCATAGGTGGTAATACAGAATCGCCAATGGATAATCAATCTGTGAACCCTAATCAATCGGGTCCAACGGTGTCGTCTTCTACGGGTACAGGGGAAGGACAACGTCGACATGAGAGCAGGAAGCCGAGAGCTGAGTTCCAAGAAGAGCAGGCTCGTGTTCTCTCTGCGTCTCTCCGTCACGTGGTGTGTATAAATTTCCTTGATTTACCTCAAAGTTTCATCCTTTTTAGCGATTCATTTCTGTATTTGGGAGTTTTGTGTAGCCGAGATTAGGTTGGACGGAAGAAGCGATGATGGCTGGTTCAAGGGATGTTGGTGTGTCTCCTTCGATTGTTGGGTCTTTCTCCAGGAAAGAAGCTGCTCTTGTTGAGGTAATGGCGTCTCTGGTGTCAGTAAATTCTGTAGATTTTGAGCTTGAAACCTTGGATTTTGGTGGTTTTATTGTTGAGTTTCGTTTTTTGTGTTTACTCTTGTTCAGTTCTTCATGGATGAATGCCTTCAATTGCTTATGGACAGAATTGACTCTGGATTGGATTTGCAAAACCTGATCCCAAGTGAACGTATTGCCAAGCTCATTAGAATTCGCCTAGAAATGCAAGTCCCTTACATGTCAAAATGGCCCCAGGCTCTTAGCATCCAAGTAAGTAATGGGATTTTCCTTGTTTCATGATAAGCTCAAGCCAATCCTGATGTTTGATGTATATCTCATTGGTGAAACAGGCGCATCCTCTGAATGTCCCAACGAGTTTTAAGCAACGGGCAATGTTAGTTGATGAGATATGGCATGCTGTTGGAGATGGAGCCTCGGATTTAGATTGGTATGTCAAGCGCACTATTCTTGGAGGCGTCTACTCAACCACAGAGATCTACATGCTCACCGATGACTCCTTAGGTTGGTTTTTAGTCTTCCTCTCTTGGATGCATTGATGTCATCAAAGAAAATTTTCAAAGTTTGATATCATTTTGTTCTGAGCAGAACATCGCGATACATGGGCATTCTTGGATGACAGAGTCAAAGATGCTTTTGATCTTAAGAAGAGCATACAAGAGGTAAAGTAAAACTTTCTCGCTATGACTTCATTCTTGTTGCTACAAATCTACAAGATTGGAATGAAATCATCTCATGCACAAATCCACAAATTTTTGGCAGGCCAAGTATTTCGCAGAAGACATAGGAGCTGGAGTTGGGAAATCGGTTCAAGGACTGATGAATGGAGTTATGCAGACGATGTCCAGAAGAAGCGGTGGCTCGGCTTTTTGAAAAGATCATACCTTAACACATGATTCTGCTTCACTCCTTAAGTATTCTCCAATATTTTGAGTTGGGATATGCTCTATAATAATGAGATTAGACTATATGACTTGAAGTGAAGGCATATGAACTATATATTATCTTCTACGTTTGAATAAACCATTGAGTTTGAAATCTTTAATGTGTAAATGTGGATGAAAACTGTGCTGTGTTTGGTTGTTCTGTGCGTGAACTGAAAAGAAAGTTGGAAACTTGTAATCTTGGTACAGTTAATTTGGAAGGGTGTTTATTCTTAGAAAACAAACATATGGGGCTCATTGTAATAATAGCTTTTTAATTTTTTAGTTTATCCCCGAAAAGATTTGGAAAAGTCAATATTGGACAGCAGACTACTAAAGAGTAAGACTCAAACAGTAACAACAAAACTTGAGATTTGGAGTTTGGACAAAGCTTGAGAGAGATCGGAGTATCGTAGAAGATGGTGAAGTCTTCAGAAATCGTCGGGAAACTCAATCTCAGGGCTCATCAAGAAGGAGGCTTTTTCGCTGAAACTTTCAGAGATTCTTCTGTTCTCCTCTCCACCTCTCAGCTCCCACCAACCTGTAACTCTCTTCCTCGTTTATTTGCATCTATCGCTTCCTTTCATTTGGAATCGTATTGATATAGTGTAGTCGTTAGTTTCCGGTTTTTCATTTTGAGATTTCAGCGATTAAGATTCTCCGAAATCTGATCAGACATAACTGATAGCTTCCATAGAATTCTTTTGTCTTTCCAGTAACCAAGATCATCCAAATGCTTGGCTTGTGAATTTTCTTGGATCCTCTATTCACAAATCTAATTAACAATGCTTAAACTAAACTTTAGATTTGGGTTATTGCAGATCATCTCGCAAGTTTGATCCTTTATTTATTATTTTTTTTTTCTTGAATCTCTGCAGTTAAGGTGGACAGAGCTGTGAGCACAAGTATCTACTTCTTGCTTCCATCTGGTAGTGTTTCTCGTCTTCATCGCATACCAATGGCTGAAACCTGGCACTTTTATTTGGGTGAACCCCTTACTGTAAGTTTGAATCTCTTGCCATAACAGTGAGAATAAAACTGTATAATGAGAAGAAGAATATAATCCATGTTCTGATCACGTTCTTGCCTTGATCAGGTTGTGGAACTCTACGATGATGGGAAGTTGAAATTCACATGTCTTGGTCCTAACTTGCTCGAAGGTGATCAGAAGCCTCAGTACACTGTCCCTCCAAACGTCTGGTTTGGTTCCTTTCCTACAAAGGATGTTCATTTTTCTCAAGACGGGACTCTGCTTAAAGCCGATCCTAGAGACTCTGAGAACCATTTCTCTCTTGTCGGCTGCACCTGCGCTCCCGCTTTTCAGTTCGAGGACTTTGAGCTCGCGAAACGCTCTGATCTCTTATCGCGGTTTCCTCAACACGAGTCACTCATCACAATGCTATCCTACCCAGAGTGAAAGGGCCTACTAGAGGAGACACCTTAATGGCTCAATGGTTTTAACTACTACAATAAGATACACTATGTCGCTTTGTTACTTCAAATCTTTTCATATGAACAATAGGAGGTTTTAATTGTATTTTGTGTTCACTTTTGATCTCTGTACCTTTGTTATTTCTGAATTGTGTGTTGATCAAATAATGGTCAGTAAAGAACATGCTCAAGTATTAGAGCACTCATAGCAAACCAAGAATATGAGTTTATGACATTGGAAAACCCCAACACAAGCCCATGTACTAAGTAGTCATGTAATCAAATCTAAAGTCATTATGTTCTTGGTGACAATTGAAATCGTTTCTTCTTTTACTTTTCTTTGCACAATAAAGCTCAATGAGCTATCTTATTTTCAGTTTTAGAGAGCACATCTATTTTGATTTGGTTTCTCCTTCATCAAGTACCGCAACAATTTCATTCCATAAACAGAGCAGAGGATCTGCAACCACTAAGTTCCAAGGATTCATCAATGTCATCCACACATACACACATCAAGTAACATTATGACATTTAAGGATCTTCTGTATTCTCCATCTTCAGGTCTTCTAGTTTCTACGATGCTGCAGCACATAAGCAAATATCCTAATCGAGATCAAGGAACTCCATTCTTTTTCGCATTGTACCCTTCAAAAGCATTTCTTCTTTCTCTGCTTTCTGAGCCTGAGTACAAGGAAGAGTGTAATTAAGGAGTCAGTAGAATCCAAAAACATTAAGCCAAATTAAAGCAAATCAGCTCTAGTAGATCCATTTGTGCAAGAAGCTCACATATCAAAAACTTTGAAGCTAAAGCAATCAACAAGGGAGAGAAGTAACAGTATTGCACTAACCCTTTTTATCTCTGCTTCTGAAACCTGAACCATTTGAGCAGGAAGCTCTTCTTTTTCAACGTCCTAAGATTACAAAAACCAAATTCAATAGCCGAAACCATCTTTAAAAAAGTCGAAACCTTTCATTTCCGAATGCAAGAGGAATTGGTTTGTTTAGTTAAAAGCTTACCAATTCACCAATCAAGACAACATTTTCTCCACGGATAATGTATAGACCTAAGGGAATATCACAGTAGAGATCACCCACGATGACTCTTTCATAAGCTTCTTCTATAACAGCATTAGCTTCAATAAAACCAAACGAAACATTTCTTAAAACCACTTGAAAGATTTTGGATTTTCGATGCAAAAGAGAAAGAAACAACAACAAAGTACCAAATTGATCAAAGGACCGAAGTAAACCCATCAGTTTCCTACCATCACGAAGCAACACAAGAAGTTTCTCTGCAGCCAAAAAAAAAAAGAAAACATAAAGAGATTGTTGAATCATGTAGAAGAAGATAAACATCTCCATATCAACCATTGGGGATCAAAAACAAGGTCTTTCTTTGATTTACAGATTTCATCGCCGGTGAATCAGTAAAGATAGAAAGAGGGAGAGAGAGAGATTACTGTCTAAGTAAGCAGCAAGAGAAGTGGAGAAGAAGATATCATCAGGAGCAGCCCAAGACATTGGAACTCTAACTAAAACTCAATCTCATCCACTCGCATTTGCCTTTTTGACTTATCAGTTTCCCAATTCCCGATCTCCCCTTTTCTTCTCCTCGATAATTGATTGAGCTCGAGAATGGAGAATCAAAGAACCCTAATTTTTCACTGAGAAAAAGAGAGAGACTTTGAGATCTATTGAATCGTTTTCGTTAAGTTTTGACGACTCACTCACACGATTCTCTTCTGTCAAGTTTGGTCAGACCCAAACTGAGTTTTTTTGAACTTTCTAAAAATACATAAAAACCCCAAAACTTCCTATATATTACATAATCAACCCATTTAATTTTATCTTGCACATGGGTTTCATTTCATTTTCATGGACAGATTAGTATTATAGTTTCATAGTTGTACATTAAACAAGAAATCTCAGTCATTCATTATTCATTGATAAAATGAATATTTAATTATTTATAGTTACACGAGCAAACAGATTTTCTTCACCACATTAAAATCTGAAAAAAAAAAAACAAATCTATAATGAAAAATGGAGTTTGACAAGTAAATATACATCTGTAAACAGTGATTATCAGAGATATTTCATGACCCTTCCTCCAATGTTATTCTTCATATCTTCAACAGTTGAATAAAACTTACACCATTACTCATTTGAGACCTGAAACACAGAGATTTTTTTGATTATTTGTCTCAAATCAGTAATCATATACTTGCTACTTTTTATATTTTACATTAAAAATCCATTTTATAACAAAAACTTTGGTTTTATTTACATTTTATTATATTACCATGCCTATCAATCTCCATTTAGCTTATTGGTTGATATCTACATCTCCAAGACAATATCTGTAATCATCAAAGAAATTTTAATTAAGCTTCCCTAAACCATTGTTCTTGTTTTACATCTTTCTATTTATTTGTTTATCTATTTTTAAATTCTTACACTCTTCATCTTTCTGCATTTTAATCTGTCCTTATGATGTTTATTATATGCTTTTGACCTAACTAAATACTGCAATAAAGCCAGTCATGGTATACACCTGGTTAAGTACATCATAAGTAAATTATGTATGATGGTTGTCAAAAACCTTATATATGATGATTTTTTTTTTTTTGTGTGAACTGAAAAACCAAATATAGAAATATTTATAAAATCTCACATTCAGAATCAGTTTTGACCCATTTGTTGGCGTCAACACTTGAACGAGCTTCATCTAAAATCTTATGATGATTCTCCAAGTACTTCTTGGCAATAGAATTTGAACGTTGTGGATGTATCTTCTTGTTGAGTATTGTCCTAAGCATCTACACACAAAATAACATGGAAAAAATGTTTGTAGTTTACATAAATATTATTGAATTCACTTCTTTTCATAAATAAAATTATTTTTTTGTAGATTGAATAATTGATCATATATGCTTACCTTTTCCATTCGCGTATTGTGCAATGAATCTGTTCTAGACAAATCAAGAAGAGGAGGTGGAGTTTTGAAGCCACTTGTGCAAACAAACATCTTCTTGAGAAGAAAAGAAAGCGATCTCTTCTTCCCGATAGTAACATCTGTATTAACCGCAGTTAGATCTTTGCTAGAATCTGTTTCTTCTTCTTCTTGTTCCTTAGGGAAGATATTGTTTCCAAGTGTTCCGATGGCTAAGAAGGTTTCTTCGTCTTGAGGCAAACCTTGGACTTCATTACTCAAAGGAGGACCTAATGATTCTTGAGCTATATATACATCATCAAACACATATGAAAAATATGAATATATGCTCACTGATCTATGCAAAGACTGGTCATGTAGTCTACGAATAATAAGAATATTTACTCACAAGAACCTGAAGTAGGCTCATGCTTCTTTCCGCTAAGCTTTCTTTGAACCCAACTAAATATCTGTATAGAACAACAAGATCAAGATTTTTACACGATCAAAGAGAAATAAACACAAGACACAATTAAAATTCAATTTAGACAAATATGAATACAAACCTTCATATTTCAGAGACATATAAAAGCACATGTATGTGTGTGTTTATCCAAGAAAATTTCTTTTTCTGTCAATGATCTCCAAGAAATTTTCTTTTTCTGTCAATGATCTTTTACTTCTTGAAATAGCTTTAGGAGATAAAGATGATCAAGTGGTCCCATGTTTTTAAAGACACAGTAAACACAAGTCCCAGAAGCCAGCAAAAAGCCAGCAATTAGAAAATTGGGTTCAAGTTTCTATAAACCCTCGATATCAGTTTCTTACGACTTCAAGTCACCATTTTCCTAGCACTTGATCCCATCTTTGTGGACTTTGTTGAATGTCGGTTCTCCAAAATTGCATTCTATATAATATATGGACCGTTTTAAGAGATCGAAATCGAGTAAATTGTGAAGGAAACACATGGATATGTCTCTTCTTTTACACTTCCTCCCTGAAGCAACTATACAAAAGAAACCACAGCTTTTATATTTGATCAGGCCGTACAAAAATTACATGCAGTGTGTATGTAAATGTACAAACTTACTTTGAAACTTTAAAGCTTTACATTCGAATTCAAAACCGTTTTTTTAAATAATATAACTAACTACCCATCGTCTCCAGCGCAGCAAACAGTTGTGCAACATTCAAAACAGGCGATGCAAGCAATCGCTGTGAAGAGCTGTGTGAAGACAAGTACACATTGATCATTGAGCTTAGAGCAGCACTGGACACAACACATGCAGCAACATTTGTTGCACAAGGAGACACAACAGCTCGAAGCAGCCTTGACGAACTTCTCAGCAGCATCAGGTGCTTTCTGCTCACCAAATCCAGGTGGAACATTCTCTCTGGTGGCTGTTTTATCACCAAAGCCTATCCCAAGGCTTTGTAGCGGGATCGTTCTTGATATCATCTTCTGTTTATCTCCATTGCTTGTTGTCTGTTGAAACATTTGGTGAATATATGAGTTATAACTTATAATGAGTCTGAATTGGTCCTTGGATAGAAATAATCACTAGGCGATTTTAGTTCATAACTTCTAGATATGAGTGAGTACCTTTTTCTTTCCGCCAGTTTCGCTGGGTTTTAATTCTTCTGTGTTCTCCAATTGGATCATTCGAGTATACTCGGAAGGTACGCCAGTTTGGATGCTTAGTTTGGTAATCTGAGAAGAAGAGGATAAAGCAAAATGAAGAAGAAAATCCTGAAGACAATGGGGGAAGTGATTGTAGACAAACCTTCTCTTTTAGCTGTTTATCTTCAGAGAGCCATGCCTCAGCAGTAAGCAAGTCAATCACATTCTTTGCAAATACCTGAACATTAAAATGTAGGGAAAAAGATCATTTATGGAAAACCCAGAAGTCTTTATCGAAAGAAGCTTCATAGGAATGACACTGAGCAGGAAGTATATCTTACTTTATCAAGAGGCATATCTTTTGCACTTTGTACAGTCAAGTCTGTAGAAAAGCTGCTCAAATCTCCTAGCAGACCTTTGGCTATCACATTCTCGGGGAACTTTCCTCGGTATCTTCCATATATCATCAATGGACTTGCAGATGTCAGATCCGGAATATTCGAAGGGTATACCTATTATTGTAGTTACAAGTAACAGTTTTAGTTTCTAGCATCAACTTCACAGAACCGGAATTTCCCGAAAAATCAAGCAAACAATCTTAGCATAGAGGCACACCTCAACTTCATCTAGACTCTGAAGGGGCTCAATTGTTATATTAACAAGGATGGTAGATAAAGCCTTTGTAAACAGTTTGTCCATTCGTTCCTCGATGTGATCTGGACATTAAAGAAAAAATTGTTTAAGAAACTATATTACAGTAGCACAGACGTTAACAACTTTTTCCTTTAATTCACCAAAAACAGAGTCAAATTTTCACCTGTATTATAAACTGATTCGTGCTGGCCACAGGATAGATTTGCAAGCATTTGCAGGAAGTAGTGATTACAGAATATACCTGAAATATTGCAAAGAGTCCAAAAACGAAAAGGTAAATAAAAAGCTAATCCTGGTTATTTTACATCAAAACCTTGGAGAAAAGTTTACCTAACCCAAAAGTGTGTATCCGTGGACACACTGATCCAGCACTAGCTAGATGTTTCTTCATTACATCACAAATGTGTCTCTCATCTTCAACAGACCCATCTGTTACGAAGAAAATCATAGGAATAGAGCCACGAGTATTCGAAAGCATTTCCACAGCCTGAAAGTATTAAACGAAGTTGGCCGAATTAATGTCAGGATACAATCTGAGGGGATATAATAACCAAAATGTTACGCGACAAATGAGTGGCGGAAAGACCTTCTCTAGGGGAGGGAGCATGTTTGTACCATCTGCGACAACAAAGTTCTTGTTCATCCACTCAATGCCTCTTTCAACAGCATCGGAAGTGACCGACTCCATCGATGTCGAAAACAGAGAAGTATCATCGCTGAAAGTGATAATATTGAAGGAATCTCCAGGATTAAGCTTAGATAGAGCTGTGGATATCGCATTGTTTACATCCTCAAGAGGTTTTCCACTCATGCTTTTACTTATGTCAACAACAAATACCACCTCTCGCTTAAATGCCTAGAGTTGACAAAAAGAAACTTAAGATAATTTGCATTTTTATAGCACTGAAAAAGAAGAGTTCAAAATCAAACCTTAGTTTTTTGCTGCTTTCCTGGAAAAAGATAGAAAGAAAATATGTCTCTCTGATCATCATCGTGAACAGGCGCAGATTGAAGGAAAAGTCCACCAACTATATTACTTGAGGAGGCCTACGATTTGTTGGAAAATAAAATAAAAGCATAAGCACTCTTTACGACTAAATTCAATGCAAAACTTTGCAAGTGCAGACGCGAAGTTGGAGCACCAGTGAAAACCCATACCGTATAAGAAAAACTAAAGTCTGTGTTCGACCACTTCAAAACATCTGCTTCATATGCAAACCTCAACTTCCCTGCACTTCGCAATTTCTCCTGTAATAGATGAAAGGAATAAGAGTTACAGGATAGAGCAAAAAAAAGACTGAAATATTATGGAGCTGTGTTCGGAAAAATCTATCAAACCTTTAGTTGATGACTGCATCCTTTACAGAGAACTTCAGTTCCAGTACCAGCATTAACACTCAAGTATATCTTTTCTCTCTTTGAGATTTTCTTTACCGCAGGAGTCACATACTCAGGAAAGTTGAAAGGAATATCAAGAAAAAACTGCCCTTCGTTATATGTCAACTTCTGAGACCAAGTCATCTTGATAGAGAGGTTGGTACCTCCATCAACCTGGAAACAAGAAAAGAAACGATAGACATAATCAGAATGAAGAATACACAAACAAACAAACAAAAACACAAGAGGAAGAATATTAACTCCAAATCACCTGTGGTATTGTAAGAGTGAATATGTTTGGTTTCAAGAAGCCTCCAGTTTCAGGTAGTGCGGTTTTCTCGAATTCGTTTCCATCTTCGGCTGTGATCAACTGCGTTGTGTAAGATTTTCTAGGAATCTCAACCTCAACACCTAGAATTGAACCCTGTTAGCCATATAGAATTAGTTTGAGATAGCACATCAGAGAAAAAGAGATCAATACTCAGAATTAGAGCAATAGACTTGTCAAAACAAAAACATTTGAACTTGTGTAAAATCATCAAAGAATTCACACAGCACTGAATATGAATATCAGTCTAGGGTTTATTGCATCATCCACAATAATAGAAAATAATCCTATAATAATGAAGTAATTTCATCAAGAGAAATCTCATTTTTCCCGGGAAAAAACACAGACCTGTTCTCCCATGGGAATTGCAATTCGGCAATCACATCTCTTGCTTCCCATAACACAATGAACACGCCACGATCCGGTGACGGTAACAAGAGCCGTGTCGAGATAACAATCAACCTCAAGCTCAATCGAATTCATCTGCAAAGGAATCAGAGCCGGTGGGTCGCACCTGCCGTGCACGTGAGGCTGGTAGCTAGGCAAATCCGGGTTATCCACAATTCCCGGGTCGGGTATAACAGCGTAAACCATAGGTGCCGTAGGAAGGTAAGGCTGCGTCGTGGAAGATCTGTCCATCGGAGCTGGTGGTCTCGGCGCCGCAACGGCTCGGTCTTTGCCGAAATAAATCCGTTTCGCGAGTTTAAGCCCATCGTCGACCGCTCTAGCGAAATCCTCCGCCATCTTTCCCACTCAGACGGCGAAGAAAATGTTGTCTCTGCCCTCTCTTTTTCTTTCCTAAATTTTCTCGGGAAAACGAAAATCGAAGGACGAGACGTTGAATTGAATCGATTCGGTTTCTTTCTTCAGACAATCAGAGTCGAGTATTTTCCAGCGCATAAATTGTCACTAATTCGTTTAATTTAATCTAAATGGTTTTAATTACCAAAATACCCTTTTTCCTTTTTTGGCGCGATCAAGATCCAACGGTTTAGAGTCACTTAAGCATGCCGACAAAGTGGCGCGAATCACCTACATTCTCATTCATTTTTCTGAAATCCATGTGAACGAATCGGTAATCTCCACGTGTCAAGAGAACCTGTTGGACCCTGGTATTGTAGAATGTGGTTGAAGCATCTGATTCTAGCCTTTAACGTTGTTCAACGGTAAAATCCCATGGATGTTTGTGCGCTCTCACGTGACTAGCCGTTGGCTCATGGGCTTTCCATGCGCGTTTTGTGGTTGTTGGCATCAGCTGTGACGTATCACTTACACTTACTTTTGGCTGGATTATTGTTTTTTTTTTGGTTGGGTTTATGTTTTAATTGGCAGAGACTATTTCCTCTTTTAGTAGTATTTTGGTAATATGGTCTAAACAAATCAAAGACTTTATGATCCGATTACGTACGTGGAGTTATTATGATTAAACAATAATTGCTGGGATTACAATACAATTGTGGAAATTGTTAAGGTGGAGTTATGATTAATCAATGGTCGGGTTACAAATTTGCAATCCAATTATAGAAACAATAATGTATTTATTAGTGATGATTGTCACTGTACTGTAACCGCTGGAAACTCAATACCAAAACTCTATTGATGATGATTAGTAGTATTATTCTCGGATGGTTACACAGCGACAAGTCATGGTCATTAGTTTAAAGAGTTTTCATGAGTAAAACTAAATTTTTTAGAAATTTGCCGAGTCTTCTAGACAAAAAGATTCATAAACATTGAATCCTGTTTTTTTTTCAAATTTTGTTTTGTCTTTATCCTAGGCAGCCCCATTAGTAGAGAGATATAAACTAAGGATCTCCTCTAGTTTTCATACCTAGAAGATGGATATGACCAGCCAAAAAGGGTGTTTTTTTTTTAGTGCAGAGAAAGTTTCTACGTATTTACATTTCTTCTGTGCTCGCCTTTCACCAAATCCAAAGCTTGTAGCTCTACCATTAACCTTTCATACTCACTTTTAACGTTCTCGAGCTCACTCCTAAGATTCATGGCCTGCGCAGACACAGACAAAAAAAACAAATTGTATCACTACAAAATCAAGATCGTTTCGGCAATCATTTGACTTAAACTCATTGTTTAATCTTATTCAACAGTATATGGAGGAACCTATGGAGACATAGGCCAATCTATCTAGTATTTCTATCAAAGTGATTGACGGAAATTGCCGATAAGCAACTTACTAATCAATTAATAGATAGTTAAATAAAATAAAATAACACAGAGGACAAGAGTCATGGAGAGATACCAAACTAGCTCCCTATATCTGATGTCTTTAAAGGAGGTTGGGATTAGGCAGGAACAACAGTAATTCAAAACCACCGAAGCAAATGAAAGAAAACAAGTACTAAAAAAGCGATTGTCATAAGGAAATACCTTGACTTCAAGGTTCTGACTTCGCACCTTGTGGTCCAAACATCTGAGTATAAGAAATATAATTAATCTCTGGCAGCACAAACAAACGCAGAAATTGGCAATATATATTACATCATTTATCTTACTTTGCTCGGAGATTCTTGTTTTTTTCCATCAACTTGACAGTTTCAATATCTTGTGACTGACTTGCAGATCCATGAATAAACTTCAGAGCATGTGCAAAACCCAATGAAGTTAGAGAAACGGAATGGGTAGGTCACAAACTAAAGTTAATATCATGTTTGCTATGTGGGAACATGTGCATGGGCTATAGTATCACATATGAAAATTGTCATATTTATCCCAAACAGTGCTCAGATGAAATTCTAGTCAGCAATATCCTCAGATTTGTATTCAGCATCTAGGTCATGGGGCTAAACATGTTGAACAGGAAATCAAAGAGAAGAAACATATTTTGAGGTACCTGTTCAACCCGATTCTGCCCCGGGACAGTAAAGCCATCATTCCCAACCTTTCTTTTTGACGCTGCACTTGCAACAGAATCAGGATGTTCTTTCCTTTTTTCCAACAGCACTGTGATAATAATGAAACCATCACAAGTCAGCATCAGAGAGAGTTCAGAAATGCTGGAAAGGGAAATATACAGTACAAAACGACTCCAACAAAGTGATTGTGTGAAACTAACTCTTAGTTCCACATCATCACAATAATAGCAGAAGCACTTGTAATCAGTTTGGAAGAAGTGTGCAGTATCTCAATAATATTGATTATTTTGTTCGATTTTCTTAAATAAGGGAGATGAGCTAGCTGCAAGTTGCAGTCGCTATATAGGGCATTCGCAGCACTATCATTTTCATGTTTCTTAATGTGGGCATAATCCTGTACCATATCCAGGTCAGACCGGGCAGTCCAATATTGGAACTCTAGTTTTGTTCTAGTCAAAAACCAACTGTGATCCCACTTACATCACGGTTCAAGTTTTAGTAACATTTACCTGGCTTAGCTGAAAATCTAGGGAGAGATGTTGAATTTCCTTGTGGAAAAACTGCTTGGAAGCCTGGAGGAGGACTTAATGCTTGTCTACCGGCAGGTTGAACATTCTGAGGTATCTGAAGACGAGGCTTCTTATTTACTTGATACCCAATCAACACACAATGGCAGCTCCTATTAAATATTTTCAATCACATGAAACAGTAAGAAACGCTGGAAATTGATACAAGCCAATCCAGAGGTAATAATAGGGAAACTTTTAGAGGCAAATCGAAGGCAAGAGAACAATATATCTTATATGGTATTCTACCATACACTAGGAAAACTCTGTATTATCTACTTTGGCGAAGGAATATATAAAAGTAGCAACACAACAGCAACTAAAAAGATGAGGCTTAGGATATTACCAATACTCCACTGTCATTTCCTTCAAACGGTTTTCAAGCTTCTGAAGAAGAACAGTTTTCTCAAAATCCTGCTTGTTATGGGTTGGCTCAACAAAATTAGCTTCTAGAACACCTGCAAACAACATAAATTCACCCATCAAAGAACTGTGCTTAAAACAACCAAATCAGTGGCAATGTATTGTTTTATTGAATGATCCATTTTGCAGTTTCTTACCTACAACCCCTCTTCCCCGACTGCTTGAATAGCTTATGACCTGCCAAAATGGCTGAAAAGAGCAAAACAAATCAGCCAAGGTCACAGTAACATACAAGATTATGTGTAGAGTTTGTGATAGAAACTTGACAAGATACTGAGTTGTGTAGTCTTTAAGTGGGTAAGAAAGCTTCTGAGGCAATTTTTAAGTTTTATTATGTTAAGAAGATTATTAAAAAAAAAAAAAATCTGCATGCCAGGTTCATGTAGAGGTCGTCCAGCAGCAAAATTTTAACTAATATCCCAATCCATGAGAATCCTTTTTTCTACTGAATGTGAACTAACATATTTAACATATCAAAACTCACCATAATAAGGCGGTTTTTGTGATAAACGCAGAAACCATGAAGATTTACTTTGGGAGCTTCTTTCAGAAATCCAATCGTCGTTACAACTACAGCCTGCTCATTGAACGCCGAGATATAAATCATAAGAAATGAAAAAAACTAAGAAGTTTTTAAAGAAGAAAAACAAAAGCCTCTAGATATTTTACGCACCTCTTCAGATCCAGCAGCCTGAGGCTTATACAAGATGTACTGCGGATGCATGAGATCATCAGCAACATTATGATGTTTGACAACCTTACCACGCAAAATTATCTTGAAAGTCTCAGGAATTCGCAAGTATAAGATGGATAGGTAAACCTGCACAAAGGCAGCGGAAAGGATTTCAGTTGCATGCCAGTTACTACTTACTAGTATTAGTATAAACACAGTTTCAGAAGTGTTTTTTTTTTCAGAATATACAGCTGTCTGCAGCATTTTATCTGTGTCTATGTGGATTACGTATTTCCCATGAGTATTCATGAGTACATTCACACATACATGTATGATCCGATATTACCATAACCACTTGCACATGAATATAAGCATAAACAGTTCCCTAAACATTATTGACCAAAAGAAAAGAAGCTTACACGAAGAGAGTAAGAAAACCGGCTTGCAATATGATCATTCACAATCTTAGATCCAGATTTTTTTATGCTTCCTTCAATGAGAATATCCTACAAAAAAACAAGGAACGAAACAAGATCTCAATTAAATGATAATACTTCGGAACAAAGAGAAGATCAGAAATAGGAAAGATCAAGAATATCCACCTCTGCAACCGAATCAAAGTCTAATTCCAATTTAGCATCACTGTTGAGCCACATATTATAAATGATAACCTTTGTCCCATGTGGTCCAACGCCATCAAACTGACACAAGGAAAAAAGAGAGTAAAAGGTCACTGAAGAGAGGAACTTGATTACATATCAGATAACAGGAAAAAACTTTATTAAATGGCGCAAACACAAATAGAGAACAGACCAACATGAAGAAGCCTAATTTAAGAGCACACTAAGTTTCCATTGAATTGCTCTAGTCTTATCTGAGCATTCATTCATCCATATCTTGAAGGATACTACCTTAGACGAGAACATACAAGAAATATGGAATTACGGAAATGGAGAACAATCATGGATGGCTTCACGGTTATGATCAAACTATCATATACAGAACTTAAAGCTCATCAAAAGCTTTTATGAATAGTACCATGACAGGGAATATCACACTCATGAAAGACCCCAAATTTCAAACCAAGTAATCAGTAAATATACAGATTGTAGACAACATATGTTGCATGGGGAAAATAAAAAAAAGGAAATTGGCCTTGCCTGCTGCAAAAGTTCTGCCTCTGTTGAAAATGGAGACCATTCTAGTAGAATGGAGAGACTGGATATAAAATGTTCTCGGTCTTGCAATGTCTTGAACTCGCCAGCAGATGCCTTAAACTCGTAATCCAACTGAATATTCATAAGACAAAGACAACACGGTTAGATTACAGAAAAACAAGGTACATTTATATGTGTGAGAGGGGGAGACTCACAATGGGAACAACAATTCTATCATGGCCAGTACGTGTCAGGTATGTATAAGAAAGAAGCCCGATACTTTGTGTCAATGTTCTAGCCAGATGGAAAAGAAAACAATTAGCACATTCTCTTGTTTAGAAAGCAAATAATTGGATGGAAAACTGTTAGAACATTAGCGCATAGGATAATCAACAATGGCCACTCACTGGTTCTTCGAATGGCGGCTGAAAACGATGACATCTGCCCCAAGTCTCATTGTGCTGGTCTTGAAACCATTTCCATCTAAAGAATTATAAAGAAGGATGAGATGCAGAATCATAATTAACGAACTGAGCTTCAAATCATAACTAATGATATGTGATGCAGAAGGATAATTACAGATATGTGTTGCAGAATCATAACTAAAGATAAAGAGTTTAGAGAATGCAGAGAAAGATTCATACATCTTCCAATGGCTGAATCCGACTTTTTATCTGAGAATCCAAAACCCATGCAATGCCGCATTGCCTGAGGATCCATCCCACCACCATCATCTGAAAGTTTTATGCAAAGATGATTAGAAATTCTTTCTTTTGCATACTCCCCCTTGTGAATTGGGACGGAATTTAATCCAAGAAATGGCATGCAAAAATACCTTGAATTAGCAATGCTGTTGTACCATCCCTTGGATTTGTGGTTTTATCTACAATGACAAAAGTGGCCCCATTTTGGATCTATAGGGTGATGAAGATACAGAGCACAAAACATATTAATAAATCACCATCCAGAACCTTTAAGATTATCTACAAATATTTAGGGCACACTTCCACCTTAATTAAACAAATGACAGAATGGAGTCAGAAAGTGAAGCGCTTGGGTTCCGGAAGGAAGAAGTTTTCTATCAAGAATATTTTTATATGAGTATTCAAGAATTGTCAGGCTCAAAACATTTTTGGTTAAGCCAAGACATGAAGATTTGTAGAAACAAAGGTTCTAAAGAGTCTTATTCAAATTATTTGTAGTAATGAACAAGCAAGTAGTCAGATTAAAACATTAAGCACATCAAAAGAAAAGGACGCACCTCATCAACAGCATTGTCAAGCAGTTCAGCAACAGCTGCAGGTAGAGAGAACCAAATAAGTCTTGTTAAAACGCTTGAATAATGTTTGCTTAGCCACATACAAAAGAAGGAAAATTATTTAAGCATACCCCCAAATGCCCATTTATGTGAAGTAGCATTGGAGTGAAGGAACATAGGGTGCACATGAAGATAATTTTTTCCATCTGCAAAACAAAAGTCAATAACCATAAAAAAAAAGGCAAAGAAAACGATGTGTTCTGGCGGGTATTACTAAAAACAGTATAACCTCCAAAAAGAAAAGCCAACTCATCCAAGCAAAGAGTAAGACAAAGTAGATGATAACTGATGATTAGAAATATTGCATACTTGGCTGCTGAGACTTTGAACTCAATTCATCATTATAGTTTCCAGCTTTCCAGAATTGCCTACAAACAGGAGCTGGACATATGGTGGATGAAGAAGTGACACCAGCATCATCAGCTGGCGACCGGACCTGATCAACCACACTAGTGCTACTCTGCCCAGCACTTTGACCGACTGATCCTCTATTCTCTTCTGAATCTTGAGGTAGAGAATATCCTTTGGAACCATGGCTTCTGGGTGAGAAGCTCTGAAACATAGTGCCACGCTCGGGTTTAACAACCACAGCATCATGAGAAACGTTAATACTTCTGTTGAAACTCATCTTTGTTTATCTGGAAGGAAGCAAAACAACAAACGAATTTCAGAGAGATCACAGATCACAAATTCCAGAATTCGTATCTCTTGTGAGTAAGTGCCCTAAGAAATTCCTCAAAACCTCACTATGTAACTTACAAGAACAATCCCAGTAACGAAACTCAGCTAAAACAACCTAGAAAATGAAAATTAGGGGAATAACAAATCACAAAGGCTGTGAGAGAGTGAGGATTTTAAGTTTACCTGAGAATTAGGCTCATGCAAAGCGACTGTTACTTTCCTTTGTACAATGTGCGCGATGTAGATAGAGCAGAGAAATTGACGCTACTCTTAGGGCTTCTTCTCGGTATACGATTACAACACCGGTGTCACTTCAACCTAGCACTCTTTGATGATTTTTTTCCCCGACGTTGAGATAACGACGGCGAGGAAACCAAATCGTCGAGGAGTGAGGTCTTGGGTAGCTGCCGGAACAAAGTTCCGGTTAAAACAAAGCCACGACAAGGAGAGTGAAATAGATAAATAAAAACGCCGAGAGAGAGAGAGAGTCGAATCTGAGGCGCTGGAGGGAGATAGGACGGAAACCGAGGCGGAGAGGTTGAGAGAAAGGAGAGGAGGAGGGTGGGAAAATGGAGAGGGAAGGGTTTGTTTTCCTTCTAGGGGAAGGAGGAGTTGGGGAAGAAACAATGTGGGTCCACCTTAGGCTTTTTTTTTCTATAAATATTATTAGTAGAAAAAAAAACAAAAAGGTAACAAATATTGGTGAGAAGTAAAAAAATTAAAACCTCCATTTAGTGGCTTTATTTTTGATTATATAGAGAATTTTTTTTGAAATATAATACAAAGTTACAAACTATAGTGGTTTTCTATGTTTGATGGGTGGTCATCATCATACTGTTATCTTTTTCTTACTATGAATTATTACTTTTTTTTTATTTACAACATTGTGTGCTTTGTGTATTTTTAATGTTTGGTCGGCTTTGTGTATAGCGTCATGCATGACGTAAGCAACTGTAGCGTTATGCATGATGTAAATAACTCGCGAAAGAATTATAGATTTGGATTAAAAAATATCATTTTATCATTTTAATCTAGCCTAAAATATTATTTCTTCTATAATATGAACTCTAACATGATATAATATTTGCACCCTAAATCTCTCTCGTGGCGCATCATTTTTTCAATTTTTGTCATCTAAAATGATTACTTTTTTTATTTTCAACATCGTGTGCATCTCTCTTTAATATGTTTAATGTTTCGTTGACTTTATATATATAGCGTTATTCATAATTAAACGGTTGGAGCGTTATGCATGATGTAAGCGATTGGTAGACTAGATGATAAGTTTTGGTATTGAACATGTCATTTTATCTAATTAAATATAAACTATCCCTTTTCATTTTCTCTTTCTTGCAAATCCACAATAAGAGCATGTTCATTTGGTAGAGATCTAAAAAAAAAATGAAATTTATTATCTAATTAAATTTAAGTAATAATTAGAAGTGGACCAATACAATTAAAATATGTGGTCCAAAAGAGTCTCTTATTATTCTCTCTCTTCCTTTTAAATTTTTTATTTCTTATTTTAATAGTAAAAAACTTATTGAAATCTTTGGATAGAGATGCTCTAAATATATATTTATTTCTAGTATTATGAGTCTTTTCGTAATGTGCTTTCGATGTTTAATCAATCTTGTAGGTAAACGATGACTAATGAAGAAAATGATAAATAATTAAATATAGATAGAGAACATAAACGTTTAGACTTGATATATACAAACCTAGTTACAATAAAACTGATATTTAAAAAAAATGTTACAATAATAATGCTATAGGTCATTTACAAGAAATTGGAAAAAATTTCACATTTTCCACTTTTTTGAATTTATCATTGTGATTTACACACTTGGGAAAAAAATTATTCACATGTCATTTCAACTAGTTAAATACAATACTACCCTATTTCAGCATTTTTTTTAAAACAAAAAAATCTTACTCTCTATAATGCGACATGACATTTTTTTTCTTTTTTTCTCATCCATAACTTTTGCTTTTTCTATATTCAACTTTTAAATGCATATGTACGTCTTTTCGTACATATGCATTTAATACTTGGTTGCATTGTGTCTAGCGTCATGCATGACGCAACCGACTAATATTACAGTTTTATTCAGTGTTGAGTGATGTTTTAAATCATTGTTTTCCAAATTTGTTGTTTGATAGTAGAATTTATCTACAAAACAAAGTTGTTAGCTTTTTTTTTCAATCCATAAGGTTTTAAATTATGTTCCCCTAATTTTCTTGTTTAAGTACAAAATTGTTATTGAATTCAATTATATTGTATAATAAAACAAATGATATCCTATCTTGTAGATACAATTATCACATCCTTCAAAAAAATATAATAACTCACATCTTTAGATTGTAAAATGAATAATGATATAAGCGAATCAAAACTTTTAGAATCTAGCCTTGGTTCCATTTTTGTTGACCTTCATAATAAAATATGAACAGATAAAGATTCGAAAAGGAGAAAGAGTGGCAATCAAAGTCATTTCTCTGCAAAAAAAAACCCCGACGGACGAAAACCCTAGTCTCCAGCCGCCAAGCTTTGATTTTTCCGGTTTGCCCTCCCCGGCGACTGGGCTTCTCGCCGGAGCTGTGGGAGGGTCTTAGATCTTTGTCTTGCTTCTTAGTTTTGTTTTTAACTAGCTTTCTCCGGTGATTCAAAGGTATTTGCAAAGGGGGATGTTTGTTTGGTGAAGAATCGGTGGATGGTTGGCGGCGGAGGTTTCGTGGCCTCCTTTCTCGTGTTCTTTGCTTCATCTCCCGCTTTTTCTTTGGATTTCTTGGCTTAGATCTGTTGATTTTGGTGTTGTTGTGGCCTTGTCGTCATATTCCTCTTTGAAGAGATGATCGTTTGAAGGAGGGGAAGCCATCGTCGGTGAGGCTTGGTGGTGGTTAGTGTCTGATCCGTATGGTCCTGGGTTGGCAATTTAGTGGCTCAGATCTGGTGGTGGTCCTGTGGCTGGTGGTTTCAAGGTGACGGACTCGTTTCGTTTCTTGTTCTGGTATTTTATTTCTCTCATCTCTCTCTTCTTTGGTTGGTGTTTCTCGACAAGGATTTGTTAGTAGTATGGTTGGTTGAGGGTAGAAGCCTTAGTTTCAAGTTTAGGGATGGCAATGTTGACTCCTAGTTCTGCCTCCTGTTACTTTCTGCCCGGTTATTGGGGTTATGAGTTTGTGAAGGTTTCGTTTTGTGGGTTCTTCATTTGGATGGTAGTCTCCTGCAAAGGCATCTACTAGCCCTCTTCTTTTTCCTTGTTTGGATTTAAGATTTGAGTTCAAGACGATGTGGTAGGCTCGGTCTCTATTCCTTCTCTTGCGTGGCGTAACCAGTTCTTAGGCTGTAGATGGTTTTGGCTGGGTCTACGAATGTCCGCGTGTAAGGTTTGTTGGCCCTCTTTGGCGTTTTCCCCTTCGGATCTCAAGGCTTCTCCTTGTCCCTTCTCCTGCTTGTCTTCTCTGGTTTCTGGTGTGGTAGTGATGGTTAGGATCTGTGCTCTGATCCTCTTTTTATCTGTGCTCGTTTCTGCTCGGGGTGTGGTTGTGTGAGCTTGGTTTTGTATCCTTCTCGGGCCTTTCATGTAAAGGCAATCTAATGATGGGTCCTCTTGTTGCTCCTGTTTGTAACCACTTTCCAGCGCCCAATATGTTCTATGGAAATGTTCGTCGGATTATTTTCGTGAAGAGTTTGCAGTTGTGTTGCTTGAGTCTTAGGTATTAGCCTTTCCCTGTACTTTAGGTTTTCCTTCTTTTATGTCTGCCTTTTTTGGCCTTTGTTTCTGGGGGTTTCTATGTACCCGCCGGCTTGGTTTTCCGGGGGTTAGAGTCCCGCCGGCGTTAGTATTTCACCATGTATCCTAACTTTGTATTTCTCCTTTGGTTATATTTCATGAATTATTCAGACGAAAAAAAAATAAAAAAAAAAAGAGAAAGAGTGGTGTAAAATCCCTCTTTGAGCATTTACAGAAGAACAATAAAAATCCTAAGAAACTGATAATATCAGACTCTAGTCTCCTCATCTGGCATTAGAACACTGGCACTCAAGAACGGAGGCTGTTTCGGACATTCAAATTTACTATCTTTGTTCTTTAACATGAAGACTATCTCAGACATTGACGGTCTTAATTCTACTGAAGATTGAACACACAACAATCCGATTTGGAGAACCTTCAAGGCCTCTTCCTCTGAGAAACTCCCTTTCAACCGAGGATCAATCGAGCGATCTAAAGTGTTTGCTTTAAAATGCTCCCATACCTATTCCAACAAGTCAAGACAAAGCCATTACAGAGTTTCACTATGATTCTGGGTGTGTCTTATATCCGTGACTTAACATGGAAACAAAGCTTACTTACAGAGAATAAAACCGAGCTAGTGCCTTGCGTGAATGCGTTGTTTTTCTTTCCAGTAGCTATCTCGATTATAAGAACTCCGAATGCGTAAACGTCAGCTTTCTCTGTTAATTGGCCTTTGATAAGATATTCAGGAGCCAAATAACCACTGCAGTTCCAAAGAACAACATCAAATTCCAAAACTTTATACTCTAAAAGAAGGATTGAATAAGAAGTACACACACACTCACAGTGTTCCAGCAATTCCAGTATTGGTTTGCGTTTTGTCAGTGCCCATTGAACGTATGAGTCCAAAATCTGCTATTTTGGGACTTAGGTTTCGATCAAGGAGAATATTGCTGGTTTTGATATCTCTATGGATGATTTTTACTTCAGATCCTCTGTGAAGGTATTCTAGACCTTCTGAAATTCCTATAATGATGTTAAACCGTTGCTTCCAGCTTAAAATATGGACTGTATTCTTCACTGCAGTTAAAATAACAAAGTTAACATGATGCAATCGATAAATGGGTTAGTTTATAGAAGATGTTGCAACTTACTGAAAAGGATTTGATCAAGGCTTCTATTATGAACATATTCATAGACAAGAAGACTTTTGGGACCTTCAATGCTGCAACCAAGTAGTCTCACAAGGTTCTTGTGTTGAACTCCGCTGATCAAATTCACTTCGTTGAAGAACTGATCCGCCCATTCACGTGTGTTGAAGAAGAGCTTTTTGACTGCAACGATTCTGCCATCTGGAAGAATCCCTTTGTATACAGAACCGGCCCCTCCTTGGCCTAGTTTCATAGAGTCATGGAAAGACTCGGTCGCCTTCTCAAGTATCTCGTATTTGAAATTTGAACATGATGGAACTTGAGCTAAACAAAAAAGATCATGAATCAACAAAACAAGGAACCTCATTCATAGCTTTGGTGTTGTAAGATATTTAGTCAAAATTTTACCTTTTCTTTTTCTTGAAACCCGTCTGTAACTGATAAAGGCACCAAGAGAAGTAAGAATGGACAATGCAATCGCAGCCATTGCTAATTTCGTAATATCATGATCACTCAAATGTGGAAAAAAACGATGACCTTATAAAGTTTCTGTGATCTGCACAAGAAAGAAACACAAGATTCATGTATGAATAAGCTCTTAGAGTGATGTCAGCATTCATAATGTTTCATACCAGCGTCAGGTTTATGTTCAGCAGCATCATCAAAGAACTTGTGTGTAGAATACTTCAAGTAACACCCTGTAAAGAAAGCGCTAGCTTCATGCCCACCACAAGCTCTCAAGCTCGATCTAGCATTAACCAAACACTCTCGGCACGAGTTCTCATCAAGTGTTTGCCAACACTGAGCCAATGCATACACCGCCTCGGCTCTAGTCACAGCAGCTGCACCAAACCCTCCATTTTTAACAGCCTTTAAAGTTACATTCACCAAAGCCTCATCAAGATATTTCCAAAAATCTCCAAACCCTGGCTCTGTTTCCTCACATTTGGCTCTATCAAATCTAGGATCAACAAACTCCTCTGAGAAATCTCGATCATCAAACCGTAAGAAGCATCCATCACTATGAATTCGACCACCGGAACCTGAACATTTTCTCTCGAGCTCCAATTTGCTCTCGTTAAAGCAATGTCGACAATCGGAAACAGAGAGATCTTCGCGGCACTGTAGAAACACATAAATGGGTGGAGATAGATCGGTGATGGAAGAAACGACCCAGAGCTTGCCTTCGGTTATGTAATCATAGACGGAAGACATTGCTCTGAGGAAATCAAGCTGACGACTAGGGTTTACAAGGTGTTGATCTAAAGGATGACAATTGAGGAGAGATTTGGAAGAAGAAGAAGAGCCCACCGTCGCTAATAGTACAAGGAATGGAACCCAAGCGAGGAATTGAGCGATCGAAGCACAAATTTGCATCAGAAATCGGACGGCGCGTGATCATGAATCGTGAAGAAGTCTTTCCATATGCAAATGTGCAGTTTCTAATAGAGTATAACATCGATGAATCCTCAGTTTCTTCTCTCGCTTGAATTCAACACTTTTTCTTCTTCTTCCTGACCCACTCCAACTCCGCCGTGTCTATCCCTCTCCACAACGGCGGGTGGGTGGAGAAGGTAGATTAGGTACTTTGTCGTAATAGGAGATGAGAAAAATCGAAGAAGACGAGTCAATCTCTCTGTTTTTTTGGTTCATTGTGAGCTTTTTGACAGATAGAAAATCTCTGTTTTGGATTCAGAGAAGAGACAGAGAGATTTTGTTTCTCTTGTGCTTGCGTTTGTCTTAATTTAGGAAACTTTTTGACTTAACTCTCCATTGGCGTTCTAATTTTAGTCCTCTACATGCCGATTTTGTTTCTTCTACAAATTCAGCCAATGACACGTGTACGCAGATTTGTCAAAAAAATCCTAAAGTCAAAGGTGTAAGTCAAGGATTAATACTCTTTACTAATATTTATGTTCTATATATGTTTGAAAAATCTTATTCAAAACAGGTAATAGTTTAAATTAGTTCGATAAGTATATCATTTGACCAAAATTTAAGGAATTATGTAAATGATTAATAATCTTTGAGAAATTAATATAATCCCGACCATATAGCTTCTTCCTTTACTTGTTCACTTTGTTGCTAAAGGGATTATGTAAATAAATAGATTGATGTAATCTTAATACCATAACTTATCAAATTCTACATTAGACTGTACAAGAGAAAAGTGAAACTTCACAAAGATTGGATTCATTTATATTGTGCATCAGAAGTAACAATGGAAAAACAGGATATCTCGGTGAAATATAATGGAAAGTCCACTCTATTCTTCATCTTTCATCTCATCTTAGCCCCTTACCTTTTAATCAGGGATATATTCCTAATGCCAAGAATCAGGACCTGTCAAATCATGAGGTATTAGGACACGGATGGTTCAAGATCTTGATCAATTAAAGACCTTTGATAACTAAAAAAAAACAAAAGGATTTAGAGAAAGTTACTTACTAGGGTCATCCTGGATGATCATTGCAGGGTAACAATAACCGCCCTTCTGCTTATAATGCTTGTAATAACTATTGATAACAACAGAGGCATGGTCGGTCCTCAGTGGTGTTGGGTATCAGAATATTTTTGACATACTGGAACGTATTGTACACTGAGAGACTTGTCTTCCAATTCACGTTTGAAACGAAGATAAAACACTAGAAACAGAGCAACTAAAACCAAATGTGCATACAAACCAATAACCGACTTAATTATTCAACTAGGAGGGAACAAATTTTGTTTTTCATGCATTACTTAGTTTTCTCAGAAAACTTGACCTGGATGTTGCAGTTGAACGATCTAGGAACCATTAGCAGATCTTTGGTGATTCGAGACTTTTCTTTGTCGTTAATTGCACAAGCACGAACTTTGACAAGCTCAAGACATGCCAGCTTCTCTAGTAAGTGTTTCATTCGCTTTAGCTCTCCACTTTTTCCTCCATACTCAGTTATCTTCAATACTTTCACAGGACATGACAATCCATATTCTCCTTCACATTCATCAGCGTGCAATGGACCCTGAACCAAGAGGGAAGATTAGAGATTTGAGTTTGTCCAATAAACTTGTGGGGTTTCAGTTATACCTTGATGACGAGTGTATGTAGATTTGGAGAAATCATTATAAGTATTGGAAAATACTTCCAATTGTAGAATTCTAAATCAGTTGTAATAGATAAACGAAACAGGTTGCCGAACACTGGGATTGCTTCTCGGAAATAATAGAACATCTGAAACAAATTAAAAATCAACTAGTCAATAACCATCATACATAGAAAGAAAGAAAAAATTTCTTTACCTCTGAAGTTTTAACAGATGATAACTCTAAGACCTCAACATTGGCTAACCCCTTAATCAGATTTGTTGGATTGCTAATACCAAGACAAAAACTAAGATCAAGCTTAGCTTCGACAAGGGATTCAAGATTCACAGTTGGATATTCTCTTGGAACTAAACCAGTGTATTCTAAGTAGGCAAGATTCGGAGTATCAAAAACCATGTCCCAAAAATCAAGCTGAGGAGTACACACAATAGTAAGTTTCTTTAGTGTGGAAGAGGACACATTGCGGCAGCAACTCCCATATTGCCAGCTCCCAACACAACGAATGGTTAATTCCTCAAGCAAAGGAGAAGCAGAAAGAAGCTTTCCCAAAACACAAAAATCAGTATTGTAGAAACAAATCCGCTCAAGAAAGAGAGTCTTAAGTGATGGAAGAGAAACATCCCCATCAGGTAACATAGCCTCGAATCTCCCTGTTGCTAGTTTCAGCTCAACCATTGTATTATTGCAAGTGAACATCTCAATAGGCAACAAAATCGCCTCTTTATGAGGCCCAGAGATAACGTCAATATCAAGATTTACGACACCACGATTCACCAATTCAATCATCCACCAGGTGAATTGACCCGAGTCGATACTCTTTCGACATTTTATTGAAAACTCCCTAATGGGGAAATTGTTTGACACAACCAATACTCTATCCACAAAATCGATGAGACTTTGTCCACAACCACCCACTTCAAGATCATCAACTAAACAAAGATTCGGTGTCAAGGCAAACAGATTACGCCATCGTTTTGACAGGACAGATGTTAAAGCAGACTCTTTTGTCGGAAGGAAAGATAGAATGTGGCAAATTATCTCATCTGATAGACCATTGATCCTATCCATCCTTATAAAAACAATCTGAATAGAGATTTCAGATTTAAAAAAAAAAACAAATTACTTGCTTTCAGACGATCGGGCAGAGGAATAGATTCACATTTCGAAGAAGGGATTTTTCCTTAATTTTTAGATCCCAAATTTGCAGAAAATTTTCTGTTTCGAAATTCGAAGAATCGAATCGGTGTTACTCTGCAAAATCTATGTTTAGATGAAGAAGAACAGAGAGAGTACACGTGGGACTCATTCTTATTTTAACTCAATATTTTGTTTTCTCATTTCTGACCAAACAAATTTATAAATTGGGCCTATTTTGTTCACAGTACAAGGCCCATCAAAAACCAAAGGGACAGAAACAAAGGCTACAAGCCTCGCAACGGGCTGAGCGTCGGAATATAAGACTGGTTTGGGCATCAAAAACCAAAGGGACAGAAACCAAGAGAGCTTGCATGATCTCAACAAACCCAAGTGGTCCTATGTGTTGCTCCATTACCTCGTCGACGGTAAGTTCATACTTATTGTTAGGTGGTGGTTGTTGTTGTTGTTGTTGTTGCCTTGTTGCTTCTAAATCATTTGATGTGTTTGATATCACCATCTCTTGAGCTTCTTCTAGATCTTGTTTGGAAGTATCCATTCTGTGGGTTGATATGTTGTAAGGATATCAACTAGAAATAGTTGGTCGGATATTGTTGTGAATTTTATCACTCTTGCAAAGAGACAATTTAATAAAATAGGAGTCGTTACCTATATAGAGAGAATCTTCGTACTCTAATTTCATGTTTAATATTATTCATAGTCTCTGATTTGTTTGATGACTACGATTTGTTAACACTTCACACTTGGTTTTGAAATATATCCTCTTTGGTACCGGTTGATGATGTGGAAGCTAGTCAAATTTTCTTGTTTTAGTGGTAATAATTTTTTTAGTTGGTTATACCTTTAAGTCAAATGTTCTAGTCAAACTTTATTATTATTATCGCATTCACGCATATAGACAAATCAATACTGTTAATATGTGATAAAACTAAAGTTTGACCACAACATTCTATCAATTTGTGTACATAATACTGTCACATATATATAAGCAAAGCGCATGCTAACAATGAGCTGAAAATAATTTTATTATGAGAAAAACAGTGTATATACGCTGATAATATTAGTCTTGAAAAATAACGAATATTTTTTTTTGGTAATCGTATCGTTGAGATTGTAAGCAAACTTTGTTTGCACCTCAAAAAGAATATTGTAATAAACAAATCAGTACGTGACTATATGATGAAGCATTATTAATTCTTACTAGATCCGGACCCGTACGTACGTGCGGGGTTTCATATTTTGATAAATGTGTTGTATAAAATTTATAATTAAATTTGTTTTCTTTTATTATTATATACGAAATTTTTTATGTTGTTTTGGTGAATTAGAGAATAGTATAGATATCAAAAGATATATAAAATTAAATTGAAAAATTATATTTTGTGTTTTAAATAAAATCTAGTTTGGTCTATTTTGGTTTGTTTCATTTGTTATAAATTGTGAATAGAAAATTATGAAAGTTGGTTTTATATGTAATATACATCATTTTATTATCTTTTATATAAAATAGTAGGTTGGTTTTGGTGAATGATAAATAATTTGGACAGTTGCAGAGTGCTGGTGTGTAATAGTTATTTATTTTTTTATAGATTATATATTAAAAATTATAATTAAAAAATCAAAAATAATTGTTTTAGTAATACAACTATATTATTAATATAATAATATTAGGTATTTCATGAAAAGGCTAAACCCAATTTTAAATTTAGGAGCCCATAACTGAAACTAATAACAATTTCTTTTGGGCCGTGATACGTATTTCGTTTGGGCTGATACATGTATTAATTTTATATCTGTTTTTTTATCTTCTGTACACATAATTATTTTCAGACCAACTCTCGGTCTTATCATCTCTAATTCTGCCCTAAAGTTCTCAACCGACTGTGTCTAAAAAGGAATCGATTGCAAAATTAACTGATAATCAAAAGTCTACGTCTCCGTTTATCATCTATTAATCGGAAAATCTGAATTCCACAAAGAGGTAACGTTATTATTGAATCTGATTTTGACTTTCACTTTTTTTCTCAAATGTTTCGATTCAAATTCCAAACTTTGGGATTTTATTTTTCTACAGAGAGCTTGGAAAAATGATAGTGAAGAAGTCGATCTTATATGGGTAAGTATACCCAATTTCCGTTCTAATTTTTGGTTCCAATTTTTTTAATCAACAAATCACAAATCGATATCAACATTAATTTGAGTGTGTTAGCTATAAAATCAACATCTTTATATAAATCTTCAGTTGTTCGATTTAATATTTCTTGAAATTGGATTATGTATAGATTGTAACATAAGACTATTTTTTTCTTGATATGTGTTTAAGTTAATTTATTTCCATATATATTTCAGATATTTACAAGCTGATGATGTCGCCAAAAGAGGAGTATTAAAAAGATAAGTCTTTTGTAAAGATTATAAGAGAAAAACAGTTGTTTATAAAATATGTGGTATTGATGATACAAATTTCAATTGGTATACAGCCCAAGCATTATGCCCTTGTCAAATTCTTATGGAAGAGGCAGAAACAACATCATCTTTTTAGCAATCAATTAAATCTGGGAACTATGTTAAAGGTTAGTGAGATAATAACGATAACATCTTTGTTTACTTCATTAAAATGTATAGCTATTGTTATCTAAGTTAAAGGTTAGTGAGATGATAATGATTATATACTTTTGTATAGTTTTAATGAATACTTCGTTGCTGCTGCAATTTCTGAATTAGTATAAACCAATTTTCCACAGTTCTCCACTCTCCAGTTGTGATGAGCTTTTGAAACTTGTTGAGTTGTTGTTTCTTGTCAGTCGCATGAATCAAAGTACCCTGTATGAAGCAAAGAAACGGAATTTAACATTTGATGTACACATAATAATTAGAAGAGTAAATCTATACTATTAGTAAGAAGATGATTACAAATGTATCAGCAAGAATCATCTCGACAGTCTCACCGGAGTATTGGGTGTATTGAGTCCACGAATGGACAATTTTCACTTGGATCTTCCATTGAGTTTTGAAAGGTTTGACCGCATTAAGTTTGGAGATGGGAAGATTTGCAGCCATTGTTTCAGAGGTATAGAGGTGTTTTGATAGCTTATTGAGTATTGAGAATATATGATTAGAGATCTATATTTATATGAGATGGGGGACGATCTATATTTATACGAGATGGGAGACGGCTAGGGTTCGTCCTATTAGTTAGCTATAATATATTTGCAAATCAATCATTTGAATAGATATTTTAGGTATATTCTTGATTTAAGAGGTTTTGAATATACTGTTTTGATTTAGTTTAGATTGTTTGGTAACTTTATACGAACAAAATTTGTTATCATATTAATTACGATTCAAGATTATAGAGATATGATTGTTTAGGTATTATCTTTACTTATGTGTTATGGTAATTATGTTTAGATTTCCAAATCGCAACCGTGAGGATCAATCCAGATCGCAAAGTGAGGATCAAGCTAAGGACTGGCGGATAAAGTATAGGGTCCGCGTGTAGATCCGTAAGTTAGCCCATTATCCTCATAAATAACCGATCCTATAGCCCATGAACCATGGATATGTGTCTATCAAATTATACTTTTAACCTTGCACGTGTATTTTTTTTAGTCTTTGAATGTAATTATCTTAATGGCAATCTTTGTAATTTTTTACACTTTATAAGGTTATTTATATTTGAGTGATTCCCAATTAATAATATAGATTTTTTCTTACAATGTGTTAGCTTATTAGGAAACCAACAAACGGATAACATTTTTATATTTTTGCAGTGCATGATATCTCCACGAGTATCGTGATTATATCATCAATAGTCCGTTCATACTATTCATGAACCGCTCATTTATGTTTAAAATCAGATTATTGACTTATAAATAAAAATTATTGACTTATAAGAAAATGTGAAACATATTGATGTTTTTTTCCTTTTCTTTTCAGTAATGTTCTTACAACCAATGGTTTTTTAGCACGATCATCAAATGTTTGAACATGTGGAAAAACATCGTAATAATTTTACTTTTCTTTTTCTTCAAATGACTGACTCGTTTTTCTTTTTAAAAATCATGTTTTTCGTCATTGTTAGGTGTGAAGGCCATCATATTTTTGCTAGATTCTTGTAGATATCCGATATCTCAACATTGATTTTTGTAGATATCTATCAAATCGATAAGAAAAGTTTGCTAGTTTCTAAATTAATGCTAAGAAACCAATTTTCTTTAAAAAAAATTTTGTTTATGTCCTCTCACAATCGGCTAAAAGATGTTACAAAATATAAAGGATCCTCCTCCATAACTTTTGAAGATTTTACTCTCTCCAGATTTTGTCCAAAAGGACTCACAAAACCACACAATGGTCAACTTAAAAGATCACTAAACTTAAACGAAATGATGACAAAAACCCTTTTGTTGCAAAATAAAAACTATTTATATGGTATGGTGGATGTTGTCCGAGTCTTATTTCTAATTTTATTTAGGGATATCATGTTTGACACTTATTTATGGATCTTATAATATACGTTTTTTTAATTAATTTGAGATCAAAATATCATGTCCTGTTGCCTTAGTCTTCTTGCAATTCGTTTAGACAAAAGGATCCATCCACCAGCAATACTTTGTCCATATTTTTCTCTCCAGATTTTCTCCAAAAGCAAAAGAGATTCACAAATCACACCCAATGGTCCACTAAACAGAGCGCCTTTATTGCATTACAAATCAAATCAATTTAATAAAGGAAACTCAACTGAAAACGATGACAAATAAAAAATAAAAAATGTGCCTTTTGTCTTTAAATAAAATAACCCTATATTGACGTAGAGAAAAAAATTAACTCGTAAAATACTTCTTACCCAAATTAAAAAGACAACACTATGTTATCACCATCATGATTCATGCGATTATTCATATATATTTTTAGTAGAGTATAAATGAATCACTTAACGAAAAAAAAAGATATATAAAAGTAGTGTTAATTATTAAACTAATATAATGTTGAAATTAGAATCAATACAGAAGTCGATTAATTGAACAATATCCACCAGTTTTAGATGTCGGCCCTGATTGGTTGGTGCTTTAGAGTCTTTACAAAGCAAAAAAAATTCTAAAGCATTGAAATAGATCCAATCAAGTTTTAGAAGCTTTGACTTTCCTTTTTTTTCTCACAGCCAAAATATTTCCATAGTTAATTTTTTTGCTGTAAAAAGCTTTTTTTTCTAAAGCATATAATTTTCTACTTTCCAAAATTTTAAATGCTACAGCAAAAATACTACAACACTAAAATCTACAGTCACAGCCAAAACATCTACAGCCTAAAATCTACAGTCAAAAATCTAAATCTACAGCCGGAACCAATCAAGCCCGATATATGCATTGAACAAAATGCAAAGAAGTAGCCGACTTGGCAAAGAAAAGAGAGAGAGAGGTAAATAAACTAAAAATGAGTAAAAGGAGAAGGAAAGTTCCAGGTCACGAGGGAGTAGTCGCTGTCGGATTGAAAGAAACAGACCAAACAAAGATTTATGAAATCTTAAAAAAGATTCGGTGCCCAAAGATTTTGACCTTTGATTATGTTTTTCTGACACTTCCCAAACACATAACATCAACACTTGACCCATTTTTAAGATTTTGTTTCCTCTTCAAAGATCTTCCCCGCAAGATCCGATCTTCCAAATCTCTCTCTACTACTATACTACTTATTAAACCCCACCATCTCTCTTTCTTATTTATGTCACCTAACCTTACTTTTTCTTCTTCTTCTTCTTCTTCTTCTTCCTTTTATCACATTCATTCCTCAGTTTCCTTTTTCTTCAATCCAAAGCTTTCCTCTTCTTGGAACCAATCTTCTCTCTTCTTTCTTCTGACTTGACAATGGCGGTCGGTGAGGTTATGAGGATGGAGATTCCCGCCGGTGGAGAGTTGACAGTTACTACTCCGGAGTTGCATGTTCTTGCCGTCGACGATAGTATCGTGGATCGTAAAGTCATCGAGAGGTTGCTTCGAATCTCTTCTTGTAAAGGTAAAAACCCAAAACCAATCTTTTTTTGCTCTGTTTTTTTCTTTTTGGTCTTAACTCTCCTCTGTTTTTCTTCATCAACAAACTCTCCTCTGTTTTTAGTTATGAGTGTCTCCTAATCTTTAATAAAAATTTGTTGGATTTTTGTTATTGCAGTGACGACTGTGGAGAGTGGGACTAGGGCTTTGCAGTATCTTGGCTTAGATGGAGGCAAAGGAGCTTCTAATCTTAAGGTAAGTAAGGAAACATCTTCCCTCTTTTGCTATCTACAAATCTGTTTGGTTACTGAGAACTCTTGTAAATCAAGGAATGAAAGAGACCTCTACATCTTTAGCTCTTGCTTCTTGTCTTTATGATCAAATGGGATTTAGATTTGTGTGTTTTGGTTATAGGATCTGATTTTTGTTAAAGTGTTTTATTAATATTCTGTGATTTTAATGATAACAGGAGGTGAATTTGATAGTAACGGATTACTCAATGCCAGGACTAACAGGATATGATCTCCTCAAGAAGATTAAGGTAATAATAAGGAATGATAGATTTAACATATGAGAAAAGCTTGAATAATGTTATTTTGATGCTCATATAAAACTACTATTGATATGTGCAGGAATCTTCAGCGTTCAGAGAAGTACCAGTAGTGATTATGTCATCTGAGAACATCTTGCCTCGTATAGAAGAGTAAGTACTGATTGTGTAATGTGTAATAATACAGACGACATCATATTTGTGCCTGCACTGTGATCTAAACTATGTGTCTTATCGTCTTCTTCTTGTTTTTAGATGTCTCAAGGAAGGAGCAGAGGAATTCCTGTTGAAACCGGTGAAGCTAGCAGATGTTAAGCGAATAAAACAACTTATAATGAGAAATGAAGCTGAGGAATGCAAAACCTTAAGCCATTCTAACAAAAGAAAGCTTCAAGAAGACTGTGATACATCATCATCATCATCATCATCATCAAGTCATGATGATTCTTCTGTCAAGGACACTCCATCTTCTAAACGGATGAAATCAGAATCTGAAAACCTTTCTTCTCTATTTTGAAATATATATATATATAGAGGCTAAGACCTTTGCTAACACTTTTTGTTAATATTCCTCATCTAAGTATTTTGTTCATTCGTTTTTTGTTTTGGGGTTAATACATAGACAATGTTTAAGAGAGTCATCATATTACTCATGCTTAACAAAAAAGAAAAAAACAGAATCCAAAAACGTTAGACAATTTGGTAACCTTAATCCTCATATCTCTTCACTGATCTTCACATGGAAACTCGAAACGACACAATGGACAAAAGTGACTGGCCGCAAACCAGTCTACAATACACTTATCGTGAAACTCATGTCCACATGGTAAAGTCACAACTCTTGCTCCATCCTTAAACTCTTCCAAACATATTGTGCACCACCTATAGAGCTAGTCTTGTAGTATATTTTCCTGGTCAAAGACCTGACAGCGAGCTTGCTTGCGGATCTAAAACGTATATAATTATTGTTCTCACCATCCTCTCCAATCTCATCAAAGAAAAGAGGAAGACGATCACGAAAAATCAATATCAGAAACAGAGCACAATCTGTGCTATAATCACGTGAGGAAGTCACTTGAATGATACTATCGTTGGCTAATTCGGTCAATGCAAACAAATTGGATTCGAGAGGGAAACCTGCTTCCATCAAAAGATCATTAAGGTCTTCTCTACTACTAAGTCCTTCATCTTCCATGACGTACTCCGCAGGCCACGTAATCATGAATCTTCTTACAGATTCATCCAACGTGACCATGGTTACACATGCGTTGATTGTACCAGCTTCTGAGACTGAAGGATTACGGTCGATTTCATGGCTGAAATATAGTCCACCTACCATAACGAATAATTTAGGGTTCTTTATTTTATTTTGTTGCACTGTTAATGGAAGAATTAGTGTGGTATTTATAGAGGTATGCAAGATTTTATCAAACTTTTATCAAAAAAAGAAAAAGATTTTATCAACAATATATTTTATTTTTTAAAAAAAAAAAAAAGAAAAGAAGAATGTATCAATTTCTGTGTGTGAATCATCATAATACTGTGTTAAGTTACAAACTGTATTCTCAAACACTAAGGGATTGAGACTGTAAGAATGTGATGAGGCTAAGATGTTAAACGCAAGCTAGAAACTCAAGTGATTCCGAGAGCGTTTCCTAGCGTTCATAAGCTCCATCAATGATGGTAGCGGCCGAGGCACAGGTGCGTTCATTGATCTGTATAGCTTTCTCAAATCCCCACTAAGATCCTTGTAAGTCTCCTTTGAAGTACAAGTAGAAAAGCTTGTACAAGATCCCTTCTCTATTGTTTCTTCTTTAGTATCATCTTGTAAAGACTCAATTACTTCCTTTACATTCAGCTTTTCCGATACCAGGGAGGTTTTGGTGTATACACATTGAGTGTGTATGACTTTTCTCTCATGTAGTTGATCAGATTCCTGAGAACTTAGCCTTGCTCTCCCAAAGAGAGTTACAGGAAGATTTTTTTCAGGGGATAAACTCAGAAGCTTCTTCTTCGTGCTAGACGATTCGACTACAGGTTCTAGCTTTGATTTTGCAGAATCCAGAATAATTTCTTCACTCATGAGACAACAACTAAGAACTACTGTGTGAGAATCAGCTGCTGCAACTGGAGAAACTTCCATGTCGATGTCTAGAAGCTTCCAGAAAGGATCATCAGGCGAAAACCGACTGATAAAACAGTTTTTCTTCACATAGTTCAGTTCCATTGCTCTACAAGAAGGAACTGTTGATACAACCCATTTCGGAGAAAGAAGTTGCATCGCTGATTCCAATTCCTCTCGAGATGAATGCATTGAGTAACACACATGCCAAAGACCAAACTCATCCTTGACAGCTTCACTAAACCTAACTTTTCTCTGCTTTTGAATGCTTCCACTTTCCCAATCATCTTCGTCATCACAAACATACCACTGCGCCGAAGGGCGGATGATAAGAGGTTCACTCTGAAGTTTCGATCTGGCCTCAGCAAGTTTCGCACTTGTTCTTTCATACAGTTTAGGGAAACCACTGAATATGTGAAACCGGGAAGAAGGATCTTCAGAAACTATTTCAGGAACAATAACCATTAACGATCTGAAACATTCCAAGTTTGTAGCTTTGTCGACATAAATCTTGGAGCCAAACGTTCTAGAAACTTCTAACAGAACATCCTCTTGTCCCAACATATCACAAGCAAGATATACAACTGGTGCATCTGGATGGTTCCATATGCAATTGATAACCTGAATTCATGAGCAAAGAAATTGCAATGAAAAAGGAGAAACTTTACACAGAAACGATTCCGATACTTAACAAAAAGTGCTATGATTCACCTGTCTAATAGCTGAATGCTTACTGGGAAACCTCTGAGAGTGAGATGATTTCCCAAATGTACAATCTAAGAAAATGTAATCAAGACAACATTTTGGAGCCACACCATGTCTTCTTCCAACATATTTCTCAGGTAGACTATGTAGACAATCTAGTGTAAGCCTACAATCACCAGTGTGAAGTATATTACCGAAACTTCCTTCAAACAAGAACATGACGGCTCCTGAAGTTTATGAAATTCGTCAAAATTTGGAAAAGCTAAGACTTTACACAAATCACAAAACAATTAAAAGCTACAAAGAAACTCACCAGGACAATGATTGGCATCAAAAGCAGTAACTTTAAACTCTCCATCAGGATCATCAACAATCACCGATTGCCCAATTTCAATTCTCACGAAGAAAGACTCATCAAGCTGAGGGTGACGTTGAATAAGAAGAGAGATGGTGAGGGAAGTAGAGTAAATGGGGAAGACGACGATGTTGGAAGGAGAAATCCCAACGGTGTGATCTTTGTGAGCGTGAGTTAAGAAATGATGTCTCTTTCTTCTCTTCGTCGTCGTGTATGGCCCAAATGTGTCGACGGCAAATGGTAAACCTCTTGGCATCTCTATAGACATCACGGCCGTCAAAATTCCTCTTAACGGCGGCGATGGATGTAACCGATGGATAGGGTTTCTCTGCTTCCGCCGATAATTTTAGAGTGGAAGGTTGATTCCTAGGGTTTTGGGTTCTCCGATTGATTTACCGAATTCAGATCCGGAGAACAAAAGATTGTTTTTGCAGAAGCGAGGGAAATTTTCCCTCCGAGTCTTTTTTCTTCTTTAAAAGTAAAATTAAGATTTAATTACATGTTATAAACCTTTTTTTTGTTCAAACGATATATATATATATTTTTTGATAATCATAATTCGATTATAGAAATAATAATTTAAAGCTGCGATCAAAAATTAAAGAAAAAAATCAAATGAATTAATCCCATGAATACAAAGTCGAACAATTTACTACAGTAAACAAAACATTCATCAAATCAAACAAGCTATAAATATATAGATCAGACATAATATTTGCCAAGTGGATAATTCAAACTGTAATCATATACAAGGAGTCTTTATTATTTGTGTGTGGTTTTGTGATACTTGTCCTTGACCCAACGAAAACCAATAGCAGAACCAGTCTTGAGCTTCTTGAAACCAGAAGAAGCTACAGCTTTGGTCTTGTCTAATCCTTGTCCCATTTTCTCCTTGTACTTAGCCGTGTTTGAAGTCGTTCCACTTCCGCTGCTTCTGACGACGGCGCCGCCGCCGACTTGGCCTCCTCTGGCAGAGCCGCCGCTATTGTCCCACTGGTCAGCCCACGATGTTCCGTTCATTGTATATCCTCTTCTCAAAAGCTTTATATCAAATGAAAATTGTATTTTGAAGGTCTTATGTGATTGTATTTCGTTTCCTCTGTTGTGTATATATACACATTCATATTTCAAGAGACGCGTCACGCGTTATGTGTGGTCAAACCTTGTGTTCGTGAACAAATATGACTTCTATTGATTTGCTTCTTCTTTAACTTTATTTTATAAGAATCAATATTCTTCTGGAACATTCGCTGGAAAGAAACACAAAATTGAATGTCTATACAAGAATCACTCGTGGGAAATATTGTAGTAATTCTTTGTATTTTATAGAATCAGGTACACATTGTGGAAATCGCCGAGTCTCTAGACGAAGACTCTTCAATAATTTGACTTGTATACGGTATATAAGATAATATTTTGACTTTTATAAGACCCTTCAATATTTTGACTTGTATACCCTGAAGTTGAGATATCCAAGCAAAAAGGCTTTCTTTTTTCCCAAGCTTCTCGAACTAAAAGAATCTGATTTTCTCAATATAGGAATTTAGAATGATAGAGATAAGATAATTAAAAGGTGGATAGTCGGAAATTGCTCTGTTTTCTAGGCTTTGGTTAGTAAACGACGTCGTAAGACCAAAATCACCAAGTGTGATAAAAAGTCAAATTTAACGACCAAAATTACCAACTGTAGTAAAAAGTCAAAATTAACGACCAAAATTAGCCTTTTCCCATTAGTTTTACAAGCTGAGAAACGGGGGTATATATGCTACTAATCTTACTACTACAGCTAATTTCTCTAGTCAACCATTTTCTCCCAGAAGGATCAAATGAATCGATGACAGGAATCTTCGAAGATTACTTGTGAGTCAAGGGACATCATCACATTGGCTCTGCTGCAACACTTTCTTCTCTGAGAATGGTAAAAGCTATATGCCAACAAATAAATAACAAAAAAGGGGTCAGAATCTTGAGTATTTATAGAAGAAACCCACGAAAATTTCAAGACATTATATATACATAATGGTAATGAAAATTCACATGGACAATGACCACTTGACCAGTAACTGTCACAGCAAGAAGAAACAGAAAATTCTCCAAGATCAAACAATGGATGTTTACTTATATAGATTCACTAACCTGACGAGCGACCTGAGCTACACGTCGACTATCACGAGATGGTTCAGTACTGGTGAAAGAATCCAGGTAAGCGTTGTCTTTCTCACCAGTCTTCTGTCTCCTGTTTCTGCTTTCATCATCATCATCATCTTGTGAGGAGGAACCTCCTCCTTCAGGGCTGTTGCTGTTGCTGCGCTTCCTCTTATACGAGAATTTGATACACGGTTTCTCAGAAGGCGACAAAGGTGTAGTAGAAAGCTCAATATCATTCTCTTTCTCTTCTTTCTTCCCTGCTTCTGTAAGTGATTCCACATCAGCACAATCTCCATTGCCCATGTTCCTTTCCAACGCCTCAGCTTCTCTGCGTCTACTTAGTATGGAAGGAAGAGTATAAAGACAAGGATCTTTATTCTCTTTATAAGAACACCGGTTAATATTAAGATCTTTATCACTCATATGTGGTTTAATCCCATTAGCCACAACTGATCTCTCATGGTTGCTAGAGTCCTCGCGAACTTCTAAAGAAACTGCTTCATCGGGGGTTTTCTCTTCTTTGCTAAGATTTGTTTGACAACCATTTGTCAATTTCTCCAGGAGATACCGAGATTCTCGTAACTCCGTCCTTAGCTCTCCTACTATATCTTCAGCTTCTCCAAGTTGAGCTTCAAGTTCCTCAATCTTTTGCTGCTTCTTCAAAGATATCATTTCTGCCTCCTTAACCTATAACCACAAATTCTTTTTGTAAAATAGAGTTGAAACGAAAAATAAAGCACAAGTGACAGTGAAGTCTATCCTTAAGAAAAATGTGCCACAAATCTCAAGTCACACAGCTCTACTCATAATTAGTGTAAACCAAATAACAGTTTCTAGCTCATGCTACTTAGATCCTCTCAACAAAATAGAAAGTCCTCAATTTTACGGTAGATTCAGAATATATAGCTAAAAATATTTGACACAAGTCTTTTTGCACATTATGTTTCTGCACTATAATGACCATTAGGATTCATAGACGGTACTAAGCAATGAATTAAACAAATGAAATCTATTTCAAAACAACATTTGAACTAGTAGAGCTTTATGGATTATGAAATCTATATAAGCTCAGAAATGTCAAAACTTGATCCTCAAATCAATATCAAAACAACATCAGCTCATGAAACAATTTAGAAGATGAAAAGTATCTTCAAGTTTAAGAATCCACAGAAACATAAATCTAGAATTGTAAAATTACCTTAGAATCATACATCTGTTTAAGCCTAAGACATGTACGGAGAGCCTCATCTCTAACCGCCGCAAGCTCCTGCTGATACCCACGCGCTTTCTTCTCAGTAATCATAACACGCGCCGCCGCTTCCTTGGCTGTGTTCAGTATTGTCTCAGCGTAAGCCTTCTTCAAGGCGGTTAATTTCTGCTACCCAAAAAAAAACGAAACAGTTCATCGCAAACCCAGAACAGAAGAATCAAAACCCATATCCGAAACATCAATCCAGATCAATATACGATAACAATAAACGAAATCAGAGACAACAATCCTTTATAAAGAGAAATGAAACCTAAAAGAAACAGAGAAGGAACAAAAACTTTATTTTTTCAATTGGGAATGTGAAGTCGAACACGGCGGAGATTTAGGGATTGAAAATGGGATTTTTACCTCTGGGTCGGTCATTAGGGCTGAGAATGCGGTTACGGAGAGGCGAATTTTTTGTCCGACCGAAGTCGCGAAGAAGAAAAAGAACGAAGTTGAAGAAGAAGAAAAAAAGGTGGTTTGGTTTCTTTTTTTTTCCTAATGTTTTCGCCTTTTTTTCCTTGAAGAATCTGTCAGTTAGGAACGGAAAAGGGATGTAATTACATTATTACCCCTGACTTTTCCACTTTATTACGAAAACACCACATTCCTTCACATCACAAAATGTAAAACGACGGTTCGGTTTCCCGGTTTTCCTCTAGCTGGTTTTCGTTTTTTCTTCTATAGAGTAGAATAAACACGTACTTGTATCACAGAATCGGTATGAACGAACACTGTTTGAATTAAAATTATCATTCATATTGGTACGAATAACTTAGCAATACGTGTTATTTAGGTTAGCTGAATTGTGTAACATAGATTAAGTATATCATATATGTTTCATTGTTTGGACATTTGAACTAATTTAAAAGTGTTCAAGTTCTATCTTACAAAGATACGAACAGTCTGATGAAATAAAACCATATATATTTGTTTTTGTCCAAACGCTAATTTACTTGTTTGGCTTAGGTATACACTAATATATACACACTAGAACAAAATTAAACAAGATGATACGTACAAAGGTATCTATGGTGTGTGTGATGCACATTTTTGTGGTTCCATTTTAAATTGTTAGGTTCATCTATGGTAAATTATTATGTTGTTTGTTATAAATTAATCGTTCAAGTTATTTGTTGTAAAGAACGATTTCATAATCCTCTAACAAATCTGGTAATTAGTGTTCTTTAACAAATACTAAAAAAGGTCTGGTAATTAGTGTAATAGGTTAAAAAATATAACCCGAAAATTTGGTATGAGTCATGTCTTATTGTTGCCGTGTGAGTGAGGAACAACTCGAGGTTTTTAAATACCATAAAGGTCTTGGGATTGTCAAGTAGGAACTGGGAAGTGGAACATCATTCAATCTTTAAAAACCTGTTTGAACATATATTATTTTCTGTTTAAGTACACAATCATGTGTTCTCTCATGAATCATGATCCACCACCCTCTTCTAAAACTCTGTTTTTGGAGAGTCGCATACTCATCCAAATTAGCTAAAGCGAAAACGAAAAGGAGAAAAGTCTCTTTTTAGTGGCTTTATACAAACAACTCTTTTAACTTCATCTTTGTTGTGTGAAACCAAGAAAAGGTATTGGTGGCTTTCATTCCTAACCAATATTTGTGCTTTGCCTTTTTATTTTTCCTTTTTCCACGAAAATTGTTTGATTAATACTTAGGAGATTTATATATCTTTGCGATGCATGTTGTTGAACCCCCATGCTAAAACTTGAATAGGATGATCATGACACCACGTTTATAAGTAAAAACCACTAGCTAGATTAGAAAGTGGTGTCAAAACTTTTATAAAGCAACAAAGTAAACCGTGGTTTTTAGTGTTTTCTAGTGTGATTTTTAGAACAATCATACTTTATTCATATTGATAATTAAAAGGTCAACACCTATTCAGCATCACCATTCTCTAAAATCTGTGTGAATTCAATTATATCTTCATTAATTTGAAAGAATGTGGTTATATAAATATATAGTATAGTTTGTGACTTTGTGTCAAAGATAGAGTTTAGAGATATGATCCACAATCCACATGACAATCCGTTAAAACATGATTATTCAGTCGAATTAATCGGTATTTTGTGTTAAATAGTGTTGTGCAATGTGAATCGATCTCACATACTAATCATTCTTTAGGGGATTATCATTATATATGGTTTTAATTTTTAAACTTTTAAAAGGACAACTTGGAATGGAGATTAAAACTTTTTAAAAGGCTATTAATTGATGGAAAAAAAAACAGAGAATTGATGGATACATAAAATACATTTAGTAAAGTGATGAGGATATCATGTGCTCCCATTGGCCCCCATGTCTTTATCAAATATTTTGATGCCACAATTTGGAATATTCTTTTGATTAGTTTATCAATCATTTAACTATAACCACAAGTAAATAAAATTGACGCGTAAGTGTATTTTTAATATTCAACAAAGACAGTGTTAAAAGGGATTTGGGGCTTTATTTAGAATCTTAGATTGAAGCTAAAGGATGAAATAAAGACTAACATATTGAGATTTTCAAGGTAACTTTTGGTTGCTTGTGTGATTCGTTACAAAGCTAAAATAAGATAATGATTTTTTTTATAAAGGTAATCATGTTGGATGTAATTGGGAATCGCATTAAGTAAGTTGACCAGATTCGTTTAACACTAACATTTACATTATAAAACACATTTATTTTATACAATTAACAGTTTTATCATGAACTACCATTCAAAAATCACATTTCATCTTCATGCGCATGACACACCATACTTCCTTTACCAACTTTTCTCATTTTATATTCAAATGATTAAAAAAAATCACACTAGAAAACACTCTTTTTTTTGTTTTAATTGCGTGTGAGAAGGACGTCTAGACACACATTCAATTTGATTAAACAAAAAAATAAAAATAACACATTCAATTAAAATGACAAAAACAATTAATAGAGAGACACATTATCAGAATATATCCAAAGAAAATAACTCATTTAATAAATCCAAAGTGAAGAAGATAAATATAGAGAGACAAGCAGGTCACCGAGGAAACAAGTGACAAACAAATGATAAATAAACACGTGTCATGTTATCGTAACAACACACAACAGTGTAAGAAATGCCACGTGGCTTATCGAGTTTATAAAAATAAGACGGAAGAAGAAGAAAGTAGAAGTAGCTCAGATCCACTCACACCTCGTCTCCTTATTTGTACGGTTCTTATTTCGAAAGGGTAAAAACCAAAAGCGACGCAAAGGGCAAAATCGGAAAAAGTGTTAATTTATGGCCGCCGTTAGTAGCTCGTCGGTGACCGGAGACTGTGGCGCAACCGGAAAGAGAGATGAGATTATGTTGTTCGGAGTTAGAGTTGTGGTTGATCCGATGAGAAAGTGTGTGAGTTTGAACAATCTCTCTGATTATGAAAAGTCTTCGCCGGAAGATGAGATCCCTAAGATAGTCGTCGCCGCCGGAGCTGGAGATGGCGAAGATAAGAACGAAGCTGATGCGACGGTGATTGTCGTCGACGGTTACGCCTCCGCCAATGACGCTGTCCAGATTTCGTCTTCTTCTGGCGGAAGGAAACGAGGTACTACTACTCTGTTATGAATCTGACAAGAACTTTGAGATTCTGATTGATTGTTTTATCGATCTCGTGTTAGAATGTCTCTATCCAATTCGTGATTGAATCTATGCATGTTGGATTGTCGTCGGTGATTGATTGGTTTTGAGCTATGGATTCGTTGTCTCTGTTGTTGATTCTTGTTTGTGTTGAACAAAACAGGGGTTCCATGGACAGAGAATGAGCACAAGAGGTTCTTGATTGGGTTGCAGAAAGTAGGGAAAGGAGATTGGAAAGGAATATCAAGAAACTTTGTGAAGAGTAGGACTCCTACTCAAGTAGCTAGTCACGCTCAGAAATACTTCCTCCGACGAACCAACCTCAACCGTCGCCGGAGAAGATCTAGCCTTTTCGATATCACTACTGAGACGGTAAATCTCTAATCTTATTTTAGCTGAAGATGAGATGATTCCTCACCATATTTGTCATATGTGAGTGAAAAGGTCTAGACTTTAGCTTAGATGATAGAATTTGATTTTCTTACTTTCTTTGGTGTTCTCTGCTTTCTGAAAGCTTTTTTCTTTCTTAGATGTCAATTTGTTTTTAGTATTTCCTCTTTAGAACTTAAAGACAAAGTAATATGGAGAAGTGTCATTATGATTTTGGTCTAATTGGGTATATATCTTTCAAGCTGTACTAGCAAGTGGATAATTTCAAGATTGGAGTTATAGATGGCGATATTATGTATATAACAATAATGGTAAGTTTGTGACAGTTAGGTCTGATTGGTTTTATCAGGTCACAGAAATGCCCATGGAGCAAGATCTTACTCAGGAGAACTCACCGCTTCCCGAAACCAACACCAGCTCTGGACATCAAGTTATGCAAGTTTTTCCTGAAGTTGCAGTGCCGACGAAAACTGAGAATGCACCACAGACATTTCATCTCAACGATCCATATCTAGTCCCAGTAACCTTCCAAGCAAAGCCTGCATTCAATCTAAACACAGATGCTGCTTCGCTTTCTCTCAACCTTTCTCTGGCCTCCTCATTTAATCTTAACGAGCAACCCAACTCAAGACACTCAGCTTTCGCGATGATGCCAAGCTTCAGCGATGGAGATAGCAATAGCAGCATCATCAGAGTTGCTTAGACCTTATAGCCAAGGTGAATCTACAAGACCTTGTTTCTTTCTTTGTTTCACTGTTGTTGTAGTAGTAGTACATATTAGGTATAAACAGATAACAAAAAGAACCCTTTTAGGTCTCAGTCTTGTTTCTGATCTTTCTTTAGGCCTTACTTTGTCTGAAAACATAATGAGGGAAAAAAAAGAACAATAACAGAGGAAGGCTATAGAGATGGACAAACTATGTTTAGGGTTCTTCATCATCTGTTGTTTGTTTGTAAAACTCTCTGGCCACACACTGTTATGAGTCATTTTCTGCTGTGTGTATTTTGTTTTGTGGTATGTAAGTTAAAAACAAGTCGTGATTCTCATGTGGCCCATCTCAATCAATGGTTGGTGATTTGTGGGGTTTTTAGGCTTTTGTATATCTTATCTTTTGGGGATATGCTTAAAAACTGTATGTATGGCTCTACGAATATTTTATCATTTATCTTTGAGAAATTCCTAAAAATAGCCCTAAAACAAGTTTTATTGACAATAATAGCACACACTCCATAAACTTCCAAAAATAGCACTAGTTAACTTATTATTAGTGTTTTTGATTTAAAAATTTTATCACTAGTTTTTTCTTCAATAATACCACAATTTTTATATAAAAGCTATTCAACAAAATAAATTAGAAATAAATTTAAAATATTATATTTGGGTTCTCTATTTCCAATTTAGGGTATATATTTCCACCATTTAAAAGAAATTTTGATTCATTTTAATATTAGTTTATGGTATTATATTTGGGTTCCCTATTTCCAATTTAGGGTATATATTTCCACCATTTAAAAGAGATTTTTATTTTAATATTAGTTTGTGGTATTATATTTGGGTTCCCTATTTCCAAATTAAGGTATATATTTCCACTATTTAAAAACAATTTTGATTCAATTTAATATTAGATTAGTGTTTGCTCTCTTTTCTATTTTCTATCTTATATTTTCATTAAGTTAAATTGAAGTTTATGGTGCTATTTGTGGAACTTTTCAAATGAGGTGCTATTTTTGGAAAAAACAACTTTTTTGGGGCTATTTGTGTCAATCTCCCTTTATCTTTAAAAGTCATAATAATGTTGCCAATTTCATGTGCCACTTCGAGTTTTGTGGATTTTTTCTCTTTTCCCTAGCAAACACACTATATAGTACTTGATCATTAGGGACATGACAATCCAAAAAACAGAGTAAATTTTGAAGAAAAAAATTCTAATTTTGTCAATTTTACTTATCTGCGATTAGCCGTTATTTCAGGTATTTTTGGTCAATTTAATTCTTCCCCAATCCAAATATAGAGGACTAAATAATAAAGGTCATAACCTCTGTTTTTTTGTTCCTTCTTCTGTCACCATTTTCAATCTTCATGTAACCTTTTAAGATAATTTCTTCTTCTTTTTCTTCCTGTTAATTTCTCTGAAGATTGCTTGTATCTTCGTGATCGCTTTTTGCAATCACAATAATGTCTAACCGTTCCTTCAAGAATTTCATAGAAGAAGAACTTGGAACATTCCCGCAGTTCTTAATCTACGCTCTTCTTGAATGGATCCTCATCATTATCCTCTTCATCGATGGCTTCCTCGCTTTCTTCTCTAACCAAATCGCTAAATTCTTTGACCTCAAAATCCCCTGTCTTCTCTGCACTAGACTAGACCATGTTCTTGTCAGAAGAAACCCTGATTTCTATTACAACGACTCGATATGCGATGCTCACAAGAAGAATGTCTCATCTCTCGCTTACTGTCATGTTCACAAGAAACTCTCTGAGATCAAACGAATGTGTGAAGGATGTCTTCTTTCTTTCGCCACCGAGAAAGAATCAGATGTTGATACTTACAAGTCTCTTATTGGAATCTTACATAAGGATCTTGAGCTTCTTATCGACGATGAACGTGAGCTTCAATTGGCTTTTCCAGCTGCGGGTTCGAAGAAAGATGAAAACTTCTATCAGGTTGATCAGAGAACTAACAATAGCAATGACAGGTTTCACAAACAGCAACGTTGTTCTTGTTGTGGGCAGTTATTGAAGCTGAAATCCGAAAAAACCGAAGAACAATAACCAATCTTTCTTCGCAGCTCCTAGTCCGTCTCCAAGAGTTTCATTCAATCAAAGAACTTTGGATTTGTCTAATATTAAATACACGGATTCACCCGAGGATGATGATGCTGTTAACACGAAAGGCGCTTCAGTGGATCCAGTTGATGACAGAACTCCGAGTTTTGTAAAAGGAGGCAATAAATTCTTTGGCATTCCGCTTTCTGATTCGGCTCAGAATAGTCCGCGATGGTCTGTTCGATCTATGAAGAAATCTCTGATTGATCAGAATGGTTCAGAGAGCGAAGTGTTGGATGGAGATTCGATACTTCAGCATCTAAATAGACAGGTTAGATTGGACCGTAAGTCATTGATGGATTTGTACATGGAGTTAGACGAAGAGAGGAGTGCTTCAGCTGTTGCAGCAAACAATGCAATGGCTATGATCACAAGACTTCAAGCCGAGAAAGCTGCGGTTCAAATGGAGGCATTGCAGTATCAGAGAATGATGGATGAGCAAGCGGAATATGATCAAGAAGCTTTGCAGTCTATGAATAGTTTGTTGGTTAAGAGAGAAGAGGAAATGAAAGAGCTTGAAGCTGAAATTGAAGTTTATAGATTGAGATATGGATTGTTGAGAGAAGAAGGAGGAGAAGCAGAAGAGTTTCTTGATGAAGAGACTAAACCGGTCTCAGATTTGCCTGTTTGTTCTTCAAATCATGAAGAAGAATTGGAACAAATGAAAGATTCAGCTGAGGATTCTAAAGCTAACAATGGTGTGATGATCATAGAGGAAGAAAAAGGTAAGCCAATTCATTGGTTATATGTTTCTTTAATAATCTTGAAGTTGAATTGATTTTGAAATTGTCTGAATCATTTTTTTGGTACAGAGAGTGGAAGCAGAAAAGATGTGTTAGTGAAGGAAATTTCAGAGATTACAGAGAGACTAAATGCAATTGAATCAAAAGGTGAATTGTTGCAGCAAATTTCAGATGTTTTAGATGTTAGTGAAGGAGAAGCAATTCTATTACAGATATCTCAGAATCTGCATATGCTTCGTAGTTTCATTGAAATGCCATCAGAATCATGAATCTGTTTTACTTACACTTCTTTTATTATCAGAAGAAATGAAAACAACATCCTTGTATCAAATCTGTATGTAACTGATACTGACAATTTTATTACAGAACAAGCAAAGAGCATTTTTTCTGCCTTGTCTCTTACTTCAACTTCAATCTTGAATCTGTTCTGTTTTTTTAGAACTTTGGTTGAATCTTTCTTCGATGATTCATTGAATCTAAAACCCTGACACCAAGTAATTATTGTTCCTAGTTAAAAAATATTATTTATGAAAATCCCACATTAACAAACCCATAAAGACTTGACCAAGCCAATATTAAGCATATCGTGTCAAGATTCTTACCAACTAATTGCATCATGGAAAATCGTGCATTATCAACCAAAGAGTCCCAATTACATACCAAAAGTCTCTGAACTTCTCATTTTTCTTAAAATACATCATTAGTTTAAATCTTGAAGTCAATATGTATGATGTATCTTATGACCTAGTAAGAAATCTTCTCTGTTTAACAAGAGACAGTTTAACCATCAACTTTGAAATGTTCTTCAGATTGCTTCTTACGACAAAATCAATAGAATGTTTTAGAAGACATAGAAATAGAGTTACACAGATCATCAAACTTGAACCACTAGTAGTAATAAACAAACAATATTTTCATGTCCAATTATTTATCTCAACAAATCTCCAATTATTTTTTCTAGACTAAAAAATAGAATAAGTCAAAAGAAACTCTGCCAAAGACCAAAACAAACTACTATATATCTACAAAACAGAGGATGCTCTGTTTCATCATTCTCATCAATAAGCTATGGCTACTCTCCAAATCTCTTCTTCTTCTCTTTTCAGATATTTCTTTCTAACGCTTTGTCTCTTCGCAATCCCATCTCTCTCATCTGATTCTGATCCTTTACAAGACTTCTGCGTCGGCGATCTCAAAGCTTCTCCTTCCATCAATGGCTTCCCTTGCAAATCATCCGTCTCGGCTTCTGACTTCTTCTTCTCCGGCTTAGGTGGTCCCTTAAACACCTCGAACGCTAACGGTGTGTCTGTTGCTCCCGCCAACGTCCTAACGTTTCCGGGTCTAAACACTTTAGGACTCTCGATGAACAACGTTGAATTCGCTCCAGGCGGTGTAAATCCGCCACACTCGCACCCGCGTGCAACCGAAGCAGGAATTGTGATCGAAGGCTCGGTCTTTGTCGGGTTCTTGACTACTAACAACACTCTGTTCTCGAAGGTTTTGAATGCCGGAGAGATGTTTGTTGTCCCTAGAGGATTGGTTCATTTCCAATGGAACGTTGGTAAAGTGAAAGCGCGTTTGATAACGTCTTTTAACAGTCAGCTTCCAGGATCGGCTGTTTTGCCTAGTACTCTGTTTGGCTCAAACCCTACGATTCCAAATGCGGTTTTGACCAAAACGTTTAGGACTGATGATGTTACTGTGAACAAACTCAAGTCCAAGTTTGCTGTTTGAATCTTTTGATTTATGTTTTCTCAAATGATATTTTCTTAATTCGATTTTATAGCAATAACTTATGTGTAACAACTGGTATGAAAAGAAAAAAACATTAATAAGATTCATTTCTTTCTATTTTTTCTTCTCTTTATCATAATCTTTTTTTCTGATGATTTTATTTGGTTTCGATGTGAACAAGTAGAACTACTTGTTAAATCGATCAATCATTTAAGACAATCAGCCATTTATATTGATTAGAAAACTCATTCTCTATCAAGTTTTCCAGTTCTTGTGAGACTAAAACTCTGATGCCAAGTAATCAGTTTTTCTTAATTAAAACATTTGTGCAAAAGTCTCTCTTAAAAACCTTAGAGACATAGTGATATTCTTAGGCTACTGCTCCGGATTGTGACCTAAGAATATCACTATCCATAGTTTAGACTCTCCTTCCTAGGTAGAAAAATCCATGATTGACAGAAGAGAGTAAGAAGATGCACAAGAGAAACATCTTTTAACTAGTCACCCCATACATTCAAAACGAGTGAAGTGGTCTCCTCCTCTTCTTCATTACCTAAAATGTAATATAGATACTTCATGGATGGAAGACATGGAAGCTTGTGGAGTTGGATGGGTGCTAAGAGATAACAAAGGCACTGTCAAATGGTTTGGTGCTACGACGTATCCTCGGTTGCAGTCTGCCTTTGAAGCTGAAGCAATGGCACTTTCATGGGTGATGTATTCGCTTGAAAACCTTGGCATTAAACATGTACTGTTCAAGACTGATTCCAAAGGATTGATTAAGGCATTATAAGACCTTTATAGCTGGCCCCGACTGAAGAGTGTCACGATGGAGACAAAACGAAGACATCTCATGCCATCATATATATACTTTCAAAAGTCCGCCGATATAATAGCCAAAAAAGGGCCTATGCTTTTCGGAGTTATCATGCTAGTTTGGATAATTGTACTCCACACTGGTTAAACAAATGTTTTGCTCTTGTGTAAATGGCCCTATTTGTTGTTGAAGCTTTTAAAAATATTACTTTCGAAAAGTTCAAAATTGGTTGGACCGCAAGTGTTCTATATAGCCCAAAAGTGTAAATGGGCCTATTTGTTGTATACTAGGTGACTCATGTTGTGCTCAGCAGATGTTTCTAAATATAGAACACAAATGAGAATCCAGACCCACGCGCTGCAGGTCCTCTTAATTTTTCATTTGTGCAAAATACCCCAAAAAAGAGGGCTATATAGTCCACGGATTATAGTTTCACGCGCTCAACGCGCCTTTGTTGCGTGTGGTTTTGTATTTTACACGCGTGTAGAGTTCTATTTTGATATTTTGTCGACGTCATTTTTTCGTTTTTCTCTTTTCTTTGATTAAAAAAAAACGTTTTAGAGACATTATCAACAAATGGCAGTCAATGAAATTCATAAATCAACCTCTTATTTAGATTCTTACCAACTAATTAATTTATTATAACTTTCTTCTACGTTGTCACCCAGATTGTTTGAAATGTTCTCTGCTTATTACTTGTCTTTTCCATTGCTTGCTTCTTACGACAAAATCAATAAGAAGTTTTACAAAAACAGAGTAAAATTGTAAAACAGAACATCAAACTTGAACCATTACTAAAAAAGAAACATTTATTTTCCATTTATCTCAACTTTCTCCAGTTTTATTGTTTTTTTTTACCAAAAAACTAGAACGAGTCTAAATACAATTTCCGAAGACCAAAATAAACCACTATATAACTACAAAACAGAGATGCTATGTTTCATCATTCTCATCAATAAGCTATGGCTACTCTCCAAATCTCTTCTTCTCTTTTCAGATCTTTCTTTTTGACGCTTTGTCTCTTTGTAATCCCATCTCTCTCATCTGATTCTGATCCTTTACAAGACTTCTGCGTCGGCGATCTCAAAGCTTCTCCTTCCATCAATGGCTTTCCATGCAAATCAGCCGTTTCTGCTTCTGACTTCTTCTACTCCGGTTTAGGTGGTCCCTTAGACACGTCGAACCCTAACGGTGTTACCGTTGCTCCCGCCAACGTCCTAACCTTTCCAGGTCTAAACACGTTAGGAATCTCGATGAACAACGTTGAATTAGCTCCAGGCGGTGTAAATCCGCCTCACTTGCACCCGCGTGCAACCGAAGTAGGAACTATAATCGAAGGCTCGGTTTTTGTCGGATTCTTGACTACCAACAACACTTTGTTCTCAAAGGTTTTGAATGCCGGAGAGGTGTTTGTTATACCTAGAGGATTGGTTCATTTCCAATGGAACGTTGGCCAAGTGAAAGCGCGTATGATAACAGCTTTTAACAGCCAGCTTCCAGGAGCAGTTGTTTTGCCTAGTACTCTGTTTGGCTCCAACCCTGAGATTCCAAACGCAGTCCTGACCAGAGCGTTTAGGACTGATGTTACAACTGTGCACAATCTCAAGTCCAAGTTTGCTGTTTAAATCTTTTTAATTTATGTTTCTGAAATTCTTTCCCATAGTCGTATACACTTGTCTGTAATAATTGGTATGAAAATTCGAAACTAATTACAATAATAAGATTGGTCACTTTCTCTCTTTTTTTTTTCTTTCTTTGTTTTATCTTTCTTGTGTTGATTTTATTTGGTTGCGATATGAATAGCTGCTTGGCAATTCGTGCGATCAGCCATTGAAATTGATATAAAGAACTCATTCTTTAACAAGTTGTCCAGTCTTGGTGATTATCTTAAACTAAAACTCTGATGCCAAATAATCAGTTTTTCTTAGTCAATTTACTCAAAATCATTTCTGAAAAGTCTCTCTTAACAACCTTAGAGACATTGTCAACGGATGGTTCAATTTTCATTATCAGCTAATTCAATTATCAAAACTTCCTACGTTAGCAACTGATGGGTCAATGAGATATATATATATATATATATATTTGGGTCAAAAGATAGGTATTCAATGATACACTCAGATCTTTAAACATTAGTTTAAGTCAAGAATTCTATGCAATGAATTTGCCAATTGATTTGAAATCTTTCTTAATTGAATTTGTAACAATATCGAAAAAATCGCAGATTTATAAGAAGCAACTCTTTCTCTTTATTAGATTGTTTCTTTATTGAGTAATTGACAATAAGATAAGATAAACTAGAAATGGAAAGGCTGCTCCAAATAGCTAGGGAATCCCATGAACAACTCTTTTTCTTTAGCTATGATAGATTCAACAAACCCGTTGCAGGAAGATTCTTCTTCAATGTGAGGAGCTACAGTTGATGAATTAGTCATCGTAGCTGCTGCTGCCTCAGAGAAGTCGTTCCCAAACAAGCTGTCTAGTTCTTGAGGATGATTCTGTTTGTTTTCATGAAAGGTTTCTTGGTCAAGAAGAAAGTCAGACCAAGTGAAGTTAACCTCTAAATTCTCCTGAGCAATGGTAGAACAAGTTGAAGAGAATAACGGAGGAGACGAATTAGAAGAAGAAGAAGAGGCGTACACAAACGTAGATTCGGGCTTGACTTGGTTCGATGACTCGGTCATAAGCTTGATTGCTTGTAAATGAAACATGAGATCTCCTGAATCATCAGGTTGTTGTTGTTGATTAGCATCATCGTTGAGCGAGTGATTACGTCCAAGAGATCCGGCTTGGTTCAAGGGATTAGGGTTTAGGTTTCCACCACCATTGATGTTGCCGTATTCAGCAAGTACGTGAGAAAAGGGACGGTGAGTGACGTGATCTATCCCCATCTCAGACAGTTTCTTCTTTAGTTTTGTGTTCCAAAACATCTTCACTTCTTCTTCTGTCTTTCCTGGTAAATGTTGTGCAATAAGTTGCCATCTAAATCCACACAAACAAAATCATCAGAATCTGTAAAATCCTCAAAAGAGTTTTCGAGTAATTCGCGATATCTACACAACCTGCTTCCCATTGCTGCGTGCATCTTGATGATCAGATCTTCTTCTTCAGAAGTGAAGCTCTCATGCTTAGTTCCTGAATGATCAGTCTTTCTCACTCTGCAACTCTTCCCACACCTCCTAAGTCCTATAAATGGTCAAACACATATACATAGATATATCATATCAACATCATATGATTAAAAGAAAGAGAGAAATGTTTTTGTAACCTATTTTCTTAGGAGCTGCAGATCCGTTTTTGGACGCAGATGCAAACACAAACTTTTGGGCGGTGTCTTCTTCGTTTGCCCAAGGATTTTTTGATTTGGAAGAACAAGATCTCACCATTTTCCTTTGAAAGAAAAAAAATTATAAAGGATGTTAATAGTATTGGAGAAATATATTGAAGGCTTTTCTTTAGAAAGATGAAGAATGAGACATGAAATAATATAATACAAAGGGAGTGTTGTGAAGAAGGAAGGGATTAGGCAAAATGGGTTTGGAGGTATAAGAAGCGTGTATGGCAAGAAAGGCATGAATATATATTTCCATCTTTCTTAAATTACATATGCATGATTCTTTAATTATATATAAAATTATTATTTCCATTTTCTTTATTTTGCCACATCTTTGGTTCCAAAATCTCCAAAATTTATCAAAGAATAAACATTTGGCCAAGTTCTTTAGCACAATTCTTTTTAGTTTATAAAAATTGTTTCCTAATATAATCTATAGCAAGTTTCACAGAAATCAAAGAGGGTATTAAGTCTTAAGTTAACAGCTATATCTTATAGATTAGAAGAAAAATAAGCCATCTTTTAGTGAGTGATTGATATATTGTAGAAGGTTTTCTAGTAAGTGGTAACAATAAAAACAATTTTAATTTGACTTGGAAAAGACTTGGACCACAACAAGTTTGTGGCTTTCTTCAATCATACACCTATAACCAATTAATTCAAAAACATAGTAAATAGTAATATATATTATGTACGTATATAAAATCCAAGTTATTAATTTGAAGGTAATTTCATGAGCTTTGAAGCTCACAATATGACCTGGGATAAAGCAACAACATTTTGTTTCACAGCCATTAAAAAGATTTGCTCCATGGTACCATAATCACATTCAGCAAGTCTCAAAGCTGCGTCGTTTAACCAAAATCTAAGAGACCTTGAACGTGTTCTTATGGTCAAAATACAAAAAGTTAGAGAAAGTTACTTGTACACTAATAATAATTCCATAAAAACATTAAACAGCTCTTAGGAATATCTGGTTCACCCTCTTCATTGTTTCTTTCTTCATGGTAAGAAAAAAATGACTAACCTAATCTACACATACCTCTTCGGCCTCCACAACATTCTCCTCTTCACTTATCAACCGAATTTGCCTGAATTACTTTAAAAACAACAAGAAGGCAGATATGCTTGAATGAAGAAAAAGCCAATGAAGTGTCTCTTACCGTTTCAACTTTTCTCTGCAAGGGGTTTTTGCCAGAAATAACTCGTGAAAATCTTGCTTATCATACAATGGTGATTGACCAGAGGAAGCTTTACGACGGCAAAGAGAGGTCTCTCTTTCTTGCTTATGAATTGTCTGTCTTATCATCATCCTTCAATACTGTACTTGGACCATCATCAAAACCAGACACAGGGGCCAGCTCGTTTAAGTCAAGGTAACGCCTTTTGCCTACTACACCCTCAACTTCTTCTTGGTCTGTTGTGCCGTTTGATTTGTTAAGTTGGTTATTCTCTTTACCATTTGTTGTCTCTGCATTGTCATTGAACTCTCTCGGCTCTTCTTCTTCAACTTCTTCTTCACCAGATTTTGTTTCTGGGCCATTTGCATTTTCTTCAGAGTCCTGACTTCCCATTGTGAAATCCCCATTCCCTGTTTCATCAGAAGGTTCATCCGGCTCAACCAACCGCTTACGTTTTGCCAATCCTGTTGCTTCTTTGTCTGAGTCTGAGAGCTCATATTGTTGGTAATCGATTCTCGTGGCTCTTTTGCTACGTCTCAGGCCTGGCCGAAAATCATTTGATCTTGATCTTAACTTAGTTTCTCTCCGTGGCATTTTCTTAGCCCTCCGGGGTTCATCACTATCCTCTTCACTTGCACTTAGAGAATCTTCTTCTTCTTCCTCTTCTTCTTCTTCCTCATACTCGGCATTGTCTTCATCCCATTTGTACTCTTCATCTCCCTTTTCTTCCTCTCCCTCAGAACCACTAGAGAGCTTTTTCTGTTTACGCTTCCTCAGATATTCTTCATCATAAACTGCTTCCCCATATATGTCATCGTCACTTTGAAATTCTACCTCATTGTCTGAAACAGTTTCAACAAAGTCCGTAGCTGAATATCGTTGAGGTCGTTGTCTGCGCCTGTTACTGCCACAAAATTATACTTGTTAATTCAAGCTAAAGGTTTGCATAGTTCCAGAGGGAAAATTTAAGGAGAGAAGAAAAATACACAGTGTCTTGCCTTCTGTCCAATGATTCATCTCTATGCTCATCGAAATCATCATAATCAGCAAAATCAGAAGATCTCCCAGATGCTGTATCGTTCACAGGCTCAGTAGGGTGGGTTGAACTGGTCGATCTGCCATTCGCAAGAGCGTCCAATCTGGCAGATTCTCTTCTATTGAGAGGAGGTTCTGGTGATGGATGTTTCTTCCTGAGATTAGTATCACGAAAACAAACAGAATGTAAGAGACAATAGATGATAGTCACCAAATAACAATGTTGAGGAAACCAACAGCAGAGATGATTCAATGCAAGGGAGACGCAGACGTACTTTGTTATCTTGATAGCATCATTTATGGACTTATCATAATCATCTGCAATATTCTTTGGAATTAGTAAAACTCTTCAGCCCAGTAGAGAGATTAAGATGGATTTTAATTAGGAAAAAATGCCAAAAAAGAAGAACCACGGGCATGAATTTCCAACAAGGTCATTAACATTACCAAAAGTGTATCTAACTGGTTTCCTATCACGGAGAGATCGCCCAGCAAGACCATCAACAACCACAAAGTTATCAAGGAGGAGAGCCTGTCTGTGTTGCTTTTTCAACAATTTTTCTTTCCTCTGACAATGGAAAAAATATCATTATGAAAATATGCAGTTGATAAGAATTTTCAGCCATGAAAAACAGAAAATAAAATAAAATAGAAAAGCATAGAGCAGATTGGAACCTTGTGTTCTTTTTCTATCTCAGGAAGCATATCTTTCACTAACTTCTTCCCTAGAGAAACTTCAATTCTACTACTACTCTGAAGAAGTTTTTCCTGCAAAACAAAGAGACACAGCATCTCAATCAGCAGTAAAGACATAAAAAGTTATACCTATTGTTTAGTTTAGTCCTTCACAGAAATTGACAGTCAAAAGTAAAGAAGTTCAGTCGGAAACATAAGTTTCGACTGAATAGCATAGGATCTCCCTCCGCAAACCGCAAAAGAAGGTACTAACGCATTGAAACAGATCCACAGTAAGTTGTTTGTGTTCACCTTGTTAAATCCTATGATCAACTGCAACAAGAAAGGACATCTCTCGAGAAAAAGATACTGGATTCACTAACACAAATGACAAATAACATACTACTAACTCATTAACATCCAACTATGTACCTACATCGAAATATACCCAGCTTGCACATGAGCCCTTTTAAGCCAGTTCTTAGCACTGCTAACATTTTAACTTGATTCACTCACAATTACTAAAGATATCAAGGACAATTCACAAACAATAGTATGCACCATTCTGAGTAAAAATTTTTGGGAAGAAAGTTACATCCATCCCCTGAAAATAACTGATTCTCCACATATATTTTTCTCAACCTATAGAGTATAATCCATTTTTGGCTTCTGTAAAATTCCATCGGTAAGGAAGATTAATATTCGAGTGTATGGTTAACACTAGCCTGCACGCCATCTAACCATCACAATCACATCAGAACCAAGCTACCATATTCCATAGCAAGAATTAATTACAGACTCACTTAAGTGACAGTCATATAGAAGAAGTATCCTAAGCAATTTATCTGGCAATTCAGAATGATTGATTGTAAAGAGACTTACAGAAACATCTTGAAATTCATCGAAATTAGTGGCAACAGTTTCCCATTGGTATGTTATGTTAGGATGAATCTTGGAACCCTTTGTTTTGACCTTCAACACCTCTGCTTTCCTTATTTCCCGATATAGACGGTGACCAATTAAGGGATCATCCTCATACCTTACATAAGAAACAAACAGGTGCTATCAGATATATGCAAACAAGAGAGTCCTATTTAGGTATTTTTTCTTTGCTACAGACCAAAAATTAACTCCATGTGAATCACCCCCAACACGATCTTTGCGAAAAACTGACAGGTGAACACCAGTTTTAAGAGAGTTGTCAATGTAGCTCCTGATATCCTCTTGCTGTAAAAAATACACAAAACCCATCAAAACTGTAAGTGTTAAAACCATCTTGGTTTCAAGTCAATCATTAGCATCGCATCAGCAAGGTCCAGAGCTTAATAATGGACATCATAAAGTGTAAACATATATACATCAATACAAATCTACAACATAATGAAAATTCAGTTTCAACTCTAGTGCGTTTCACAAATAACAAAAAGTTTAGAGGATAAAACAAGAGCATCAAACAATACAGAGATGGTACACCAATACAAGTACTGTTATCGAGATTTAGATAATAGATCGTCATACAGTAGCAACAATACCTCAACACGAATATCACATAACGCTTTTAAAATCACCACACGGATGGCTGGATCAAGATTTTTGTACGCTTCAATTTCCCGCCTACAAGATTAAGAAGAGAAGCTCATAAATGCATCACTCATCGGTTACCATGATATTCAGAAAATTATAACAACTCACCCTTGCGAGGCAACAATAGGGAGGTCCCCTTCCGCGACCTAGATGAGTAGGTGAAGATCATGTCAGAAGATGATATAATGCAAAAAGTACTTCATTTATCAGGACAAAGAAGTTTAGCAATCATTACCCAATGCCAGCAATCTCTTATTTTTCTGCACAGGACAGTTACCCAGGTATCACGGGTGAGAGCCATTCGAGTTACAGGAGGAATGGCCTGCAATTTGAAAAGAAGAAAATGGTATATTGCTCATAGAGAGAAACTATTAAGAAATTTGAACTTTTTATAGTATTGAAGAATATATTTGATTCCAAATCATGATTGATTAGTATCAACATAAACCAAAAGCAACTGCAGCACTTTAGAGTAAAATTGCAATAATAAATATGCACAACAAAAAAGTATCATGATATCATGAAAACGATCAAGGACTTCAATCAGGGAACTCTAAAAAAACTCATGAAGGCGCAGAAATATTAGTAATCTGTACTGGGCACTACAAGCCTGTAAGGTTCCTACGAGGAAAGCTACCCAAAAACATAGATGTTATATCTTGGTCAATCAGCAGCTCAGCCAAAATAATTTGAAGTAAGAGTCCCTCCGAACTGAGAAAGAGTCAGTAAGCTAAAGAGATATTTGAACAAGCTGGTTGTAATCTACCCAAGCCTCATTACAAAGGGGCTTCCAAAAAATTTAGTCCTACCCATTGGAATATTTATTTTGAAGTGCAGACAAAGATACACCCAGGATTCAAAGAGAAGCAAATTCATGTGAACTAGAGGTAACATTATTTTGTAAGCAAATTGCAGTTAAGATATAGGATACTAACACATCTTTAACAAGTCCCCTTCTATTTCTCACTGGCCACAGCACCCCAGATTCCATATAACATTTAAACTTTTCACAGAATCTTCTCACTCAAAACTAAGGCAAGTTTTCTGTTCTAGAACCATTAAATACGTCAAAAAATGTCTTATCACTAGTTTTCTTACTAATAAGAGCCAACACTCGGTCTAGAGCACCCAAACAAAGTTCTGTTCATGTCAATGACTTAACCTCTAGTAGTACATTGAAGTTAATTACAAACAGAAACCAACAAGAATTAGGGAACAATCAATAAGACACGAGTAGTACACCAAATGAGTAGAAATGAACACAACTAATGGATGACCAAAGCACCAACCTTTAGCAGAGGAATATGAATATCACTTAAAGTATCGTTTGGAGTAAGCAAAGCCGTTTCAAACTCCTCCGCTGAAAACTCCGCATTGATTTTCAAAAGCGGTCTGAATACCTTCATCACCATCCAGAAAAAGAAACAAAAAAAAAATGAACTTTGAGAGTTAGTTTACTCAATGGCAGCTAAGAACCAGAAATATCAGACAATTGAAGAAAACAGAGAGCTCACATGCAAGAAATTGAGCACAGAAGCAAGTTCCCACATAGAACGAAGATTCCATCGCGGCATCTGTGAAGGTTCCGGTGGTGGAACAAGAGAAGTAATGATTTTAGCAGAACTTCCACCAGCAACGCATTGCTTCGGCTTACTCTCATCATCTCCGTCCTCTTCTTCCTCTTGATCATCATCATCATCCACATCCTCATCTTCCTCCACAACCTCTTCTCTCCGTCGATGCTGCTCTCGTTTATACTCCTTCTTAGGCGGCTTAAGCTTTCTCTCCGCCGCTTGAAGCTCCTGAAGCCGCTGCTGTGCCCTAACAGTACAAGCCCGTGAAGGACGCGTTCTCCTAAGCGTCGAAGGCTCCTCCTTTGGAATTTTGGTATCTGTAACCGGAGCTACATCGTCGGCGGGAGAGTGGTGGTTAAGGGGAGATCGGTCAGGGACGATATCGGAGGAGGAACCCATTAAAGAGGATTAGAGATCAAAGATCTAAATTAGGGTTTTTTTTTTTTGTTAAATTTGAGATTTTTAGGGAGAGAGAATCAAAACCCTTAAGGCATTGTGGGGAAATCGAAATCGGTTAATCAGGAGAGAAGGAGGAAGAAAGGAAGGTCCAAAAGCGTCGACTGGTGTTGGGTTTTGAAAACGTTGTCGTTTTGGGGCTTGTGTGTGTGAGAGAGGAAGAAGAAAATCTGAGGAAAAGAAGATTGAGATGGTAAATAAAATGTCAAATAGGTCTCTCTGAGAGAATTGATCTGAGGAAACGAAACAACGACTCTAAAAGCGAGAGTGAAACACGAGGAGACGAGAAATAGGGGCTCACAGTTTTATTAGGGCTCTCGAGAGATATATTGTTTTTTTTTTCCTTTATTAACCCAACAAAAAAAAACTTTATTGATTTTAGTACTTATAAAAAAAACCTTATTGATTTTTTATGTTACATTTTTTATTTTTATAAAAATAATTAAATAAAAAGCCAAATAATAAGAGAAAATAAGATAATCAAACATTTTAAGATTTAAAAAAAAATAGTTATATGAAAATATTGATTTGGGAAATATAGCTAGATGAAGTATAGGATCAACATGACAAATGAAGTAACCCATTAAAAGGATACATGATTTCCATCTCGAGTAAAGGTTCTCTAAATAGCAAGGCTCATCATTAATGATCTTCTCAATCAGTCCAAAAAGGTTATAAAAAAAAATCTAACATTGGCTTCTTACATTAATACTTTCATTTATGTCACTCAACTAAATTCCATGGACTAAACTCTAAACATTAGAAACGAATTTAAACTAACTTCTCCAAAAAAACCAAAGAATCTCACACATATATATATGTACACACTCAAGATTTTACAATCAATAATAAATTTAAACAATCGCATGTATATTATGTTCAAAAAAAAAAAAAACAATCGCATGTATATATACAAAACTCAAATGGCACTGTACAATATTGTGTACATGATATTCATAAGTCACAACTCTTATCAACGATGCAACCTCTTCTCGAAGATCTGTCGATATAGCGTCTTTGTCCGAAAAACCAACACACAGGAGACAAGAAATCCGAGGAAAGCCACAGATGCAATGATCACAAATGCCAATCGGAAACAATGAGGACCGTAACACGTGTTACCTTCTCCGGTAATGGTATGATCATAGATATACCCAATTAATCTTACAGAGAAGATATATGAACCCATAGGACTAGCAATCGAAATGGTGTTGTAGATTGTTCCCATGTGCTTAACCCCGAATAGTTCTGATGTAATTGTTGGCATTAACGACCATTGTGAGCCATAACAAATGCCTACGATTATCGAACCAGGGTAAAGATTTCCTTGAAAACCAGAGGCTATGATTAGATGACCTATGGTCATGGTTCCAAGAGTTGTAGCCATTAGCAACGGACGCGGCCATCCTTTTCTGTGTAGCAATAAATCCGAGGCATAACCCGCTCCAAACCGACCAATAAAGTTCCATATACTCCACAAAGCCAACAATGAGTTTATCTCGACGCTAGTGTATCGAAGAGACTCGCCTATTTGTCTGATGTTGTTAATCGTCGAAATCCCGGATCCCATTCCACATATCATTGCAAGAAACAACAACCAGAAGTCTACATTACACATAGCTTGTAAAACATTCAAGCTTTTGTCTTCATCTAACACCAAAATCTCTCCAGAGGTTGTTGCTTCCAGTTTGTCTACCAAAGGAGAATAAACAGATGACAACGGTTTCTCGATACTACCTCGGCGTGCTCTTACCGCTACTAGTAGAGGCGATGCAAGCAAAACGATAAGAACTGCGAGTGTGACGGCATTGGCCCATGATGGTAAACTTAAAATGCTCTTCAGAATAATAGTAATCATAAGGTAAGCTGCAATGATAAGCGACAAAGTTGATAAACCATCCAAATGCTTCTTCTCATCGACTGTGCTGGTCTTGTATATCCTGACTAGAGGCATCACCAAGACAGAGAGAAGTGAAGGTACAATTGCAAGTAGAAGAATAAAAGTCTTTGGATCTCCAGGACATACTGTTTCATATAACTGAATTAACATTGCTCCGCTTAGACCAACAAAACCCTGCAAAGAACAAGCGCAAAGGCATAATTTTCCAAATCAAGAACCCAAACTTCTACTCCTCTGTTTTGTGAGGTTCAATTTTAACTAATTTATCAGAATCAGAGTGAAAATATATCAATCCTAAGGTCACAAAGAACTAGTAGTAACAAGATATCAACTCTAGGCAAATAAATTTCATAAAAATTGAGACTTTATACCTTCATAATGCCAACGGCAGTGCCACCATAATCAGCAAAATTCTCTAAAGAGCTGACAACATTTGCCGTGTTAAGAAACGTCAAAGACTGTGCAGCTATGAACATAAATAGACACATAACCGGAACCGGAGGCCGTCTAATTAAACCGGTAACAGAAGCCCACATTAGGAAATAACCGGTGAAGTTCAAAATCGCTCCGATCAAAATCACCACCCACGGTCCTCCTCGACGTTCCCGTCCATCACGGCGACGGCGACTGAAGGTGGCTGCAGTGTATACAAGTCCCGATAAAACTCCGACGTTACCACCAATGTCTTTGAAGACGGAGACTGTATCAAGGGTTGATTGGTCGTAAGATTGAGTTGACTTTAAGATGGCTGAGTAGATTCCGAAGGTGTAGGAACCTCCTCCGGTACACTGGATCCATATACTCACCGTCATCGCCATCCATTTCGTTCTAAGAATCTCCGTCGCCATCTTTCCGCCGGAGAAGAAAAATACAGAATTACTTACTTTGTCCACCTCTTGGCGCAAACTGAGCACGAATTTGATAGTTTTGTTTGTTGAACCAATTTTTTTTTTTAAATCAGTTTTATTTTGTTTAGGTTCGTTCTTGGGCTTGGGCTCATCGAAGCTGACTATTAGGCCCATTTAGTTCGCCGTTTGCCACGCAACAGCCACATGGTGACACGTGTTGGAGAGGTAGACGGAACGGGGAGAGATTAATTAACGGCGATGATGACGGGATTAGCAAATTCAATTATTTTTTAGTTTATGTTTGAGTGTGTATATAACCAGGCTAATGGTGGAAGTTAAATAACATTAAAACAAAATATATCATCTATGATGTTGACAAAATAAATTTGATATCTTTTGATTCAAATTTTTAAAAATTATATACCAAATTGGTGCAAAGTGCCTCCGGAGATCTCCCTCCCCCCTTCACTCGGAGATGGAAGCTTTAATTTGGGCCATGAACAATATCCTTTCACGAAAGATTGATTGTCAGGTGTTTGAAACAGATTGCTTAGAGTTAGTATCGATGGTACAATCACGTGAAGAATGGTCCGCCTTCTCCAATCTGCTAGATGCTTTTGGACTGCTCCGTGTCTCCTTCCCCTTATTCTCGCTTTCTCTTATTTCTCGTTTATGTAATGTTAAGGCGGACTGCTTAGCCCCTTCTTCTAGAATTTTATTTTCCGAAGTTACTTTTGTAAACACTATTCCTTCTAATTAGGCAACCAATCAAGGAGCTTTTTAATAATTAAGGTGTGGTTGACAAAAAAAAAAAAATTTATATACTAATTTGTTACCTTTTAACGACGAATGAATCTAACTTCGTGCAACAATTAGAAACATGAAGAATCGTTTAACAGACAATTGTAATTACATTACAAAATTTGTGATAAAAAAAAGGAAAATTTGGATGTATAACCAACAAAAAAATATAAATTAAGAAACTAACCTATACAAAAAAATACAATGATATTGGGTGTATAATGTATAATAATACAATTATGTCCTCACTCCTCAGCACCATCACTACTCATCACCACCACCCCAGCCCAGAACCACCGCCGGACCTCCGTCGCCGGAACCACCACCGCCGGACCTCCACCGCCGGAACCACCACCGCCGGACCTCCGTCGCCGGAACCACCACCGCCGGAGCTCCGTCGCCGGAACCACCACCGCCGGAGCTCCGTCGCCGGAACCACCAACGCCGAAGCTCCGTCGCCGGAACCACCGCCACCGGAACTTTGTCGCCGGATCTCCACCGCCGGAATCGCGCCGGAGCCACCATCGCCGAAATTACCACCACCACCATTGGTCATTTTCCATACCCTTGATGTTATTTACTTAATTGATACATATAATGTGCTATATTCTTAATATTTTAGTAAAAAAGTGTTATTCTTGCAAAAAACCCTAAAAAAAATTATATTTGTGACACATTCACATGGATAATATGATTAATGAAGATAAATATTTTATATTTGCAGAACGTTAGAGATCTATGGAAAACTTTACTTTATTAATCTGCTAAATTTGCATCAAACTTTATACCTTATGTAAAAATATTAAAAAAACCTATTGGTCAACTACTTGGATCAAAGAAGTTTCCATGCAAAATTTTATATTACAGTATATGCCTATAAATAAAACAATGTTTTTGTCGGAGATAAATTTACAAATGGAAGAAAAAAACAGTAAAGGACAAATAGAAAAATGAGGGATCACATGGGGACAACAAGTAAATAAATCCAAAATCCCGCCAATGTATGATAAAAGCCTTCTTGGTTGTTAAGTTCTATAACGTCTCCATCACTTGTAATATAAATATATAATAAAACCTCTAAAACCCTTAATTAATTAACAAATCCTTAATCTACACAGCAGAGAGAGAGAGAGAGAGCTTGAAGACGACGACGATGATCGAGCCTTTAAATAACCTTCTCTTCTTGTCAACGCGTTTCCTTCTTCTTTCCTTCTTTTTCTTCTCTTCCACCTCCTCTCCTGTTCATGGTGGATGGGAGTCGGAGATCCTCTTCCACTTCCGCCGGACAAGAACCGTCGGGAGGGTAATAAACCGCCGGATATTGCGTCGACTTCTTCCTCCTCCGCTTCGGCGGTGAATGCTCGGTTGTCCGATGCTCCCATTCTTTTGTTTGTTTACTTCCATAAGGCTTTCCGTACGTGCGCAGCTAGCGGAGCTCCAGTTTCTCGCCGGTGATACCGTCCGGTCCGGTTCCGATCTAGCGGTGGAGCTCCGGTCTAAGTTTGATTTTCTTAAGCTTGTATATAAGTATCATTCCGCAGCTGAAGATGAGGTTAGATCTTGAGCTAATTAAAGTCACAATAAATAAAGTTTTTTAATATCGTTTTAGTAAAACAATGGATACACTCTAATTTGAGAAATTAGCAAAATTATGCATTTTAGGTAATGATGATTCATATATTAGGACAATAAGAGCTAGTAGCTAGATTCTGGAAATTTTCTGCTTGTCTTTGTTGTCACTTGTCAGAATATAGCAAAACAAAAGATTAAACGATCTTACATAGAGCTAAAAAGTCAACGAGTGAGAGTGCACATAGTTTTTTTAGGATCAAAACTTGAATAGTTCTGATTTCATTTTGTTTTCACAATCCCTTAAGTAATGTTTGTTTTACTGGCAGGTTATATTTTCAGCTTTGGACACTCGTGTGAAGAACATTGTTTTCAATTACTCGCTTGAACATGATGCCACAGATGATCTTTTCACTTCAGTTTTTCATTGGCTAAATGCTCTTGAAGAGGGAAAAGGGAACAGAGCTGATGTACTTCGTGAAGTTGTTTTATGCATTGGCACAATTCAGTCATCCATATGTCAACATATGCTTAAAGAAGAGCGGCAGGTATATACATTATATAGGCTTTGGCTTGTCACAATTACACTGTCTTTTGAATATGGTACTCAGAAACTATCTTATAGATAGTCACATTTTGGAGCCTGAGCAGCCATATATACTCTGTATTGCAGGTGTTTCCTTTGATGATTGAGAACTTCTCCTTTGAAGAACAGGCATCGTTAGTGTGGCAGTTCATTTGTAGTGTTCCAGTGATGGTGTTGGAAGAAATTTTCCCATGGATGACGTCTTTACTCTCTTCCAAGGAGAAATCAGAAGTTGAGAATTGTGTGAAAGAAGTTGTCCCAAAAGAAGTCACCTTGCAACTGGTACATTTTTATATATAGTGGGATGTGGCTCTATTTTTCTTTCATTTGTTGGCTATTGTAACAAAATTTAAATTATTTTTTGAAGGTTATAAACTCTTGGCTAGTTGATGATTGTCCATCTTCTTTGACGGCTCTTACAAAGATCATGAAAGGAGTCCAGTCTGTAGAAGTGTCTGAAAATATGAACAACTCTTCATCATCAAGTGGGATGTTTCAACGTTTTTGGCAGTGGAGTAAAATGTCATTTTCTAGTCCAAATACAGGACATACTTTGGTTCATGGTATCCAGCTTTGGCATAACGCAATTAAAAGAGATTTGGTAGACATTCAAAAAGGATTATGCCAATTGACATTTCCAAGCCTTTCGTTGGACCTCAATGTGCTCGTGGTTCGGCTAAACTTCCTTGCTGATGTCCTTATCTTTTATGGGTAATATTTGGGAAACTTGCTTCTTCTTCTTTTTTTCACTTTGACATGGTGTGTACTGTGTAGTTTCTTGGACTTGTCTTTTTTCCTTTTCTCTGAGAAACTGGTGACATACTTTATTTCAGCAATGCATTAAAGAAGTTCTTTTACCCAGTGTTTGAAGAAATGGTGGATCAACAACACTCTTCCTTTTCCAAACAATTCACCATAGATGACCATGTGGAAAACTTTAAGAAGTCACTAGACCTTGAAACTAGAACAGGGAGTGACAATTTTGTCATGACGCTTCAGAAGAAACTGGAGTCCCTTATATTGACAGTAACCAAGCATTTTTCTATAGAGGAAACAGAGGTAAACTATTCATATATTCTTATGCACTTTGATTCTGTGGCTTTTTTTTTTTTGAAAATAGATTTGTAGAACTTATTGCATGTTCTTAAAGAATAGTCACTTTGAAATGTTTAGCTTCAGAGATTACATTTAAAGTATTCACTCATTGTTCTTCTCCAGGTATTCCCAATCATCAGCAAGAACTGCAACATTGAAATGCAGAGGCAACTCCTATACAGAAGCCTTCATGTCCTGCCTCTAGGATTACTTAAGTGTGTCATAATGTGGTTCTCTGCTCAGTTGCCAGAAGATGAATGTCACTCAATTATTCACTTCTTAAGTTCGGAAGATTCTTTTCTGAAGAAACCTTTTGCGAACCTCTTGTTGCAGTGGTTTCGCTTCGGTTATTCAGGCAAAACACCAGTTGAAAGTTTCTGGAATGAGCTTTCCTTTATGTTCAAACCGAGATGTTCCGTTCAAGAGGAACACACTGAAGAAGCTTCTGGATCTTTCGTCCAGCAATCACAGCAGCAACTATGCAAAGGATCTGATCCTTATTTGCTTAAAAATAAGTCTTCTACCTGTTTCCAGTCAATGGATCCACCTCTTGGTTACATGAATGAAACACCTTACTCGAGTGCGATGAATCAGCAAATACTTATCCCAGGAAAGCTCAGGCCACTTCAACATCTTCCTGATATTTTTGGTGACAAGAATATTGGAGAGCACTTAAATATGGATTTTAAACCAATCGATCTGATTTTCTTCTTCCACAAGGCAATGAAGAAAGATCTAGACTACCTTGTATGTGGTTCAGCTCGGCTCACAACAGACTGTAGCTTCCTCGGGGAGTTTCATCAGCGGTTTCATCTTATAAAGTTCTTGTATCAAATTCACTCCGATGCAGAAGATGAGATTGCATTTCCAGCCTTGGAGGCAAAGGGTAAACTACAAAACATTAGTCAGTCATACAGTATTGATCACGAACTGGAAGTCGAACACCTCGATAAAGTATCATTTCTTTTGAATGAGATGGCAGAATTGAACATGTTGGTACTGGACAACAAGAATGTGAAGTATGAGAAGTTGTGTATGAGCCTTCAAGATATATGCAAATCCATTCATAAGCTACTGTCTGAGCATCTCCACCGAGAAGAAACTGAGCTCTGGTGTTTATTCAGAGACTGCTTCACTATTGCAGAACAAGAAAAAATCATAGCATCCATGCTTGGAAGAATAAGTGGAGAAATATTGCAAGATATGATTCCATGGCTAATGGAATCTTTGATCCCTGATGAACAACATGCTGTGATGTCCTTGTGGCGACAAGCAACAAGGAAAACTATGTTTGGTGAATGGCTAACAGAATGGTACAATTCTCATGTTGTAGAAGAGGAAACAGAGGAAGCAAAGAATGATCTATCTGAGAATTCAGATCCATTAGATATTGTCTGGAGTTATCTCTTTGAAGGAGCTGCTGATGAGGACAAAGGAAGCATTTGCAGCAAACCTCTGGAAGAGACAGAGTTAAAAGGTCTCATGAATAAGCCATTTGGAAAGGCTGTTCCCAGTAACAAGGTAGAATTTGGAAACAAAGAGGAGAAAATTTCAGAAAGTAAAAAGGTGTGTACAGGAGCTGATGAAAGGAAGTACAAAGAACAAACCGACAACAACGCGCAAGCTTTTCAGATGTCGCAGAATACTAGCCAATCTGGCCAAGACAGTAGATATGAGTGTCTGTTATCAATGAGTCAAGAAGATGTGGAGGCTACGATTAGAAGAATATCTCGTGACCCTGCCTTGGATCCTCAAAAGAAATCATATATCATCCAAAACTTGTTAATGAGGTAATTTAGTGTTACAATCTTATTTTTAGGCTAAGTAGATGTTGCAAGAATCATCTTTACATAATTTATGTTCTTTGTTTTGACTTACATTAGGTTGTTGTGTACTTTTTCAGCCGTTGGATTGCTACACAACGGATATATAATCTTGAACCATCCATTCTCTCAAGCAATAGGGAAGCAGTTCCTGGTCAGAATCCATCTTATCGAGATCCTCACAAATTGATCTTTGGTTGCAAACACTACAAGAGAAGTTGCAAGCTTCTTGCTCCTTGTTGCAACAAGCTCTTCACGTGTATACGATGCCATGATGAAGAGGTTGATCACTTATTGGATAGGTAGGTGCTTCATTTCCATGTATCAAATATCAGTAAATTATCTTGCACCTTGATCTGTCTCTAATTTTCTTAAATACTTTGTGTAGAAAACAGATCACAAAGATGATGTGCATGAAGTGCATGATAATTCAGCCAGTAGGTGCTAGTTGCTCAAATACTTCATGCAATTCATCAATGGGAAAATATTACTGCAAAATATGCAAGTTGTTTGACGATGATAGGTAAATCTTCTACTACTATTTCTAAAGGCAATTTATTTCTGATGCCTGGTCAAAACTGGACAGTATAACATACTAGTAGTTTTTGACGATTAAAGGATTTTTTTGCAGGGAAATCTATCATTGTCCCTACTGCAATCTCTGCCGGCTAGGAAAAGGACTGAGCATTGACTACTTCCATTGCATGAAATGCAATGCTTGTATGTCGCGAACCTTAGTAGAACATGTATGCAGAGAAAAGTGCTTAGAAGATAATTGCCCGATTTGTCATGAATACATATTTACCTCAAATTCTCCAGTGAAGGCTCTTCCATGCGGTCACGTGATGCATTCAACGTGCTTTCAGGTGCTTAATTTTCTCGGTTTGTTATATGGCAATTATGAAACACTTGAAACATATTTGCTAAGAATGTTACTTAAGGGTGTGTGATGTTTTATTGTTGTAGGAGTACACATGTTCGCATTACACATGCCCTATTTGCAGCAAGTCACTTGGGGATATGCAGGTTAGATACACAAAATTCTAGTTCTCTAGTTGAACGCATACAGTGATAAAACACTCAGGGTGATTCACTAATCAAAGAACTGTCTTCTCACACAGGTTTACTTTAGAATGTTAGACGCACTGCTCGCAGAACAAAAGATGCCAGATGAATACTTAAACCAAACTCAGGTTCATCTCTCTCTCACACTCCTACTTATGCAAAATATCAGTTCCATTGTCTAAATTTAACATAAGCATATGGATAATTGAGTGCAGGTAATACTATGTAATGATTGTGGGAGAAAGGGAAATGCTCCTTACCATTGGCTCTATCACAAGTGCTCTTCTTGTGCCTCCTACAACACCAGACTTTTCTAGTTCCTTCTCCAATTTTCCTTCTTTGTTTTTTTTCATTGTACATCTGCAAGTCTTTAACAATATTTTCTTTTCTTTTTGGAAGCATTTGATTTTGTATGGAAAAAGATATTCTACATATTATTAAATCTAGATGATTGTTTTACACCTCAACTGATTCAAGTAAATCTCAGATTATTGCGAGAGGAAGATACAACTGAAAAGCCGAGGACACAAGACTTGAGAGAAAGCCTATGTCTAACTCTAACCTTAACTTATGACTTAGAAAGCTAAACAATTCATAACATCAATCGGCCAAAAGATATTAAAAATATAAAAAGCCTAAATTGTGATACAAAAACTCACAGCAAATGCATCCTCTCAACATGAGACTGCAGCAACCATTTGTTGAGAGACTCTCCACATCCAACGAAACAACCTGAGTTTCCACTTTCCGTGAAAAACGGTGAACCAAAGATGTTGAGAAGCTCTTCAACTGCTTGTCTCACCATTGATGTACCGGTGACTCTACTACGTCTTCCCCAACCAGTTACTATATCAATTCGAGAAGGGCAAGTTCCCGAGTCTAACATCTGCTTACGGAACCAAGCAAGCGTCCTAGACAGTGCAGTGACTGCAGTTCCCTCTGACATTACATGGAGATTGATAAGCCAGTAGCTGCAGCTTTTCTCCCTTAATGCATCAGGAAACACATTCTTTTGTGCAGCAACTTCCCAGACAGATCCTGCCTCTTCTTTTTGCCCGGACTTGTGTAGAAAGTCAACCACCGCATCCACGAGTCCTCGCTTGCTCTCCCTGTCCTCGCTGTGCATAAGATCCAGGAAGTTGTTCGCATGGTTGCGCACGTTTTCGCCATTTGGACCCGCTGCTGGCATCTTGAGGAGAAACATGTGTGCTGGATGACCTGTGCTTGCCATCAGCTGGCCACAATAACCCATGTCAAGTTTTGACCGACCATCTGTGCAACAGCTCAAGAGTAACGTGTATGTCTGCAAAGAGGGGCGTAGACCAAGTGCCAGCATGTTTTGTAATAACTCATAAGCTTCAGCTATCTTGTTAACCCTAAGGAAGGTACTAAGAAGGGAATTGCATGTAGGAACATTAGGTAGCAGACCAGCATGAAGCATTGCCTGATACCATTGCCACGCCTTTTCCACATTACCAGCTTTCCCCCACAAATCCACCAAAAGACCATAAACTGGCTCATCAGGAATCCAGTTCTTCTGCTGCATCTCGGTGAAAACAGCCTCTGCTTCCTCGAGATATCCACAGTGCCCAAGCACCTCCATCACAATGCTGTATGTCACTTTGTCAGGCTCAAACCCAGCATTTTGCATGTCACGATAAAGCTTCAACGCACTCTGATAGTTTCTCGCTTTGGCATGCAAGTCCATCATGATGTTGTATGTGACCAAGTTAGGGGTACAACCCTGATCAACCATCTCACAAAAGAGCTTGTGTGCAGCGGGTAAATGTCCAGCTTTTCCAAGACAGTTTATTATGACACTGTAAGTGAAAGTATCAGGAGAAAGACCTCCTGCTTGCATTCTCTGGTACATATCCATGGCAATATCAAGAAATCCAGCTTTAGCATGAATGTCTATAAGGGTACAGTAAGTTACACGGTCAGGTTTGCATCCAGCCTCTTGCATTTGATTGAACACGTTCATAGCTTCGTTCAGGTAATTGGCGCGGCCATAGCTATGGATAAGTCGATTATACGTAACTGTGTTTGGCTGACATCCATCTCTAACCATCTCATCGAGGAGCTTGTTTATTGCACCAAATTGCTTAGCACGACCGAGATTACCCACCATAGTGGTATAAGTATGCCCATCATGCTTAAACCCAGGTTGCCTTTTTAACCAGTAGAAGAAACCAAGAGCATTTCCATAGTCATTCATCTGTTTAAGAACTTGGTTTGCTTGGTATGCATCTATCCTCAAACCGAGATTTTGAAGGGCCTCTTCAGCAGCAGGGCCCCACCTGAATCTTCGCAAAACGCTGGAAACATTTTCCACAATGTATCCGGAATTGCAATACTGCCTTGATGTCAAAGCAGTCCCTGGAGGCGCTTTCACCATTTCCATTGAAGAATTACTGAAACCGCTTGGCACAAACCTGTTCGAATCAATATGGGGTCTTTGCAACACACTTGTCCTCTTGCCATATGTGTTATTTGTTGTGGGTAATGACTTTCCTACCACAGAATTAGAAACTTCTCTGAATCCTTTAACAAATCCAGTTCTTTCAGCTTCCTTGGCCCCTCGGAAATTGCTACTGGGATTTCTAGTTTTACCGATTGACGACTCTTTTGCAGCTGATCTAGGGTAAACTTTGGAAAACTGCTCTCTTCTTATAGCTTTCACAGACGACGACTTGACACTTGAAATAGGCCGGGTTGGATCAACCATACAGCTTTTCGGTAATCCAAACGCTTCACTTCCTCCATCATACGAAGGAATCTTACAATTCGCTAAATCTGACAGAAAATTTACTGCTACAATACCGGCCTTAAAAATCTGATCCCCAATAGGTTCTGAAGAAGCTTTACCTTCCACCTCCTCTTTAACGATGGTTGATGCATAATTAACCGAATGTGATTTAAGCGGCAAAGCAGGGGAAGAAGAAACATGCTGTGGCAATAGAGATGGCCGACCAAAATCATCAACCTTCTTTGGAACCACAGGTTTAGTTACTTCTCCTGGTAATATACATCCCACAACTGAAGGCTTTGGGAGGATACTGGATGGTCGTTTTTCAGTCTGTGCAACTTCCTTCCTAAGTTGCTGACGTCTCCAGACACAAGTTTCATCGTCCGTGTATGCACACGAATTCCCATCAGCTACACTTGTTCTCGATCCATTCAGTAAAAAGGATCTTGCTGTACTTGAAAGGTTACTAATATGCTTAGGGCGTATCATTTCTCTGCAAAATGAATATCACAGATTCAGATACACTCACAGGACCTAACCATCAATCATACTCTAAAAACGACAATTCCGAGCATATAACCAATCCAATGATATATAAAAGGCACATTAGAATACCATACCCAATTTAGCTCTTCTCCAAACTTTGTACATTATTACAACAACCAGCTTCTTCCCAACAATTTAAATTCTCCAACTTTATTGTATACCATAACACACTTCGAAAAAATGAGTAACTTTAGCAATGTTTATACTTTGTCTGCGTCCCACAATTAGAACATTCAAATCTAACCAAATGCTCAAAATTAAGTCACCATAAGAATCCCTTTTCAACATCTGATTCACATTAGAATCTCACTAATGGTCAAAGTTTTTAAATTTTCAAAGTTGAGCTAAAATCTCGAGAAACGCGTTAAACCCATGGCGAGCTTTTTCCCATACGTAACGAAAGCGCAAAATAAACGAAACCCAGAAATCGTCGTGCACTGATAAAGAATAGAAACAAAGCTGAGATTTTTATTTAAGCAGGATCAATAATAGGACACAAAAGTCACCTGAAAAACGGTGGCGTTGACTTGTTAGGTTATGATTTAGGTGTCCCTGCAAAATTGAAATAAATAGAGAAACGAGTTCGTCTTCTTCCTCACGTTGTCGTCGAAATTGAGAGAAGAAGAGTTCTTCTACTCTCCTCCAAGCATATTTGGTCACACACACGGAGGCTGCTGCGAATTCAAGGTCTCAACTTTTTTTTTTCCTCTCTTTTTATATTTTCACTTCATTTCTCTTACCTAAACTTTCATATATACCCCTATAATTTCATTTGTTTCCAAATAACACACAATAGTTTTATTCTTATCAGAAATCCCTTAATTCTTTATAGGAATTTTTTCCCCTTCCATAAATTATTTCTCTCAATTAACCAGTAAACTCTCTTTTTTTTTGTTTAATACAATAGATACATGATAAATTAAATGTATTTTTGTGATTTTCAAAAGTATTATGTGTTTTATGGAGTTATAGAAGAGTCTATGGCTTTGGCTAAAAAAGCTGAAGAAGTTGAGCTTCTTTCTATAATTTTCTTATTTTACACTTTTGCCCCTTTGGCTATTTCTTATTTGCGACGTAGAAGCCTTCCCCTCCCCAAGTTTCGTTAGTCTTCGTTACTACACGTGGCGTTGCTTTCATGTCTTGCCCGTGACTGTCCTGTTACTTTAGTGGTCAGAGAAATTTTCTTTTTCAGTTGTATTTTGACTAGTATTGAGATTTGGGAGTGAGATTTTGTGGGAAGTTGAGAAACGAGAACTATTAGCGGAAACAAAAAAAATATTAGCATTTGTGATTAAAGAACTCTAATCAATCAATCAAGAGTGTTTGGAGGAAAAAAAGGAGAAAAATCAAAAAAGAATAATTGTCTTGTAGAGTTTGCTAATCCACTTCTGCAAAGTGCAAAGTCTCTTCTCCATTCATACTAGGCTTACTGGCTTAGTTTAAAACAAAATATGTGTTCTTCAATCTCCCTAGGCCCATTAGCCCGTTATGTTTACAAACTAAAAAGCCCATTTAACCTCTAATTAAGAAAACTCACAAATGCATTTAAATTATGTACTGCAAGCTGAAATTTCATATTTAGAGGTCTCATATTAAGAACATTTTAAAAAACAAAATTGGGTATACACAGAGAAAAAAAACACTAGAAGAGTAACTTGAAAGACTGTTACATCTCAAACCAAAATAATAAATTTGACTTCTGGTAATAATTAAGCATATTATCTCTTTTATTTAGACTATAATTGAACTTTTGGAGCTGTAAAATAAGTTGTATGTGAAAAAGTAATGGAACTTACATAGAGGGAAAAGTTGGCGTAACAACATACATACACATGCAATGACAGCATTTGAGTTGAACACATGTCCCAATTCCCAAACATAATCATTCTCTTCAACAAGAAAAGATACACTTTTTCCAAATATAATTGTCACTTTTCCTGTTTTAAATTTTAAGTTATGCCAGCTTTTGAAGTTGCCGACGATAAAAGCATGTCCACTATTTCTTCCTTCTTCGGGAGATTAATTAGAGGATTAAAAAAAATCGAAAAACGAGATTATGTTGTAGTATAAACATTATGAAACTTTTATGAACATAAAAACGATAAAGTTTTTGGATGAATAATGATAGGTTCACAATGTTGGTGTTTTTAGTAGGTTCATAGATAGGAGGATGGAAGGTCTAGTTGGGCAATAAATTGAAACCGCTTTTTTCTGACCTACCAAATATTAATTTGATCGAATCATTGACAAAAAAAATACATATATAAAATCATGCATATGAAAAACTACAATGTAGCTTGCTTTAAAATATTTCAACGTATGCATACTTAATCCACCACATGTCAATTAAAACAAAAGCACTTAAGCTATGGGGTTGACATGAAATCACAAATTCCATTCTTGTAAAAAATAAGTCTAAAATTTTTATTCATGGTAAGAAATGCATCATCAAAGACCATTTTCATCAAAAAATCCCTAAGAAAGTTTCAATCTCTAATCCTTTGTGAAAATTCTTACTATATAATTAATGATGCTTAATTAGGTATTTTTTACGAATATACGCGCAACACACTCATATATATGGATTTAAAGGTATCCCGAGGTAATGTAATGTAAATCCAAGATAAAGAACTAAAGAAAACGAGTATGACATTGACAATTGAACTTGTAGCGAAGTCAGGATAGGAAGACTTGTGGTTTCTCTACTTTCTAAGCCATAAAAACATACTCTTCATTGATTTTTTATTGTTTTCTGTTGTTGACTTCCATTAATGGGACCTTTCGTATTTTGCTTCTTCTTTTCGATTTTTTTATTTATTTATAAATTTCTTTTTGTTTTCTACAACACCATAACTATTGCTCATAATTGACGAAGTCTATACACCTAATTTCTTCCTATCCTTTCTTTTTTTTTTTGTCGGCAATTTCTTCAAATCTAGAATCTAGATTATAATTGTACACATACAAAATCAGAAAAAGAACTCGACTTCAAAATAATGCAATTTTTTCTTAGCATTTTTATTCGATTAAAAATAACGAGATAAGTACTAATGTACACATGTTGTTGAAATCATCACGCTACTTAAAAAAAATTATTGTTAAAGTATTTATTTTATTTAATTTAAAAGACAAATCATTTTTTTGGTAAATTTTAAAGTAATAGAAAAGCATCCATTTTTGTTTCTTTTCTGAAAAAAGGAAAGAAATGTTGTCTAAAAACTTTAAAATGACTTTCAGTTTCCACAAGCAAGTCCCAATTTTCGCACCAATAAAAAAAAAGCAAGTCCCAATTTACCATTCGTCAAAACTAAAAGTTAATAAATGTTAATCAACGGTAGTTTCAAATTAGAAATAAGTATTAAAAATTAGGTATAAGTATTAAAAATTGCTCTAAAATTCGAAATAAAATATAATTATGATTTCTCTATTATTTTTGTAAAAAATCCATTGTATATCTCTAGATAAGAAAAAAACAAGAAAATAGTTTGGGATCAACGTCGCACTTATTGTTGTTTCTTACAATCGCAGAGTCTCACCGTATCCACCACGCTGGTCAACAACTTCAACAAAACTCTCTTCCTCGAACTCCAATCTTGTCCCTTCATTTTATCACTATGAATCACACCAACGACTAATATTGGCCTCATCGCTAAAACTGTTATACGTTTGGCCTTTTTTGTGTTGAATTCTGGCTATATTGTTTATTTATTTTAAATAAATGCTCTTTTAATAAGGTTTTAATATGACAAATTCAACCTTAAAATCTTCTGATTTTGTAAATCTAAAAGTTTGAATTTTCTAAAATTATTGTTGTCGGTTATCTATCATTTGCATCTTGATAGATTTCAAAACTATCACATGATCATGATAAAATTATAATTTATTTTCCATAATTAAAAATACTTAAATGATTTTTTTTTCTTTTACTAATAGTTTACCATTGAAATGCAAGAGTTAAGCCAAGGAATTCAACCAAATAATAAAGAAGTGAATGCTATGAGTCACAAGCTTGGACCAAAACCCATCTAGAAGAAATATATATAAAAAAATAATTAAAAGTTTCTAAGAAGATGGTGCAATGGTTAGAAAAATCTCTTAAGTTAGACGATAACAAAATAAATGCATTAACTATACTGTATTATAAAGAAAATCAAAGAAGATAGCTTTTTTTTTTATTGAATCAAACAAAATCCGAAATTTCGAAAGGTCAGAGTTTTCTTCACCTGAACCCGCGTTTTCTCTCCCAACACAACTCTTCAATTCGCCGGAAAATCACCACCACCGTCACCTTCACCGTCATCTTTGGCGTCGATATGAACTAAAGAGATAAGCTTTTCTCTCCTGTCAACTTCTCCTTCTTCCATAATCCTCTTTCTCCCCCAAGTTTGCTGAGTTTCTTAACTCGGCCATGGGTAACTGTAACGCCTGTGTAAGGCCTGACTCAAAACCATCACCGAAGCCAAAAAAACCCAATCGAGATCGGAAATTAAACCCATTCGCCGGAGAATTCACCAGATCCCCTGCTCCAATACGTGTTCTCAAAGATGTAATCCCTATGAGCCATCAAACTCAGATCAGCGACAAATACATCTTAGGTCGAGAATTAGGTCGCGGCGAATTCGGAATCACTTACCTCTGCACTGATCGTGAAACCCATGAAGCTTTAGCTTGCAAATCGATTTCAAAACGGAAACTTCGAACAGCCGTCGATATCGAAGACGTTCGTCGTGAGGTAGCGATTATGTCTACTTTACCTGAGCACCCAAACGTAGTTAAGCTTAAGGCTAGTTATGAGGACAACGAGAACGTGCATCTGGTTATGGAGCTTTGTGAAGGAGGTGAGCTTTTTGATCGGATCGTTGCCAGAGGACATTACACGGAGCGTGCTGCTGCAGCTGTTGCGAGAACGATTGCTGAGGTTGTGATGATGTGTCACTCTAATGGAGTTATGCATCGAGATTTGAAACCTGAGAATTTCTTGTTTGCTAACAAGAAGGAGAATTCTCCATTAAAAGCCATTGATTTCGGCTTGTCTGTGTTCTTCAAACCTGGTAAAGATCCAATTTTTAGTGTTTGTTACATATGTGTGTACTTGCTTATAACTCAGTGGATGATTCTAATTTTAGACTATCCTGTTTTATTTTCATTGCAATGTTTGTGGAAACTGGTATAGATATCTGAAATTTCTTTATTGCAGGAGATAAGTTTACAGAGATTGTAGGAAGTCCGTATTATATGGCTCCAGAAGTGTTGAAGAGAGATTATGGACCAGAGGTTGATGTGTGGAGTGCAGGAGTTATTATCTATATTTTGCTCTGTGGTGTTCCTCCGTTTTGGGCTGGTCAGCTTCTTTTATTTCTTCTAGCAGCTGTGTAAATTGTTCACCTATGTCGATTAGATAAACTGGTAAGATTGTGGTTTCTGTTGACAGAGACTGAACAAGGTGTTGCTCTTGCGATCTTGCGGGGAGTTCTTGATTTTAAGAGAGACCCTTGGCCTCAGATTTCAGAGAGTGCCAAGAGTCTTGTGAAGCAGATGTTAGATCCTGATCCGACTAAGCGGTTAACTGCTCAGCAAGTGTTAGGTGAAGTTCTTGTGTTTCTGTTTTTTTTTATGGTCGTAGTTACCGTAATTCACACCATTACTAACAATTTTCTTTTTTCTCACCTTTCAGCTCACCCATGGATACAGAATGCAAAGAAAGCTCCCAATGTTCCTTTAGGAGATATAGTCAGATCGAGGTTGAAGCAGTTCTCTATGATGAACAGATTCAAAAAGAAAGTTCTTCGTGTAGGTGTTTTCTGCTGAAATTTGTAGACAGTCTATTGTTTGAGTCTATATTTGGGTTTGGTCATTATCGTCCCTGTTGATGCTTCCAGGTAATCGCGGAGCACTTGTCTATTCAAGAGGTTGAAGTGATCAAGAACATGTTCTCACTGATGGATGATGATAAGGATGGTAAAATAACTTACCCAGAACTCAAAGCTGGGCTTCAGAAGGTCGGTTCACAACTTGGTGAACCAGAGATCAAAATGTTGATGGAAGTGGTAATTCATTATTAAGCGTTGCTCTTCTCTGATTAAAGACCAATTCAGTGTCCTTCTCTGATAAACTTAGCTGAAATCTGTATGGCTTTGACGCGCAGGCGGATGTCGATGGAAATGGGTTTCTGGATTATGGAGAGTTTGTAGCTGTGATAATTCACTTGCAGAAGATAGAGAATGATGAACTTTTCAAACTAGCTTTCATGTTCTTTGACAAAGATGGAAGTACATACATTGAACTTGATGAGCTACGGGAAGCTTTAGCTGATGAGCTAGGCGAACCAGACGCCAGTGTTCTAAGCGACATCATGCGTGAAGTTGACACTGACAAGGTTCTTTCAAATATCTAAACAAATCCTCCTTTAAGGCCTAACAATTAAGCTTGTCAAGAGAAAAGATATATCGCTCTGCTTCTGAGTCGGATTGTTTGGCTTGTTTGCTTTCTACAGGACGGGCGTATAAACTATGATGAGTTTGTGGCGATGATGAAAGCAGGAACTGACTGGAGAAAGGCATCGAGACAATATTCAAGAGAGAGGTTCAAAAGCTTAAGCATTAATTTGATGAAAGATGGGTCACTGCATCTCCATGACGCTCTCACTGGACAAACTGTTCCTGTTTAATTTTATTCGTTATCACCAAAAACAGAGCAATGCTCCGTTTTTTCCCCATTTCATTTAATGGGAATTTTCCGGGCTTGTTCTTTGAGGGATGTGGGTTTTACGGAAGCTATGGTCCTTTTATATATAAAAACATTTTACATTGTATTTGTATGTAATGTTTTGTTCAAAGGTTGTATTTTATTGTCTCAAAGCAATTCAAAGCCCTAAACCAAAGAGTCAAAGTACAGATATTTATTACACTGACACCTTATCAAACTCGTCAGAAGACTTGTGCATGTCCTTGTCCTTGGCCACAACATCTTTGTAACGGTACCAATGTGAGACCAACAAGAAATAGGCAAAGTTTAGAGTCATAATACCAGCAACCAAGAAGTAGAAGTACTCCAATCTTCCCTTGTTTAAATCTTCCGGAAGCCAGCTTCCTCCCGAAAATCCCTCTGTCGTATCGTGCACCGCCGATAACAAAAAGGTGCTGAGGTAACTCGCCAATCCAATTCCGCAATAATACAGAGAGCCAGCAAAACTTCTCATGTTCTCTGGAAACTGTTTGTAGTAAAACTCCATTTGTCCAACTCCAGCGAGGGCGTCCGCGATACCCATTAGCACTAGCTGAGGAATCAACCACATACCGGACATTGAAGAGATTGCGCCTTTTCTTGGGGCAAACCCTAGCGTCGGTTTTGTGAGACCTACCTTTCTTCTGTATTGTTCTACAATTGCAGACACCATCATACTTGTGATACATAGAAACATTCCTGCTCCAACTCTCTGCAGTTGTGTGATACCGCCGTCCCTGCCTGTATATTTTCTAAAGAAAGGTACAAGGACGCGGTCATAGATAGGTATGAATATTGTCATTCCAAGCATTAAGAAGACGGTATAAGTCGCGGCTGGGATCTGGAAACTTCCTGAACCAAGGCGCCTATCGGATTGAAGAGACTGAAAGATTGTGTAGGTTGTTTGTTGAATGTAAGCTAGGTAGAATAAGGCGGCCGGGAGCCAAACCGGAAGCACTCGAATCACACATTTCACTTCCTCCACTTGTTGCATACTGCAAAGTTTCCATGGATCCACTGGCGACCCATCTTTGTTCAACTTGTCGTCTTGTGTTTGGATTGCAGATTTGTCAAGAAACCTGCAAATTAAGAAACCCCTAAAATGTTTCTTATTTGTTCTACAAGAAACTAAGAGAAATGAGGAAGTATTTTGTACCTGAACTGCTCTGTATGGCCCAGTTTCGAGTTCTTGAAATCCTTCCCGATGTAGTTGTAAAGCTCGTTAGACCCAACGGGCTTTAACCGCCTCTTCTTGATCGCCACAACAATGACACGAGTTATGCTGTGAATGGGACTGCCACTAGCTTTAACCTTGACATAAAGCTTAGAACCAGCGAAGAATATGATGCAACCAAGTAACATTAGAATAGCTGGGATGGCTAAACCAATACTCCAGCTCACATTTGACTGAACATAGACAATGAGCGTTAACGACACCATCTGAGCAAACGTGAAGGTGAAGAAATACCAATTGAAGAAACTCTCAATCCCTCGTTTCCCTTCTTTTGTCTTCGGATCAAACTGATCAGCACCAAAGGGAAGATTGCACGGCCTAATCCCACCGGCTCCGATCACCAGCAAAACCATTGCTCCAGCGAGAAACATGATTTGTCCAATAGATGGCCCATTGCACACGCTTCCTATTTCCTTAGCGCATTTAGCTGGATGCAGCTGAGGAAACACAGCCGTTAGATCCATCGCCACCGAACCCTTTGAATCAAACACAACAAAAGATTCATACTTTCAGACACAATCAGCAAGATCAGTGAGTGTTTTTCAAACTGATGAATAGGTTTTAGATTTTACGAGAAAGCAAGCGATCATGGCGAAAGATAGGGTCTTGTAGCGGCCAAAGTAGGAGTCACAGAGGAAAGCGGCGACGATGGTGCCAAAGTTGCTTGTGCCACCGTAGATGTTAACGACTTTCGCAGCCGTGATGCTCTTCATGTTGAAAACCGTCGTTAAGTAAATGACCAGATTCGATGAACTCCCAACTATCCCCAGCTTCTCAAATGTCTCATTACCTACCAAATTCAGAAACAGAGCATTAAGCTACTCTGTTTATAAAATCCTCTGTTTTTTTTCTCTACTATCAGTTTTTTGTTCATTTCAAGATCAATAAAAAAACACATGAAAGAAACAGATTCATAAAGTTCTATGTTTTATGAATCACATGTTTCATAAAAAAACATACAAAGAGAGCATAAAATTAAAAGCTAATGACTTTTATAAAGTCCTCATGTTTTTTCATCAGTTTCTTGTTCGTTTCAAGATTATGATTGTAACTTGTAAGTAAACAAAAATCATAATCTTGAAACGAACAAGAAACAATGAAAAAACATGAGGACTTTATAATTGTAAGTAAACAAAAAATATTTATTAAAAGACAAAAAAAAGTAAAACAAAAATATAAGAAATATAGATTAATCAATACCAATGATAAAGGGCATGACTTTCCATCCTCTGTAGATGACCTTAGACTCATTTTCCTCTGTAATGTTCTTCTCAGTCTTCTCAACCTCCATTTTTCTCTCTATGCTCTTCTTTGCTTTCACTAAGAGTTTGTAATGTGTTAGTATGTGTGTGTGTGTATATATATATATATTTAGTGGGAAGTGAGAAGGATCTCATTATGAGACCAAAAAAGTTATTTGGAGATTATACCAAAACAAAAGTGTTCGATTAGAATATATATTTGACTAAACAAACTCGGCTTTATCGAAAGGAGAGGACTGGAGTTGGTATTCCTAACTGCATTGTTTTGATTTGTCGACAATCACACTAAAGTTTGGATTATGTTGCAGTGACTTATGTTATATTCTTAACTCGTTATTTAAACATTAAGTAGCAGTCAAGAATTCATCTTTAATATCTGTAATATCGACAACGAATCTATCCTTTTTACTTTCCATCTAGTAGGTATTCTTAAACAATGTGGAAAAAAAAAGAGAAGAAGAAGAAAGAAGAGTCGTTAAAGAATCATATATTGTGCTAATAAGAACATATTTTATGTAATGTTGACAATTGGCTTTTAGTTGAATGCAATAAACTTTCAAACATGCAAAGGGAATCTTCTCGCTACCGTTACTTTTTTCTTCTCAAGACTTTAATTATGTAAAAGAAACATTTAAGCATGCAAAAGAGAAAGAAAGAGACTATCATTGCAATAAAAATTCATGTTAAATTGTTTTGATTTTTTTTTTTTTTTACAGCTCAATATGGGCAAATTGTATTTTTGGTGGTCAACTATAATATCTGTATCCTTTAAATATAGACAGTTTATGTATATTTCTAGCTAGGTTTAGAAAAAAAAATTAAAAGTGTATTTATGTTTTTTTTTTTGTTTTTTGTTAATTAAAAGAAAAAAACGTCTATGTTGTAACTTGTCAGTGAAGAATGGATCAATTAGACATTTATTTCGAAGTTTTCTATACCGTCAAAAATAGAAATTCACCAATTACGATTTAATTTAGAGAACAAAAGTACATGCTAACTAAAAAAGATGGTACATTTGCTTCTTCTTTTAGTGATGGGTAAAAGAATATTTATATCAATTTCATAATAAATAAAAAGTTGTCTTTGAAATTATTGCTACAGGAATAAAGCATTTTAATTTTATAGTGAGATATGATTGTGAAGAACAATTAGAAGAGAATATGAGTGATGGAGGAGACAGTTTTGATTAGCAAGGGAACAAAAAAAGTATCTTTTCTTAAGTGATAAAACCCAAAAAAATCAAACCCCTTTTGATTGGATTAATCCAAAAGAAACCACCCATCACTTTTTCTGAAACCCCATTAGCACACTATCGGTAATCTAATTACGTTCGTTCGTTTATAAATAGTAACAAAGATATTTTGTTTTTGGAGCCTTAATTATTATGTTTTGTTGTCATATCATAATTCTAAATAATTTGTCATTTTTTCGTGAAGGTGGAAGTGGAAATATACGTCAGCTTTGGATCATAACGTGCGTAAGTGTTTCATAGCTCAAGGAAGATTTAAATTAAATCATGCAGCATCATCATTAGTGTTGCTTCTATTTACAACATACACACCAATGACCAAACACACAAATGATACAAACCAATTTAGTTAAACAATCTCAATTCACGCCTTTCTTCAGTTGATCGGTTGCAAAGCTGACTCATGTTCAAGTGACTTAGTGAACTGCAAGAAACACATAAAAATCTGATTTGAGATTTCATAAAAGACATGGAAATGGCGGTAAGTGTGTTTAACAACATTCTTGAAAACGTTTTTCACCTGAGAGATCTTAAGCTCAAGCTCGTTCCACTCCGAGGATGGATTGCTTCCTGAAACTATTCCTGTTCCTGCATAGATCAATGCTCCAAGACCCTGGGATACACAAAAGGGATCAAGATATATGCAAGATACTAGTTTGCTACACTGAGGGAAATTGTTATAAGTAAGAAAGATCACCTTTTCGACTAAAGCAGATCTTATGCCTACAGAAAATTCACTCTCTCCACCACCAAAGAACCCAATAGGTCCAGCATACATTCCTCTATCAAATGACTCTGGAAACAATAAGAAAATATATCAAATCTGAAATCTTAATCACTTGTCAATCTTGTCAAGTATAAGCATCTATTAGGCGATGGCTTTCTCTGCAGAGAAATTCTTTTTTCCGAAAAGACTTAGTGCAAGAAAATTTGTAAAGGCAGAAGAATCAAAGCATATCATACCAATTTGCTTAATCAAAAGCCTTGCTTCCTCTACTGGACATCCGCAAACAGCTGGTGTCGGATGCAAAGCAGTTAAGATGTCAAACTGAAACAGAGACAAACATATTTTGAGGTAAGAGAGAAAATGTAGCTTTCTTCACTGTATTAGATTACAACAGATTATAACTTTAAAAGAAACTCATCATGTCTATTCTAATAACAAATCAAGTGATTTAGATGATCATGAGATACTAAATCATGTAAAATCGTCATCGAACCTCATCATCTTCTCTTCTTAGCTGTCCTGCCAATTGAGAATATAGATGCTGTACTCTTGCAAGCTTTCTCACTGATTTTTTGGGTTTAACTACTACTCTGTCACATATGGTCTGCAAAGCAGAAGAGAGATTTGCAAGAATATAAAATCTGAAGATTATATATAAAAAGACATTCTAGATGAATATGTTTTAGCATTCACAGAGATTCTTCTAAATAAAGGCCATTCTACTTGAAGCCAGGAATTGAGGTTGATGAGTAAAAGATTTAACTTACTTTAAGTTTTTCTCTAATATTCTCTCGGACAATAGAAAACTCAAGATCGTCTTTGGGACTGCAAAAGTATTTTGCAAATAATATCAGTACACATATCTGAAAGTTTCTAAGAATGCATCTTGTAAGTGTTTAAAGCACAAAACAAACAATTGACCTGGTTAGTAAGTCGCGCTCTATCTCCAATTCACGAACCCTTGAATCACCTCTAGGCCTTGTTGCAGCCAAGGCCTCACTGCAGACACCTAGGTGTTTTCTGTGGAAGAGTCTCTCAGGCTGTTCCATAAAGATATATGTCAGAACTCAGAACCAACCAACAGTTGATTTCACATCTTTTCTCAGCAACACTATCATAGCAGCTAAAAAACAGAGTTTGCTAACAACTTATCTATAACGAAGTAGAATAAGTAACCTACCGTGTTCCCTATGAATGCTGGTGCACCGGGTGGTTGAAGACAGAACTGGTACGCGTCTTGTCCTTCACACTGTTATATTAATAATTAGACTGAGATTTCAACACTTAAAATTTCTGTAACCCGAAAAAGTGATTAGTCTAACAAATGAGTGAAGAAGTGAAGACACCTGCAACCGTGCTAACCAAGCGATAGGATCAATGTCGGTATCTGTAATGATTCTGCTGCTGCGTGCAAGCACAACCTGATTCCCAAACCAAAAAAATCACTTTGATGAAACCCATACCATATAATAAATGTATAAAAGAAAGGAAAATATAGTTCCTTAAGTACCTTGCTTAGGGGTGATTTTTTGTCTTTTATAATCTCGAGAGCATTATTTACAGCAGGGTAATAGGCTCCTTCACTTGGAACATGGTTCTTGCTAACAATAGAAACTCCTAGAGATTCTCTGCGTAATCTCATTATAACAGAAGAAACCTGATAAAACCAAATATTATAGCATATACATTTAGCTGATTATGTCAAATAGTTAATAAGGAGCAGATTTCAAAAGTGGTGAACCTGAAGCATAGTTTCCTGAAGTGCTTCAATAGCATTTTCAAGCGTCCATGAGAGCTCATTGTCCCAAGCAACAGTTGCAGCCAGCATTGAGCTTCCTCCAAACTCATCAAACTCGACCTATGTGTGTATCAACCAGGCAAAGTCATTAGTCCATGCTTACAAAGATTCTCTTAAGGAATCAAATTGTTCTAGTACCTGAGGCACTGTAAAGTAAAACGACCCAAAATGTTCCCATTCCACAGCGATCTTCCCGTTAGGATCAAATCGAAGACCTCCATACGCGCGAATCAGAGGAGACTTCGAAGACAGAAACCTTTAAAACAGGGGAAATCATTCTGGTAAGCGAGGAGACAAAGTAGAAAGAATCAAACTTCATGAATATCACGAGTTTCGGTGCTGGTACCTTCGGATCGATCTCCAGTCATCATGAGAAAACGGATCCAGATCGCGGAAAAAGACAGCAGACCCGATTCCAGCAACACTAACCGGATTACGATCAGATGATCCATTGTCATTCGTGAAGTCTTGAAGAAGATCTGGACGGCCAGTGTCACTACGACGGGAAAAGAAACTGCGAGGAAGAACCTCGTTCTGCGCATGAAGCCAATCGATTGCTCCGATTTGCTGCTCAATTGGTACCTTCAATCACAAGATTAAGGTCTATAAAAAATAGGGCTTTTATTTTTATCTTGCGCGGGAGAGAATCTAAGTCGTTAATTTTTGATTTTTTAGTAACTTGCAAGGCACTTACCAGTATCTTTTTCTTTATCTAAAAACTCAAATATTATTCCTCCACATAAACCAATGAAATTTAACATCTTACTTCCTTACATCATGAAATAACTAATTATTTTCATAAACAGATAAATCCATTAGTATATCATTAAATGATAACAATTTTTCATAAGAAAGACTGTTGTTTGATATTTTTCTGAATCTAACAATAATTTTTTTGCATAAATACAAAAATGTTGAACCAATGATGCAAAATAGTTGGAAACCTGACCCCATACTATTGGGTAGATAAATTTTAAATCTAACAATAAAGTTTAGACACTCATGGATTAAATGGAACCGACAGCAAGAAATTGAATAATATCACACATACCAATGCAAGAGCTCCACGTGGCTTAAGCTCATTGTTTGCCTTATGAATTTCGGATTGGCGCAAGAATTTATTAACGTACCTGTAATCGGACAATGCCGGAGGAGAATGGAGGCGGTTGAGATTTGAGGTCAGAGACGGCGGTTATCAGCCTCTCGGTCGCGGCTGCCGGAGACGGAACCGTGGAGAGAGTCCTTGTTTCTACCGTGCCAAGTGGTGCTTTATGGTCAGCCTCACATCCGTTCATATACAGTGAACAGCGTAGGAACCTCTGTTTCATTAAGAAGGTTTCCAATGAAGACAAAAAAGAAAAAAGAAAAACAGAGTGGTTTTGCTGAAAATGATTGTAAAAAAAAAAAAAAAAAACCTGGCGAGAGACACGAGAGGATAATTTGGTGAATGAGGTTCGAGAGTAGCTTTGGAAGATCGAAGTGGGATTGTATATTTTAGGGTTTGTGCCCAGAAAATGAGATGAACATTGAAGCGACGCCATTAGAGAGACTACGAAGATGTTGATATTATTGTTTTTATGCAAGGCACTGATTGAGTCTTGAAGTTGTGTGATATGTCTTGTCTGAATTTCCTTTGTATATAGATGTGATCCTGAAATAGGGCCCACATTATGTTAAATTTCGTTTTGAGATTCATGAAAATTTCTCAAGAAATACGGTGTTTGAGTGTTTTTTCTATATATCTTTTTAAAATTTCTCAGGAAATTACAGTCGTTGTGGTGGCTCATTTACTTTAATACATAATAAAGGTGATTTAATATCAATTGTGTGATTTTTAATAACAAAATGGAGATTTTCTTTGGTAACCAGGAATTTATCATCTCTTTGGAGTTGTTATGGTTACCGGTGGTAGCTATTGTACCATCTCCATTTGTTGTCGTCACAAGTATTTTCTTGTTTCGAAGATTTGACTTGTGTCTTGTTGTTGAAGTTGTTGCAAGTTCAAGACTTAGTGGTGTGATGAGTTCTCTCCTTTAGCTTCTTTGATATGTGCTCTAGAGGAGCTAGTAATACTAATGGACGTTCGATGTGGTTTTGAGTTGCATTTTCAAGCTCTATCCTAACCGACTTCGAGGAATGAACTTGGTAAAGTGAGCTCATATCGTTCGTTTTCTTTGGTTCGTGAGATTTCATTATGAGAAAGCTTATGGATTTGTTTGATGAGCAACTCTAATATGACGTGGGAGATGTATGTGATCGAGGGTTTTGAGTATATAACCGTTGACGGTTCAATCTCAAACCTCCGTTGAAAGGCTTCTAGTGCAAAGCATCATGAGTAATTTGGCTTTTACAAGTAGCACTCGTTCTTCGTCTTCTCCAACTAATCTCCGGAAAAAAGCAAAATCGTATTCACTTCATTAACTCCATTAGTTTGGGTGCTTTTGTCGAGTGAATGGACTGAAATTTGTGTCTTAATTATTATGCTTTCATGTTCTTTTTTTTTTTGCATTTAAACCATTAACTATGTCTATAATAGACGTTGACCAAATATTCAAATGAATTAATCAAAAATATATTTTAATTTGTCAAATGGATGTTCACGAAAATTAAACCAAACCAAAAATTTAAAATGTAAACCATAATCTTAATTTCATAAATAAAATAGAGGAAGAAACAAAATAACATGTTCTCGGAAAAAAAAAACAATACAAGGAAAGGTTAAATTGTCCTGAAATAAAATTTCCGTTGCTATCGTTGTATCTTAAATATTTACTATTTCCATTATTAAACAAGCCCAAACTATTGATGGTCAAACTTAACTATTGTTGTCTTGTTGATATAACATATCAATTCCCCAAGAGTAGAAGATAACGATACGTCCATATCAAATTATTAATTTACGTTACAGAGGAGTTTCGCAATCTGAATTCTTATGGAGCCTACACTGCTACTGTTGATGATGTTCTTAATTTTATCATTAGAAAGTTTGTTTAGTTATGTTGTCTTTGTTATTTACTCTACTATATTCAGAGCAAAAGAAAGAATTGACACGTCTATACGATCAACTTTGACGAATAGAAAAAACAATTGACGGAGATATTTTATTTAGTAGCGTAGTTTTGTTCAATATTTTATTTTATTTTTATTTTTTTGTTAACAAGAACATATTGTATTATGTGTTAAAAATGAATTAAAGAAACAAGTCAGCTGGATTAATAAACAAAACACTTAACGCGAAAACACGATACACACGAAAACACGAGTATATCGTGTTATTAATTGGTGATGGGAAGGCCCATGTTCGAATTCGATCATACAACCACTAATCATTGACGTTACTCATATATAAGTTTATATTTTTGCCGTCAAAAAAAAAAAAAAAAATTATATTTCGTCTTCTTTTTTTCTTTCGTTTTTCAGGTTTTTTCTTTCGTTTTTCAAGGTTAATATTTTCTTTTCCCGGCGAGTTAAAGGTTAATATATTGTCAGAAAAGTAAACTGAACGGAGAAAATATAATTGTTTAAGACTTTAAACAAAACTGAGTGTTGGATTAAGGAACACAAGAAATGAAGAATCGTCAATTATTGTCTGGAAAATAAACAATCATTTCTGTTTTCTTTCTCTTTTTGGTGACCTGTGACCAAATCATAGGTCCACAAAATTCAGAAATTTGTTTGTACATTTAGGTTGAGTGGCTTAAGGAAATCACATGAGAACAAATAACGTTCCAGTCAATATTTTAAACTCTTCTATCCTCTACTATCACAATAACACGTTTAATTGGATGGACCACTGTTTTTTTCTTGTTCCTCGACGATACACATTTTTACATAATTGAACATGACGACCATACTTATACAAATCAGTGTAATATACAAACTCGGAGAGGATGGACCACTTTAAGATTATGACTTTTTTGCATCTTCTTTTTGTTTGAAAAGACAATAATGATAAAAAATAAAAAATAAAAAGATTTCGGTGACATAATCAAGAAATACACACTTGTCTTGTATTGTCTTGTATGTGGATACGATTGTCATCCGGATTCATTGATCACGATTCACGACCAAGTGAATGATTGTAAATTCTAATATTTGGAACAGACTAGAGGATGTTAGGTTTTTTGTTTTTCTATAATTGTTAGTCTTTTTACATTAATTAAAAAGGAAAAGTCAAATGGTTAAATAATCACGGCTTAATTATATTTTCACTTTGCCCGATCAGTGCCATCACATACAAAATTTCATTTATATCTTCATCAACACATAGGATTTCCATTTCAAGAAACAACGAAAAAGAGGTTATGATCATCATCCAGAAATAATCTTTTATGAGAAATACCAATAATGATGTCATAAAAAAAAAACAATAATTGATCGATTTAAAAACAAAATAAATGGACGTTACCCTTTAAATAGTAACGTCGAAAAATATTGCGCACTGGGCCTTATTCAGCCCATTAAGAGCTCTTAGTTTATGGGCCAGGCACGTAGCATGGGAAGGAAACTCCCGAAAGTTGGGTTCCAAAAGAAAGTAAAATTTGCTCCACACAAAGTTGTTAACAACAACATCGCAATTTTTTTTCTTTTCTTTTCATTTTGAGGTTGCACCACTAATTACTCGTTTAAGAAAATATATATTTTATTATAAACGATCTACCATATACAATAGCTTGTTTTAAACCTTATACCACACGATAGATTATTCAATTTTAAGGATTGAAACCTTTGGAATCCATCTATTGTTTTGATATTTTTGTCTTTGAACCTTAAAAACATTTTTTTATCAATCCTTTGAACCCAAAGATGCTTCCACGTACATTCTAAAAGGAATTCCAAGTTTTATTTATTCGTTCTAAAGTTTCATATGTACACATTAGTACTTCCATAAACTCCAACAACAAAATAAAATTATGATTAAACAACCAAAATATAGATGAACTAGGAAATTACTAGTGAAAGACTAAACCCATTTACCAATGTACTGAGTATATAAGAACATATAGAGAACTTCTCTTTAAGGGCTCTTCTCGGCTTCATTTCTAGTCACATTGTGATCAATCTTTAAATCGCCACCTATGATGGAAGATAGAGCAGTCGCCAAAGCTGATTGGAAATTTGGATCTGTCGTGATTGCCTTGATTGTTTCAGCCGGTAAATATGGCACTTGATGAGTAATACTGTTCTTGATTCCAATATGATCAAGATTGGATTGTAGAGGTTGTGATGAAGATGATCTTCCAAACGGGTCGAAAGATGACCCGGCGGTTCGGGTTTGAATAATTTTGTGGTAAGGTGATTGCTGATGGGTGTTAATGTTGCTGTAAGCTGCACGGTATTGATCATTGGGAGTACCACCACCACCCCAATTCATCAATGTGTTGGTGTTGTTTGAAAAGTTGAGATTGGTTGAAGGATAACTATTAGATCGTGAGACGACATTACTAGGAGGAGAACTGAATCTATTGAGCATTGATAAGAACGGTTGCTGCGAGGAGGAGGAGGTTGTAAGGTCGAGTGTGACTGTCGGATGGCCAGAAGAAGAAGGGGAAGGAGAGGATTGGAGGAAAGGTGATTTAGGTTTTGGAGTGATGTTATTGCCGGAGAGAGAGAAGTTAAGGCCATGAAGATCAGCTGCGGTGGAGGAGGAGGAGGAGGCGCCGGAGAGAAGCATGGAGGCAGCAGCGGAAGTGGCTGAGGCCATGGCGGTTGCTGACATGGGAAGTGGATGGTTGTGTGTTCCTTCGTATGTTGAGATAAGTATAGACATATCTTCTGAACTTCTTTGCACCTAAATAAAAGAGTTGAATTTGATATGGTTATTTTATAACATATAATTTACTTAGAATTATTAGATTAGTATTTTTACCTGTTTTCTTACGGGACAAGAAGCTGCAATGGTACAACGGTAGTAAGCTCGGGGACATGGATTGCCTTTAGCTATTTTCTGGCCATATTTCCTCCATTGACATCCATCGTTCATCTACAGAGACAACAACCCCAGAAATTAAAATACAAACGTTTGATTATGTTTTATTTGGAATTTATGGTTTTGGAATATCTTTCTCAATAGTAGAAGTGAGAAAGATATTTTAACAAAAGGTGTACTCTCTAATCAACCAAATTAAGCGAGATATTAAAAATCCATAGCTATGAATTATCCAGATAAATTTGATTTTATTACAAACGTTGAGTGAATAATTTCTTCCTAAAGATATAAATATAATAACATGTTTGTTTGTAAATTCAAGATATGAACTATTTTAACATTTAGTTTTCCTTTTAAAATTAGTTTAAAGGAAACTACAAATGCTAATTCGTTTTTTCGAATTAAATATGAATACTAAAATTTAGTTGAATGGTAACATACTTTTTCATATAAAACATATGCAATTAAAATTTTTGAAAATCATTTCATGGAACGAAGGGTTATACTATGTTAGCATTCATAATACACTAAATTAAAGATGTGAAAGAAAATGTACTAACCGTTGGTGTCTCACATCTTGATCTCACCGAAACCCTAGTTTTCTTAACAAGGTTTTGAGGCAAAATCTCATCTTCATCTTCATGATCAGCTTCATCATTCTTAAGCCCAAAACTATTTTCTGATATGATCTTATTATTGTTACTAATCTCCAACGTCATGGTTTCTTGATTATGACCAATCTCTAACTTCTCATTAGGATTACACAAAGCCTTGTATTCAATCCCCATACTCAACCCTTGATTACTACTTTTTTTATTATCATCATAATTTCTGTCAGCCCTTGCTTCTTCTGTAATATCTTTATATTTTTCTTCTTTATTCGTCATCGAACCACTTGGAACCGGTGACTTTAACCGTCTGCCAAGGCTTAACGAGACAAGTTCTTCGCGTTCGTTACCTTTTTCTTTGTCTTCATCTTCGTCTTTGTCTTGATGATGCTCTTTTGATGATAACTTGTTTGGTTCTTTATTTTGGACCATTAATTGGTTGTATTTTGTTTGAAGGATGTCAAAATCTTTCTTGATTTTACTCAATGATGACTTTAGTCTTCGATTTTCCTCTTTAGCCTCCTCCATTTCGACTTTAGTTGAGTCCAACTGATATCATCATACGTTTATAATATATGATTAATCATGATATCTTTAACAAATATACAAAGATCTATCGCTTGGTTAATTTTTCCTCAAATTCGATATGCATGCCTTAAAAATCCCATACATAATTTTTCTTTCTTTCTCATAATTATTGTGGTTGTGACATAGATGAGCAAATTTTCTCTGGTATATATATATATATATATAAATTAAACATGATATACTTAATTTGTAAAACAAGATGCAACTCTCAGGTTAAACAACTCAAAAACTTTGTAAAGACAGAAGATTATGAAATTGACAAGAGATTTAATTTGAAGATCTAGGTTATAGTATAATTTTAGAATTCAAATTAAGATTCATTGATTAAGACTAGTCAATCAGTTTATCAAAATGGATAATTTGGATAAGAACAAACGATTAACCAAGAACATCTATATGAGAAGATTATGAAAGATACATGTATGTGATTCCAAGGATTGATTTTAGCTATATATATAGATGTTGTCTAAAATATATAAAAACTGTCCAAAAAGAAATTTATGATACCTTGGATCTTATAATATGGTCGTGTTCTTGATGAGAATCATTATGATGAGATGAATCAAGTTTTCTCATCTCCTCACGGCTTTCTTCTCTTCCATGACCACTCCTCAAGAAACCTTCCTTCTCCATATTAGTCTCCTTTGATAAAAATTTTATAAGCTTTCATGTTTTCTTTTGGGAACTGTTGATTTCTATATATGCAACCTATACATCCTTTGACTATTGCAATTAAACAATTCACAAAAACATGCAAGTCTCCTATATTAATGTTCAGAGAACATGATCTCTATAATACATACAAATTACCAAAAATCTAGAGTATATATAAATATTAAATTAAATTAAATTTATATAATCTTGTAATTGAATAGTCTCGTAGCTTTGTGTTACGGTAGCTTGAAATTCCAAAAATCAGAAATTAAATACAGTTTATAGAGTTTTTGTAGACTAAAAAATAAAAATATTGAACCGATACATTTATTTTATTTATACATTTTATGCAGCAATGTTTCAAACCATGAGAAAAACAAGCACGCAACTCTGAAATCTTGAAAGGTCAACAGCCAATCCAATTGAACAAAAACAAATAAGTTAAAAATAACATTGTCTACGACCAAATATGGATGGGATATTATTATATAGTACTAGTGATTGGGTTTTCTTTAAAACAAATACCAACACACGTACTTAATAAAAAAAACAATTGTGCATCCTATTTATTAGGAAAAAAAGAAAGAAGAATATTGTTCGTGGATCGATAGGGTCGACTAATTGGAAGAGAAATGTTGAACTTCAACGCTTTATGTTATAATTAAACAGCAATGTCTCAACAACAAACACTGTTAAGGTTTGGAGCCGAAATTATGGACCCACTGGCCAACATTGCTGCTAAAGAACAACGTTGAAATTTCTTGATTACATCGTTACAAGTTTAAATGAGACTTCTAGTGGTAGCGACAGAACAAAATGTCTAGATACAGCAAATCCGCAAATGGATAACTACGGTTAACACGAGAATGAACCAAAATATTTTATATAAAGATCAAATCCAGCAGACTTCTTGCTAATTTATATAGTCTAATTAATATTAAAATTTAACTAATTTATTCATAGTAATTTGATATCTTTTTGGCTTTTTCTAAATTTTTTTTGGTTAAAGTACCTTTTTCTATATTACTTTTTAAAGTCAATACTAGGATCGGACCCGCGGTCCACCGCGGGAGAATATTGATTTATATACGTTGATTTTAATATTGTGCATGTTTTTAATAGAACGAATCGTGTAGTGTACTTATAAATATTCCTAATAACAAATTGTAAAGAAAATATTAAATTGTTTATAATTAAACCAATCATATTAATTAAAATGGAATTTTGTGTTTTAGAATTCAAAAATTAGACGAATCATGGGAATTAAAGCAGTCAAAATAGGTCCAAAACCGCGGGTCGAGCCCAAATCATCTCACTATTGAGCAGATTTGGGAAAATATATTAAACCCGCAAATAAGCGGGCCACATGGATTGATTCGCAGTGGGTCATCGGTTTTCATCCGCGGATTGGCGGATCAACCCGCATGATAGTATTTATTGATAAAAATATAATTTATTCAACATGTGGTAGTTTAAAAAACTTTTAATAAATGAAATTATAATATTTATAAATATAATGATATATAAGATTATAATCTCTAAATTTTTTCTAATTTATTTATTTCTTTAAATTTTGGTTACTCTAAAATTATTTAAACAAAATCCACGGATAACCCCGCAAATCAGCATACATTCGCGCAACCGGTTTGTGTTTCATATATGCTACCCGCGGGTCGTACGGACAGACTAACTACATGCCAAAATATATTTTGCCTATTGCAAACAGGCTTAACAGGATGAATCAACTCGTTTTGACAGCTCTAATGGAAATATTATTTAGTCATACAACACAATGGAGTTTGGACATAGGAATAATAGAATATGTATCTTATTTGTTAGATGAGAGATTGAAAGGTGAAATATAATGATTAAAAAATAATTAATATTTTTCATGATTCACAAAATTTAATAAATATTTATCATCTTTTTGAATAATTCTAAAAATCATATTCAAGAAATCTTTATAATTTGAAAATTAAACTTCTTTGGTAAGCTATAAGTATGAAAATACCATAATTTCGATTTAATCTAATTAAATTAAAATTAGTTACATATATTTCATATCTATTTAATTTACATGACCAAAATAAATAAAAAATCTATTTAATTTATAAAATAGATGGGTTAGTTGTGATAAATTTTCTAGAAGTCTCTAGAAGCAAGTAAGATATCTTTTAATTAATGATAACTGGCTAAAATAAGCAAAATTAATGAGAAAAACGTTGATTATTATGGAATTAGTTCCAAAAGTATATGAACAAATATATTATACGTAATTAATGTATAATATTGTTCGGATTATGATTTTATAATTAGTTACCATAAGTACAATCAAATTTTATTTGATTTCCATAAACATTTGATTTTAATTCGATTTTTCATTATTAATTCGAATTTATATTTAAAATTTTTTTCAAATATCCGATTTCAGAATTTCGGGTCAATTTTCTGATTTTGACCCGACCCATTTACATTTGTACTTCTCTTTTAATAGTATAGAGATAGCTAATTAATACATCGTTTAAAAAAAAAACATAAAAACAAACGTTCAAACATGGTTTTGTCTTAGAGTTGATGTGTTTGTTATGCCACTCGCGTACGTATATCAATGTTTATTAACAAAAAATGAGACTGGTTGATTTTTCAATTTGCAAAGAATGAACGGTTTTAGTTGCTGCATCGATCGTTCTAAAAGCATCAAATGAAGGTTTTTTTTTTATTATTATTATTGTACGTACTTATGTGCAACTGATTTATCAAAATTAAATAAGCATATCTATGTAAAGTTAATATCATATAAATATTATTGGATCTGATTATTATTTTTGTCTACTATTGGATCTGAATCTAAATGCTGAATAATAAAGTTTCGTAACATATAACTAATGTACTGCGGAGCAGTGGAATTTTGATATATTATCAGCGGATAGAAAAGACTTTGACTATAGATCGAAAATACTAATTACCAAAGAAAAAAATATATAACTCAGATGCAGTGTTCAAGAAAGCGTTAGGCGCTAAGCGGGCGGTGATCCAGTGCCTAGCGCCTAAAACGCCTAATCGGAGCTTAGTCGATTTTTTAGGCGGTTTAAACATTTATAACATAAAACATTATAAATATGATATTATATATAAAAGTTATATAAAATATCTATATAAAACTAAAAATTATGAAATTCTAAACAAAAACTAGATAAAACATTTATTTATATTTATATCAAACAATATATAAATATTTATAACTATATATATATGAATAAAACTCTAATTGAAATTGAAAAAATACATTAAACAAGATCTATGTAATTTTAGGCAATCTAGACGGTTATCTAGGCGTGGCATGAGAGCCTAGCGCCTAGTCGGGGTCTAGGCGACCGCCTATACCGCTTTTTAGAACACTGCTCAGATGTGATATACATGCGTTTACAAACACGAGCACTCCAAAATATGAACTTAAAGTCATACATTGGTGACATTACACTAATAAAATATCTTTATAATGCAATTTTCGTATCATTAATAAAAGGTCAATTTTTGTTGAAAATATATATTATGCAGATTTAAATCTTGGTGAGTGACAAACAGTAATAAATATTTAGACAAACCACTAAAATATTGTAGTATGCCATAATCAACAAAAGTATGAGCAAAACTGTAAATCTAGAACACAAAATAAATGGTCATATCTATTCAATCAGCTTAGAATTTTTAAATCATTTGTGGCTTTCATACAAACAAAATTCCAACGAAAAGTTTAATCAATTTCAAATTGCATATATTTATTTAAGTTTGGCTAGCAGTAGTTTGTCTCTTTGTTTAACTAAGTCTTTATTTTTTTGCCAAATGGTTGGTAGACTTGGCATTCAACTAGTAATTTATTAAACATTTGTTACTCATAGATATAAGACTACAGTTGTAATTAAATTTACCAACATAATTTTAAGTTTTATGAGTTTTAAACTAGCTAGAAACTAATTGACCATATACTACGTACTCTAAGTTTGATCTTAATATTTGATATAGAATTTTTAACATACAATGTTCATGATATATAGATAAAAAAATATTAATGATATCGTTGTGTCATTACTCATACTATTTTCATTCGATGGATGCTATTCACAAAATAAATGATATTTGTTTTTTCTTTTTGGTACATAATGAATTTATCATGGACATATCACATGTGATTGATAATTTGATATGAACAAGTACATATTTAAATGGACCACGATCTAAGGCCTTTTGCTGGTTGCGTAGAGTTATGTATATGCCATTGACATTTTAGAATAAATAGTCAACTTGTTGACTTAGTGTTTTAAAGCTCATCATGTCTTTAACTTTTCTCTAAAAATTGTTAGAAACATTTTCTACAATTAGCAAAAGAAAAAAAAAACCGGCAGAAAAAAGAAAAGAAAAACATCATCAGCTAAATTCGTCGCTGCCCAAAATCCGATAAAACCGTAATAAGTAAGGGAAGACAGGGGTATATTTGGAAATAGACAAAAAACGCAGAAAGTAGTGTTCCAATTACAAAACCATAAACCCTAATTGCTCTCGCCTTCTTTGGCTTTTCATCTTTATCTGTCTCTCCTCTTAACCTCACACAGATATCGACTCTAGGCGATTCAAGTGAACCCTCATCCTTATAATTTCCTCCTCAAGGTTATATTTTGACAGCTCTAGATTGCTAAACCATTGTTGTTTGGAAGTATTCTCTTCTGATTTTGCTTTTAGATTTGTTTACTCTTTTTTGAGCCTTTGTTTGTGTAATCTACGAACGGATTTATGGTTTTGCGTTAATGGGTTCTCTTTGTTCTTACAGATTTTGGATAAAGTTTTGATTTTTTTTGGTTCGCAATGACGCTGCTCGAAGCTATCTCCAACGCCGTGGCGAATCAGGACAAGGTCGACTCGCAGTCCGATTATCCATTCCCTCTTAGCCACGATGGTATCTTCGCGAATCTGAAACCGAAGCTAGAAAACCCTAATCTTGGTACCCTAATCAATCCAATTTCCGGGTGGGGAATCTCCGGAAGTGATGTTGAAGTCATCGATTTGGGTAAAAAGTTTTCATCTAAGCTCAAAAGGAAGCTTAAGGATACTAACGGGTTTGTCAAAGATGAGTTTGTCAAGATGTTGAAGCAGTTTCTTGAGAAAATTGGTGAGAAAGTTGGGATTTCAGAGGCTGAGCCTGGGATGGTTTTGGAGGATCAAGCTGGTCTTGAAATACAGATACTGGTGGAGAAAAATGGGTTTTTGATGGGTAGAGATGTATCTGGTTTAGTGTTGAAAGGTTGTATTAGTCTAGAGATGTGGGAGCTAGTGGAAATTTTGATTTCAAACTCCTTGGTTGATCATTCTTCATACTCTTATTTAGTTAGCAATCTTGTTGAGAAGCGAAGGTCAGATTTGCTTTGCGTAGTGATCAAAGAAGCTTCAGATCTTGGGGCAACAGAGCTACTTTTGATCTTGAAGTATTTTCTTTGCCCATCAAAGGAAGCAATTACCACTATGGCTAAGGTAAGAGAAGAATGGGAGAGTCAGGCTATGTTGGCTATTGAAAAGTTGAGCAACACAGAGCTATCAAAGAAGTCTAAAGTTGCTGAAGAGGCTTCGATCTTGCTGATGGTTGCTCATGACGGGTTTTCTACCTCTGAGCTTTGCCTGCATTACTTGTTAGCTTCACGGAATGTTGATGAAGTCATGTTTGCATCTGCAGTCAGTAAGTTGAATGGCAATGAGATGAGTAGCTTTATTCGATACCTCTCTAAATGGATGAAGAAGTATGAGATGTTCCCTCAAGCTGGTCCATGCCCTAAAGCCGCTTCCAAGCTTGGTTTGAAACTATGCAACTGGGTTCCTGAACTCGCAGACATAACCAAATGTTTGGGACTTATTATCGATGAGAACTTCTCCACTCTGGTTCTGTACTCGGATTTGCATGAAGAGCTAAAGTCTATTGCAAGAGTAGCAGATGGTTTAGCTTCAGAATCAAAACTTTGCTGTTTTGTGGCTAATGTGGTTGAAAGTTTGAAACTTGGAGCTGCCCGAAACTAGATTTTCACAGTTCTTGGAGTTTTCAGAGTCTAGATGGCGTTTGATGCAACCCTGTTTTCACTTTTTATATGTTCTCCAGTGCCTTTTGTATTTTCTAGTTTCAGTTCATCCTTTTACTAAGTACAATTTTGTTCGCTATCTTTGAGAGTTTGTCTCCAATCTCTGCACATTGCCAATCTCATATAGCCTACTAAATTCTAAGATCGACTAAAGTGGTTTAAAATTGTTTTCTTTTCCAAAGATTCTTTGCAATACAACAGCTCACTTTGTTGAAGAACAGAGCACAAGTTGCTCGACGAATTAAACAATACGTTCCTTTACGAACTCGTGACCTTGCCGCAAGATCCAACGGCTAATGTATCATCACCACGAGCCTTCACTCTAGCTGAGGTTGAAGAAGAAGAAGAAGAAGGGGCAAGAATGTAATTATGTCCACAAATGCTTCATAGTTACGCAGCTGAGTTATTACACTTGTTCCCAAAGTAAGCAGCAATCTGGGGACTACCCACTCTTAACTTTCTCACCTTCTTCAAATTACTTATCTGTCAATTACTATCGTTTCCCAATTGTGTTGATACTTTAATGAGATAATTGGGTGAGAGACATAGGATCGGGATGAAATAAAATTTTCGGTATAATCTTGTCGGGCCTAAAACATTGTAAATATTTAGCCCACTTTTTAGCCCCTTTTGCCCTCACGCGCTGCTTCATGGTCGTCCAAAACTTAGCCCAATACTTGAGACATTGGAACTGATTTTGCAGTTATCGAGGCAATAAAGGTTGCGTCTGACGCTTCGTTTCTATTTCATCATCTCTCTTCTTCTCATCCCGCCATTTCACTCAGAAAACCCTAATACTCTCTCTCTCTCTCTCCAGTTCCCAGTCTACTGATTCTCTCCTCTGCCATTTCCGGCGACGACGGTGCGACACTGTTTAAGTCTCGGCGGTGCCGTTTAGACGCTTTGTACGGTGAGAAAACGCATATTGCTTTGCCGTGGTTTTTTCCCCCGGCGAAGCCGGCACCCTTTAATCCATCAAAAAAAACTTGTTTTCGAAAGAATTTTTATGCGTTTTGGGTCTGCCTTTCAGGTTTCGTACAATCGATTTTCGCAGATCTCTTTTTAAATGCATATATCCTTTCGTTTTTTGTTACCTTCTTCCTTCCGATTCTAACTTTTATCTTTGCCGTTTCGTTTGACATGCTGTGTTCGGCGGAAAAATAATTTCCCCAATGGATTAAAGGGTTTTCTTTCTCGTCTTCATACATGGCGTCATAATCGTTCCCTCCTACTATGCATATAGTCTGTAATCTTTCATCTGTTTTTTAGATCTGTAAAAATTCTTATATTCCTGTTTAATCCTCCATATTTTCCGATAGATCTATATGTTTTATCCATGGATATACATGGCCATTCACATACTTTCATAGATCTATATTTCATGGTTATATATCTCCATAATTTCTACCTATATGTCATAGATCTGTTTTTAAAACATGCATGTTTGGTTTTTTCCTTAGGAGATCTCTAATTTACTCTGTTTTATTTCTTAAATCTCTGCAGGAATATGGCAAATGTCGATTTGCCTTCTCGGCTATTCGCGGACAGGGAAGAACCTGCGGGTGATCGGGTGAACATGTACTTCAAGTTAAACACAATTAAGGCGGTGCTTAAGGCGTTGACGCCGGAAGAACTTGACACAATTCGTCCATGTTTTGGGAAGCTGCTTGATATCTACTCGAAGCCTGTTTTCTCTGGTAAATTGGCGCACTTTCTCCTCACCCGCCAGCTGAATGTTGTCAAACGACATGAAATATGGGTCATTTTCGCCGGGAAGCCAATAAGATTCTCTCTGAGGGAATTCGGGTTGGTTACTGGTCTCAACTGCAGCCCTCTACCGCCTCTGGACCGGTCTCTCCTTAAATCTCCTCCTGGTGTGACCCCGTACTGGTTTACCCTCTTTGGTGGTGAGGAGTATTTCACCGGCGAGATGTTACTTGCGAAGCTGCGAAGGCCGAAAGCCTTGTCCTCTGAGTTGCGTGTCAAATATGCATGCTTGCTCCTTGTTGATGGTTTCTTGTCCAGGCGGTCCTACCACATGAAGATCCCCAAGTCTCACGTTGAGATGATTCGTGATTTGGATGCTTTTCTAGCATATCCCTGGGGCCGCTACAGTTTTGACCTGACCATGCGCTGCATCAAGTCGCGATCTTTAGACCAGCTTGCACAGGCTACTGTCGCCATTCAAGGATTTATTCACGCACTAGTTCTTGTGTTTGTCGAAGCTGTCCCCGCTGTGCTCTCTGCTGTTGGTGCTGGCACTGACCTCGAGTCTGGTGATGAAGATCCTTTCCCTGTCATAGCAATGAAACTTGAACCGGTCTGGGACTTGGATGGAGTTGACGAGGTATGTGATGGTTTAAGTGTAATTGTAGCACTTCATATTAAATAATGAATAGCTAACAAATTTATGTGTACATATGGACTAGGTTGAGGTTTTGTCTGTACTTCCTGCTGGTGAAAATGTTGTTGGTATAGAAGACTGTAGCTGGGCGGATGAAGTAAGTGATCCAAGTGTTGACTTGATGCTGCAACAATTGGATGATGGAGTCAAGTTTAAGCGTGCGATGTTTGGTGGTGGTATTAGAGGAGCTGATGTGCAAGTAGAGCCTCCTCCTCGGGTTATTGTCAGAAGGAAACGTAAATTGCGGGCCAAAGCGTCTGAATGTTCCACCTCTAGGGGGGAGTCTTCCCGGGCCAAAAAATCTAAGGTTCGTGCTGCACGTTCTAGATTTGCCTCCCAAGATTCCCCTAGGGCGACTCTGGACACTGCCACAGTTTTGAAAGCTGCTTTAAAAGAGGCCCAGTCTGATGTGTATGCCCATATCTGTGTTGAACTGAAGTCCATGGAACTGAGGTTGGAACGTTCCCTCAAGGAAAATATCAATTCTGCGGTTGTTGCAGCCATTAGCGGGATCGTGGTGGAGAATGTTTTGCGCGAGGTTGGCATAGGTGTAGGTCAGCCTTACAACAAATCCCCAAGTTCTCCTTCTCCTTCTATTAGGCAGACTGATCCTCAACCATCTCCAGTGGTGGTAGCTCCTGAAAACCATTCTGACCAGTGTCAACGCCCCTCTCAGCAGCAGCCACCACTCGCAAATGAACAAAATGCCGGGCCTGTTGAGGTTGTTACTATTTGATATTCTAAGTTTACTCACTCATTGCTGCCTTAATAACCTTTTTTTTTTTTTTTAGGATACCGCTTCATCTGAATCATCTGGGTCGCGCAGCAGGACTCCTGCTGATGAAGTGGTATGTTATTTTTCTTGCTTTCCTGTTTTTTACACTCTCTACTACCCACCTCTCTTCTTATTCATATATTTTTTCCAAGACCGAGGAAGCTTCAATGGGAGGAGATTGCGGGGATGGTCAGATTGTAGCTGGGGGAGAGGCTGTCGCAATGTCTGCAAACTACAAGAAGTTGATGGTCCTTGACATACCGCCTATGTAAGTTTTGCTAAGTTTGTCTACTTGCTTTAATTTCTTTAAAGCTCCTGTGTAGGCAGGGTTTGTAGATCCCCATTAATATATTTACAGATCTATATTATTTCATGAACACCTATGACATTTCATGAACTTTGTGTAGGGCATTCGGTGATGGTTTAGTGATCAAGGACTCTGAGTTGCTCATGATACCCACTATCATCCCTCCTGGCTATCCCAATGTTAGTACCCTTCCTTCCATATGTTGCAGCTGTTTACATTTGGCTTATGGTTTTTTATGTTTCCATAGGTAATGGACGCTTGTGTATCTGTCTTACGTGAGACCCTGTTTGACAACACTGATCCTGCTTCTGATCCTCGTGCTGATTTGCTTCCGTGTAAGTTCTATGGCTCTCTGGCGGTTCTGTATGCTAAGTTCAAGAAGGTGAAGCGGAAGGAAACTTTTGAGTTTGATCCCGCTCTTATCAATGAGATCACTACGAGGTTTAAGGCAACAGGCAGAGTTTGGCTGTCGCACATCGAGCATTTGCTCTCTCCATTTAACATTGATAAAAACAGGTGGATAGCTGTTCACATTGACCTGACCTCTCACACTCTCACTGTTCTTGATCCAACTGCTGCTGCACGCCGGGGATCCCGTCTTAAGCCTGAGCTCGAGTTTATATGCGAGATGTTTCCTTATCTGGTACGGAAGGTTGGTGGCTGTGATCTAATGAAGAATTTCCCGCTTCAGCCACTCACCTTTGCTAGGAACACACATGTTTCCCAAGCGACTAACCTAGCTAACAGTGGGATGCTCTCCTTGTTGTTGCTGGAAGCATATGCTACAGGCGGGATGGACAAAGCGGTGCTTGTTAAGGAAGATGGCATGCGCCTGCGTGCTGAGGAGTTGGCGGTGCAGATGTACGAGCACTGCTGTGGTGAACTTTGATGGCTGATGTGGCCTTACTCATTGGTGTACTCTCCTGGACTCTACTTTATCTTTTTTTTTTTTGCAACTATTCGGCTTTGTCAATTTCATTCCCTCTCTGTTCTGCTGAACCTTATTTCTTCATGACTCTAGTATGTTTTACAAGTGTTTTTGTATCATATGTGTGCGAGTGGACGATGTGGTCTGAACCTTGAAGTGTGTTTATTTCCATGTCTTTGAATTATAACTGTTAGATATTCGGACAAGTGTTTGCAATTTATCATATTCATACCTTAAGTTAGAAGCGTACATTATTATTTAACTATCCACCAACTATCATAGATACTTATAGAGAAACATGGACTTGCAATATTAGTTATAGTTATTTAATTTCTTTGGATTAAAACACTAAGTGTTGCACCGTGCTTACAGCATTTATAACACTTAAAGCCTTATTAATGAAAATAGAAGATTACTTAAATATTTAACAGTCCATATGTAACATAGGTACTTTCAAACATATGAAAATTCAGAGATACCAAATAGTTAATTTCATCCAACCAGATGTAAGTTAGGGCAACTCCATCCGAGCAGCACTCCTTCTGTGGATGACGGCGGCCACACCCAACACGAAACCTAGCAAGGACACCATGCCCATAGTCCTAATCATCTTCTCCTTCGCCCTCATCTTCCCTAATGCCACCTGCAGGACTTCGTTTTCTTTTTTCAGCCTTTCAATGCGAGCAACCATTTCTTGAGTTTGTTGGGTTTCGTCTCCCTCGCCGCCACAAGTTCCCAGCTCGCGGAGCCTAGCGATCTCTTCCGCTTGTTCCCGAATCAAGTCTCTCGCCTCGAGTAACGCTACTTTCTGCCATCCATACGGCTTCTCTACATCCCGCCAGCGAAAATAGTCGCATACATTTTTATACCCTTCGCCGCACCGGTAAAATCTCCTCCCTGGATTAGCGTCCGTCCAAGCCTGACGAAGTACTGCTGTTTTACCGCAGTAGCAGAGAAAACCGCCTTCTCGTTGGACAATGCTTCGGTCTCCCACCGTTGAACTTGATCCACTTCCTGATGAGCTGCTCTTGTTTTTCGGCATCATTTTCTCCAACAAATAAGCCGTTATCCTAAACCTTTTTTTCTACTTAAACTCACAGGCTCCAACCTCTCAAGAAATAACGGGCATTTTTTTTCAACGTGGCGGACCCCACACCTTCACGCGGTGGGCATTTATTGTGTTCTCGTAGCTGAGAGCTCTACAAAACTAGGTTCCCTAGTTCGTGTCGTCACATCCATCATATCCGTTCACATAGTGTAGCGTTATCTTCAAGAGGCATTATCGTTTAGATATTCATATAATGTCTGAGTAAAACTATATTATCCAAGTTGCACTAATTTTTAAGGAAAAAAAAAAAAAATTTCGGCTTCCCATCATTAATGCGTTCACCCGTTTTAGGTACTTTTTTAGGTATCCTCTTTTGGTTTTCAATCTACAATGTAGAAGGCTAAGTAGATAGACATTCATGAAATTAAATATATTACATTCATAGGCGTGCGGACTCACACGATCAACGCAATACACCCGTTGTGCCAAGTTCATCATCGTTTTACAAAACACTAAAAAGTTTTTAACATGCGGCACTAATATTTTACAAGGAAAATTAGCCGCTTGATTTCTTCCGTTTCCATTTCATCTTAGACGGCCGAGCTGTTCTTACACATGCAAAAGGGACAGCTTACTTATCTGTTGAATTTAAAGAACCATTTGTTAGATAGCTATAAGTGGACCACTTATGTAGTGGACAATGTAAACCACCGTCTGTTAGGGATTAATATCTTACCATACATAGCTTCTTATTTATATCGGCATCTTGCAGGTCGCACGATTATGCCCAAGCCCATGGCAACGCGTGCAGCTCCGTTTCGTCTTCTTCGTTGATTTCTGCGTTAAATGTTATGTATACTCAAATTAACCCATATACGCTGATATATTAAATGTTAGACCGCTAATTTAGGTAACTATACCTTACACTCCCCTGCAGAAAGGAATCTAGATCGTTTTGGCCTACCTGGTGGCCTTCGGGTGAGTGGGGGCAAGACATTCAAGGTCGCTATCCCATCCGGTACATTGCGCAGAGTGCAAAGGTCTGGGACTGGGTGGATGCCTCCGTTGTATGCGAGACTCCAGAAGAAGCTTCCATATTCTGGAGCTGCTAGGTCGGGGACCCTCATATCACACCGGACTGCAGCGGCTATTGCGTGGCTGCATGGTATCTTAACCATTGTGAACTCCTCGCAGGTGCATGTCTTATTATGGAGGTCCACAATGTAAGATAACCCCGTAGTTGTTTTCACCTCATACTGCTCGGGAGTGATCCTTATCACCTCGTAAGAGGTACCGCGTTCGTAGTTTTTCAAAACCAGCTCCTCCACCTTTGGAGTTAAGGGCATTGAGTGTAGCGCTGCCTTCTCCCTCCTCTTGGAGAACCATGTCATGAGAGTGGCTCGGATATACTCGAGAGTGGAAACAATAGGCAGCTCACGTGCCTCTTTTAGGACCGCGTTCAGCGACTCAGCCACATTCGAAGTCATGATGTTGTATCGCTGTCCATTGCAGTGGGACCTCGTCCAATGTTCCCATCCGATTGCCAGGAGGTACTCTGCGCACCGTGGAGACACCCGCTCAATTTCCTCAAAGTGCTCCGTGAAAGTTGTTTTTTTGAAAGCCCTTGCGGCTTTGGAAATCAGTGGTGCTAGTAGCCGCTGCTTAAATTTCGCCGCCACGTTCCGTTGGAGGTGCACGATGCATGCGCCATGCGCCGCTCTTGGGTACACCTGCAACGAAAATGTTTCAGTTTGATTATGTAAATATAATGGTGCAGGTGTATTATAATAATTAGCGCGGTATATTTTTATGTAACACTTTATTAAAAATTATTAGTCTGTATACCTTGGTGAGCCCGTTGTAGATTGAATTGTGGCGGTCGGATACAAATGTCAAGTCTTCCTCATCCGGAATGATTTGCTTCAGGCACTCGAAGAACCATTCCCACGCCTTGTCGTTTTCCCCGTCTACGATCCCAAATCCTATAGGGAATATCTGAAAGTTGCCGTCTTGTGCGCTAGCGGTGAGGAGGCAACCGGCGTACTTACCCCGCAGGTGTGCTCCGTCGATTATGACCACCTTTCTCATAAACTTCCACCCTCTAACACTCGCCCCTAGTGCAACAAAGCAATATTTAAATCTTCTCTCCCCATTATTGTCTGCCTCCGTGTGTAACTCCGTCACCGTACCCACATTGGCTTTAGATAGCATGTGTAAGTAAGCTGGTAGGATCCCGTAGCTTCCCGTTGTTGAACCTTTAGCCATGTCCACTGCCAATTCTCTGGCTCGCCAGGCCTTCCAATAAGACACGTTGACACTGTACTCGTCCATCAAAGCTCGTTGGATGCCTATTGGATTCGGTCCTAGTGCTGCCCCGGCGTACTTGGCCTTCATGATCTGCGAGATGACGGAGGTGGTTGCTTGTCGCTGGTATTGACTTCTCACTTCCACTGGGCAGTTATGTTCTAACATAGCGGTCCGCAACTCAAAGTATTCTGTGTCTTCTAGGCGGACACAGTAAACTCTCCATGGGCAAGCGTCGGAGACGCACCGTACAATGACTACATCGTTTGTTGTGCGGTCGTTACGGTAACTGAACCTTCTGTTGATGGCATGGACGGCTATTTTAACCTTGCAGTCATCTCGGTTCTTGAAAACCCTACCAACGAATAGCTCGTCCCCTTCGTAGTCCACATCTAGGACGACCAGTCTTGTTCTTTCCCCACCTGTATATAAATGAAGCCCCATTTAGTTAAATAACTTTGTACATATAAAACGTAATATGTTATAAATAAACTTAGACACTCATTATTTGAAGTAGTAAACATTACCCTCTTCGTCAGTGTCATCAATAACCGGCGCTGCGTCACGTGCAAATGTGTGCTCTGGTATCTCAAGCAGCTGCAACATGGTTGACATAGGCGTCGCCGGCGGGTGGTTGATGGTGGCGTTAGGGAGGTCTTGCTCACCTGTCCATTAGGATGCATGGTTCAGTATTAAATATGTAGCTATGTGTTGTAGATTTAGAACATACCAGCCCCACGTGTTGGTGTAACATTTTCTTGCATTCCTGCTTGAACCCCGGCAGTAGTATCTTCCTCTGCCGCCGTAACTTGACCCCCGCTAGTGCTTCCAGCTGAGCATATAAATCGCTGACCAAGTTACATATCCACATATATTTTTAAATAATTATAATACTACATAACACCTATTTCCCTCACCTTTCTCGAATTCAGAGAACAAATCTCTCGTCAGGCGAGTCACGCGAAGGTCGTGGTCGTCCGTCGATGAGCTACTCTCTGGGTTCAACACCGTCACCGGGGATCTCCCTGCTTCGTTAGCGTTGGTATTAGATTTATAGTATCTCAAGGCTGCGGAGAGGGTTGCAAATCCACCTGCGGCGTAAGTATGGCCCACCCAGCCTAAGGGTCCATCATCACTGTCCGCGACTTGCTCTGGCGGAACCTGTGTGCAGATGATGCTGTCTCCCACGGCCTTGTCTGCTCGCCGCCTCCTTTCCTTCTCAACGTCGTCTTTGCTCATGACTTCAGCAAACGCGAACTCGTCTAGAATCGGTACCACCTTAAACCCATCTATTTCCAGGGTCATCGTCAGATCCATTGGGACTACGTAAAGCTTCATCTCGTGGATATCCACACGCATTGCGAGGAACATGTCCATATCGTCGTCAGTCGCAATGTGGATTGGGACCGGTTTAACAGCTCCGTCAACGTCCATCCACTCCGGCATCTCGTATGTCAGCTCTACCTTCCCACGAGTCCGGTCTATGCCCATCTCGCCGAGCACTTTTTCTTTAGCAGCCGCCAAACCGTCGCCTTCTCTGAACCGTATGTGTTTGTGCTCCTTTCGTGGTAACGGTTTGAATCTCCATACACTGCCGTCATCTTTCTCCCAGTTACCAAGCTCCACACGTACCATGTCGCTTATCAGCTCGTTAGTAACCTCCATCGCAATTCCTGCTTGAGCCACGCGAATTACAAACCTAGTTAGTATATAGTTTAATGCTTTTTCAACTTTGTTTAAAAAAACGTTAACCTTTTGTTTACCTTTTAACTCCAGATGTGAAGCAGAAGTTTTTTTTCTTGAACTCTATTTTTTTTGTTTTTTTTTTTCTTTACTTGACTCTACGTTTTAACTCTCCCATCCACCCCCTATTTATTAGGTCTCCACAACGTGCCTTACCACTTTAAAATTGCAAATCCCGCCTAAATCTTCGTTTTAAATTTCGCCGATATCTCCCAAATCAAGCCATTAAATGTGCGTCGCATCATTCCTTTTGCAGCCGAATAACACTCACTTCCTCCGCAGTTCATTTAATGCATGTCAGAATGTGTTTCCGCCCGTTCGAAGAGGCAACGAAACTACCCCCACGCGCATGTTGACGGTGATGTAAGGTTTTTTTGTAATTAATTCAATCCCCGAGCCTCTTTAGCAAGTTTTTTTTAGCATTGTCTTGGACGTCCAACGCTATTGTCTATTAGCTAATTTACTCTCCCATTTCTACCTCTGCGCTAATTCTCTCTACTTTAATTGGTGACAGTTTTTTCCATTAAAGTTTTCATTTTTTTGGTTTTTTGTTGATGGAAAAAGTAAAGATCCAACGGCTGTAGAAGAACGGTGCAACAAGATTTGAATACAGAGATGCGTTTGAAGTTTGTTTAGTTTTAAAATAGAAAAAAATCTCTCTCTCTCTCTCTCCCTTGGTGGACACTGGAACTAACACCACCGATGCTCTTCACTCTATTATAGAGAGACTGCAAATGGAAAGCATCTTTAGCTAATCACGGTAATGTTGTCTTCTTTTTAGTTTGTGTCGGAATCAGACAAGAGATCCGACCAGTTGCTCTAATTTGAGACCTACATTTGTCAAAATAGTTGGAGTACTGTAGAGTTGTGTTGAATTAACAAAATTCGAGGATCTTTGATTTTTTGTTTGATTCTTTACTGTTGATTTTGAGATCAGGTAGTGTGGATTTGAGATCAGGTTCATTTACTTGCAAGGTGAGTTCCAGATCTGGTTTCGGTAATTTTCATTTCTGGAGTTCTTTTACGGTCTGCAATTTTGGAGATTTTAGGGTAATCATTGGTTAATGATTGTGATTTACTACTATTGAATCTTATTATTATAAAAACAATCCAAATCTTTAGCTCATGTACTCATCATGAAAGAATGATTGTATGTTTAATTTCCTTAAGTTTGTAGCAGACAGTGATCTTTATATAGTCTTTATATCCATTGAACTAAGTATGATGAATCCTGTAACAAAGATCTTATGTATCATCTCTTTAATGTCTAGCTCTAGATGGAACCAATATATAAAGAAAAAATATGAAAATCCTAATCTTTGGTAAGCAAGTGTTGTGTTATAGTCTTGTGTTATTGCTTGAGCATAATGTTTTGTGATTGCTCGGACAAATGCAGGTGTTTTGAGATTTGGTTGTGGACATCATGGGAAAGCCTGCAAGGTGGTTAAAAAGTGTATTACTTGGAAAGAAACCATCTAAATCTAGTGGTTCTAAAGAGAAAGAGGTAACACTTTTTTTCTTTCAAAAATGTTGTATGATGAAACATGGATTTTCTGATTTGTTTAGTTAAATTTTTGTGGTCGAGTACAGTAATGGTTTGCCGTAAAAGGATTAAAATTTCTTAATGTGATTACATGACATGCCTCTTTTACTAGTTTATTCACTTTCAATATATAGCAATGTTTTCCAGGATTGGTCACGACTCACGACAATTTTGTTCTGTCTACTATTGTCTCTGGTGTCACTTTCTGATTTCATTTCTCTTTGTTGTCTGTTTCTAATGTTTACAACAATTCAATGGTTATCACGTGCAGAGAATTGTGAATGGAAAAGAAGTAGTGGTTATTTCAAAGATTGAAGAATCCGATGTTGTTTCAGATCTTCCATCCATTGGAAATGCAGCAGTTTACACCAGTGGAATGGTAGAGACACAGAATCTAGAACATGAAGATGTTTCAGACAACGAGATACAAGTTTCTGAAGTTCAACCAACAGATTCTCAAGATGCTGCTTCTGTTCCTGATGATTCGCTATCCGAATCAGAGAAAATTCAACAAGAGATTGCAGCAGTTACCGTGCAGGCTGCGTATAGAGGCTACTTGGTAATAATTTTAAGCTTCTGTACTAAATATAGACATGGTTCTTGATTTGCAGTTGTAGATGTTTTTCCTTTACTCTTTTTGTATTCTGATATGAGTTCTTTATGTGAAGGCTCGACGTGCTTTCAAGATATTGAAAGGTATAATAAGGCTACAAGCACTTATCCGTGGTCATATGGTTAGGAGGCAAGCTGTTTCGACTCTGTGCTGTGTTATGGGAATTGTCAGATTGCAAGCACTTGCTCGAGGAAGAGAGATCAGACATTCTGACATTGGAGTTGAAGTTCAGAGGAAATGCCGGTTGTATCATCAGCCTTTAGTAAATGCTCATCCACCGCTTCTCTGTGATTTCGGTTTTTTGGCTGAATAGCTTTTAACTTTGAATTTTTTTGTCTTATCAGGAGAATAAAGCAAACTCTGTTGTTGATACACATACTTACCTGGGAATCAAGAAGCTAACAGCAAATGCTTTTGCTCAGAAGGTATACTTGTTTCTGCTATTACTATATTTGAGAAGTTGAGAAGATCATGGTGGATGATTCTGTTGCCTTTTTTTCTTATCAGCTTCTAGCTTCATCGCCAAACGTGATGCCGTTGTCCCTTGACAATGATTCTTCCAATTCAATCTGGTTAGAGAACTGGTCAGCTTCTTGCTTCTGGAAACCAGTTCCTCAGCCAAAGAAAGTATCAGTCAGAAAAACTCAGAAGAAGTTTGCCAGTAATTCTCAGATAGTCGAGGCTGAGTTTGCTAGACCAAAGAAGAGCGTTCGCAAAGTCCCTACTTCAAATCTCGATAATTCCTCGGTGGCACAGGCATCATTTGAGTTTGAGAAACCCAAACGCAGCTTCCGCAAGGTTTCAACAAGCCAATCTGTAGAACCTCTACCGGCTATGGACAATTCTCAAGTTGATCTAGAAAAAGTGAAACGCGGCTTGAGGAAAGTACATAATCCCGTAGTTGAGAACTCTATCCAACCTCAAGTGGTTCCACAGATTGCAGTTGAAAAGCCAAATGCTGGTTTAGAAGAATCTGCGAATGCCTTTGATGGAGAGAAAGAAGATGAAGTGGCTGAGACAGTGGTGGAACAACCTGAGGAGTTGATACAAACTCATAAACCATTGGGAAACAATGAAGCACTTGATTCCACTTTGGTCAACCAAATCGAAGAGAGTGAAGAAACTGTAATGGCTGAGGAAAAGGAGGATTTAAAAGAAGAGAGAACTCCCAAACAAAACCATAAGGAAAATTCAGCTGGCAAGGAGAATCAGAAATCCGGGAAAAAGGCTTCTTCGGTTACCACTACTCAAACAGCCGAGTGTCAAGAGAGTGGTAATGGTAATCAGACTAGTAGCGCGGGAATACCGAGCTATATGCAGGCGACTAAATCCGCTAAAGCAAAGCTGAGGCTACAAGGCTCTTCTTCACCTAGGCAACTAGGGACTACTGAGAAAGCCAGTAGACGTTACTCTCTACCATCATCAGGTAATAGTGCAAGAGTCACTTCTCATTCTCCTAAAACAAGAGTCTCACACTCGGGTGGCAAAAACGGGAATAAGACAGAGAAACCTCTTCTTTCGTCCCGAGAAGGAAACGGTAAGTGTCCTAAGCGAAACAAGATTTGTCACAATAATTATCTTATGGAAATTTTCTCATCTAACTGTTCTTGTATTGGTTTTGGTTTTGCAGGGAAGACAACTCCGGTGGAGTGGAAGAGATGACTGATCATCTAGTAAAGAAAAAGCTGAGCTCTTTTGAGGTTTCTAAACTACAATATTTTACCATCTATCTATATAGTTAGTGTATGTTTGTCTTTGTCCTGGTGTTTGTCTTTGTGTCATGAGTCGAGAATGTACATCATAATAGGGATTTTTTCTTGTGTGTGTGTGGAATCTTCATTTTCCGTTGTAATCCTACATTACTTCTATTACCTACAAAAATAAAGTAAAACAACTTTAGATGTTTATGGGATACGTAATGAACAAATAATTCTGAAGTTCCTCATATGTTGTGATAGAGATCCTCACCTTTTCTTAAAAGAAACATGAAGTTTAGCTTTTCTAACAAGTTGAACTAAATATTTTTAAATTTATTGAATGGATATATAGCCCAAGGATCCTAAGTTTGAATGAATGATTAAGGAGGGAAAGGATCATAAGTAATTAAAGGAAAAAACAAAATAGAAAAGCATAAAGGATATTATATTGAGCTCAAAGAAGCAAGACTGAATTTCATTGCATGGAAAAAAGAGCTTGAAATTACAAAAGTTGAAATTAACACAAGCTTTCGAACCAGCTTCTCCTTCATTTAATTTTTATTCTTTTTGAATAAACACTTTTTCCCTCTTTAAAGAGGGCGTTGCTTCTTCTTGAATATCGATTTTTATCAAGCCAAACCTTCTTCTTCGCATATTTACTATACTGTACTTTCTTGGATTTACTATCATTTCTTGGACTTAGTTTTGCTTCTCTTAGCATAACTATATCTTATTATTTATATTTGTTACATAACATGATTTTCATCTATATTTTGACAGATTTTTGTTTACTTAATCAATTTGTTGCTTCTTTTAAAAATTTCTATGTATAAACATTTAGACACACACACATATATATATATATATATATATATATATATATATATATATAACGGCTGTCCATGTCAGGAGAAAGGGAATGTTCCAAAGATATCACTAAGCTCTTTGGTGATTCCATTTGAAAGGGACATTGTGTGTGAAGAACAATCCCCAAAAAGCAACACAAGACTACACCTATGAGACTATATGTGTACGTATGTATTATCATTCACCTTATCCAATAAGCAGAAAATGTAGACATATATATAGATAAAAAATAAAATGTATATGTGAATGTTCAAAATAGAAAAAGTTTGAAATGAAAAAAAGAAGAAAAAAGAGAGAGAGATATGCTTAGCTTCCCAAGAACAGAGTTCCAAGTGTAAACCCTTTTTTGGTTCAAACTTGTCAGAAGAGAGCTCTTCTAAAACCAGCCTTTATATATGCTTCCTTCTTACCAATCTTCTCTCCATTCCATTCCCAAAAAGAGAGAGAGAGAGACACACAATTCTCTCTTCTTCTTTAACCTTTTTCCAGTTATATAATCTCTCAAGTTGTACTTTGAGAAACAAAACATTATAGCTAGTATCTACATATACTGTCAAATTTCTTCAAAATGGGGGTTTCAATTCGTAATAGACGAATGGTTCTTCTTCTTCTTCTCATCGCGTTTTCGGTACTTCAAACGAATAAGGTTTCGGGTCTAAGATGGGACAGAAACATGAGGCTGCAGCTTCTGTTTGTTCATCCTTTGCGTGTTCTTGAAGAGTCAGAGTTAGAGCCCTCTTCATCATCAAAGGAAGGAAATGTAGATACAAATGGAGATTTGGCGCCTTCTCCTTTCGTTATGTCTGATCCTAATCAATCTGTAAAAAGAATGATTGGAAGAGGATCTGATCCTATACACAACAAATACAACAAATGCTGACATTTTTACTACAAAAAAAAAAGAGAGGTAATGTTTTGTTTTTCCAAGTAAAGCTAAGGCTATACTCTATTTATGCAGTGTCAGTAACTCTATGTTCTTTCAGTACTCTGTTTTATGAAGAAGGTTAATAATATTTGTCTCTTAATCCTTCATGGGATTAAGTTTACATTTTATATCATTGTTCTTTAAAACATGTCATGCATTATATATTTGTTTGATACATCATTATATGAATATACAAGACTTCATTTGTTCTTTGTGTGATTCTCTCTGTTTCGGATTGAATTGGTTCTGATTAATCAGATTATTACCAGTATAATGTATAAACATCAAGCATAGATGAATTTTTGAGATAGCCGGAAAAAAAAAAGATGGATCTTCTGAGATCTTTTTCGATAAACAAAATTCTTCAAGAGTTTTGGTTCTTGAGCCCAAATCCAGAAAAACTGGGCTTTAAATTTGAAATAAGCCCATTAAAAACTCGTAGGAGTACGTAGTTGATTGATTTTTGTCATGCATGTTTTAAATAATGAGAAATCTGTACGTTTCCGGTTTCTCAGAGAGATTTTCTACTTTTTCAAAAATAATTCTAAAACAACATTGATATTTTAGACGATTACACGATATAATTGTTTACGTAAGATTTCTCTTGTTAATACAAGTCACAAACTATGCCTCTCTTTTTTTTGGTGTGAAAGAGGAAGATTTTGTCTCCCGTTTTATTAATATGAAATTACAAATTACAAATTACATTCGGACATATCTCGAACTTGAAAGTCCAATAGCATTTTCGAACATAATCGAACTAACAAACTCCGGTGTAAAATCCAACGTATAGTTAGCTAATCTGTCTGGATGCTTATATACACCACAAACTATACATTTATGATGCGAGTAGTACTAATATTTATGCTGCCTGAGTCCCAACGTCTAATTATTTTATATACACTCCTTGAACAAGTTCAAGAATTTTGCAAATATGGCATGCTGAATTTTCTCATCACGTTTTCGATTTCATTCAATCAAACTATGATGAAAATGGATTATGAAATTTGGAGGGAAGTAAACAGACATGAACAAATAAATAAATAAAAGTAGTTGGAAAAAAGTGGAGTAGATTCAACACTTCCAACTATAATAATTTATGTAAGTCATAGTTTGGCAATCATTTTGGGCCCTTTCTCTTGTTGGTTCCTTAATTTGTTTTTGTATCTCTGCCACTCATTTTTTTAGAATTTTTGTTTAAATATAATAACAAATCTTATTCACGATTATATATTTTACTCTTAATTAAGTAACATTTTCATCAGTGTGACCCGGTTTCAAATCCGTAGTTTTACAATGTATATGTGATTTAACTATTGTAAATCCAGTATGATGATCAGTGTATGTTATATAAACTAATTCAAATGATTTGGGGTTATAAGATTCTAGGTTGGCAACTTCACGAGTAGGGCACGGTTGGTGAGAAACAAAGAGTCTTTTACAGACAAGTATTTAAAAACATCCCATCTCTCTCTGACTCTCTCTATATTCCAAAATGTTATAAACGCGGTCTTAACTACTTTGTAGTAGTATATGTTTGAACGAATATCTGCTATACTGTTGTTTTCGATCATTTTTAATTAACACTATATGGTTCTGAGAGGTGTCATTAACATTACAAACTTAATTACCTACTTATGGGAGATGGCAAAAATTTTGAACTCGTCAAGAGATTGAATTGAACAAAAGAACTGATCACCGTGCATGTCTTCATTTTCTACTTGACAAAACAAACTTCTTGAAATTTGCCCGTGATCTTCTTCTTTTAATTTCCTAATGATCAAAGAAATTTTTATTTTTCAGTTTACAAGTATACTTTCTGACATACTGACATAGTTTTTGTTTGTCAAGATGTTCATCAAGTCGTAAAAGTGGAGTAAATGATTTTTGATATTTTTTATTGTTCTTCACTTCTTCTTTCTCTAAATCGGAATTTTTTTTGGAGAGATTTGATTTGTTATGCTGATATATTTCATAGAATTGTACATAACCGTCGAAACTTCATAATTCAAAAACCCGTCTTAACTCTTAAATTAAGCACTGTCGATGACTCGATGTAGTCTACATGATAATAATATATATACAGAAAATAATTTTGATCATTTTAATTTAGGGCAAAAACTAATTTATAATCAAATCGCATGGGGCATTTGAGTATTTGACGTATTCTTTTGTGTAGCAATTGGGATCCACATTTGTTGTTTCACGTTATAAGTGGTCAATTGACTAATTAGCCAGTATGCAAAAATAAAAAATGTGTCAATAAGCGATTTAGGTTAAAAATAAAATAGTACTAAAACTTAAAACAACAAGCGAATTATAAATATAAAAATCAAATAGTTTCACTAAAATTGAATGTATAGTCTTACATATAGCTGCCAACCAAATTTTTTTATATAAAATATATATAGTTATATAGATATATATATATATATATATATATATATATTTATTTATTTATAGTTATAGGACATAAATGGAAGTCCATTATGATAATAAAAAAAATGTGATTGATAATGCGATTATACTCCAACAATGTGTCAGTGTCGATTGCTTGTGGGAGCATGTCCCTTGGAGTGACTCGGATACGCATTTATTTTGTTTATTCAATTATTTATTTACTTCATGAGCCACTAGTGGCTACCAATTAATTGGTTTTATTAATCAATTATTTTTCCAATGAACTAAGTGATTTATGCGAAGCAATTGCACGTGAAAACAACGGTACAAATAAGGATCATTGCTGAGTTTTATGTTTTCAAATTTGGAAGATACTTGAAAATAAAATGAACGTTAAATTTGTAATTTAAATTATAAATTAAATAGTATTATATTTAAAGTAGATCGCTCGTATCAAATTTAAGAAATTTAATAACATTTTTTATATATAGATAATAGTATATATCTATTTAAAAGTCGGTTAAAAATATCTTCGAATTTATTTTGCTCGATTCTAAGTTCTAACTATCAAAGAAAAAGGTTTAGATATACTAGATGTCATTTGCTAAAAAAAAAAAAGTATACTAGATGTCTAGATCACTAGCTAGCTAGTATAATCTTATAATCTAAATCATTTGTTGTACTTCTTTCATGTTACGAAACATATTTTCACCCTTATAAACCTAATTACATGTCGAAGTCTTTGTCTTACCAAATATAGATAAATATCATTTCACAATGACTTCTTTTTCTGAAGCGACTTTTTTTTCAAATGCTTAGGCATATAATAATTTTAACAAATGCTTCGGCAAATCCGTCTATAGCGTTGAGATATATAGTCAACACTCAACAACCCTATTTATATATTAAGGGCTACAAAGGGGCATTTCATTTGCAAGTACCCTTTTACTTCGTATCCCAAAAGAGTCTTTGATATTTTCCCCCTCAAAACGAGGTAATCGGAAAAACAAATTAGGGTTTTTTTTGGGAGATCAGTTTACGAAGAAGATGAAGAAGAGGCAAGTGGTAATAAAACAGAGAAAAAGCTCTTACACTATGACTTCTTCTTCAAGCAACGTCCGTTACGTTGAGTGTCAGAAGAATCATGCCGCTAATATCGGCGGCTACGCTGTTGACGGTTGCCGGGAGTTTATGGCAAGCGGCGGTGATGACGCTTTGACGTGTGCTGCTTGTGGCTGTCACCGGAATTTTCACCGGAGGGAAGTTGATACGGAGGTTGTTTGTGAGAATTCTCCTCCGAATGCAAACAACTAATTAACGAAGATGGAAAAAAAAAGAAAGAAAAGCCAAGAAAGGTAACTAAAAAACAAAGAAAAAAGGAATCTGCTTTGGATTTGATCTATTGATTTATATTAGATCGAGATGTATTTATGTATGTATATGGTTATTGATGTATATTCAACTACTTACATTAACGCCGATCTATATGATAAATGATTTTTCAATCTTTATGTGATGGAGTGTTGCATACTTCAAATCTATGTGTGTCTATATTTAAGAATACAATTTTTTGTTTTTTTTTTTGTTTGGGGGATCTTGCTTTTGATTGTTTTAATAACCGAGAAGTGTTAAAGCATATTTAAGAAATATAATTGTCGATTTAGAATAGAATGAGCCGTAGATAATTATGGTGACGAGTTCTAAAGACGTACATAAACCAGTAACATTCCGTATAACGCAAGAGTCTCCAGTTCCAGTCTAAACTAATCTTTCTTCATTGAGCTAATCACATTTGGACGTCTATATATATCTGTATGCTAATGTTTTAGACTGGATACAAAAATAAATATATTTCTTATTTGAAAGAGATGAATCATTGGGAGCACTTGCGATCTCTTTCAAATTTCAATGCTTATTTTTATGTATTAATATATTTTGATGTATATCTATATCGCACATGTAGAGTACGAAGCATATGGTCAATGACAGCAACAGAAAATGGGGATATACAGACTTATAAATGGAAAACTCACATTAATAAGCAAGTTAAATCTTTGTTCTTATTCTTATATTGACTTATAGCTAGATAGGTGAGTTCCTTGACAAACAAAAAAAAAAAGCTAGATAGGTGAGTTTTGTTGAAAATAAGTAGTTAGAAAGATTATTTTATTGTAAAATAAAATTTGGATCTTAGCTTTTTATTACGTAAAAATAAAAGTATAAGTAATGCATACAAGTACCAATAATCATATGTTTCTTCCCTTTGTCTCTTTCTGTTGAATATTCGACCCACCAGTATACATACAAAAGATTCCGATAAAATGTTCAACACATATTAAAACTATAAAGTTTCATGTACATATGAAAATTTAAATCAAAGTAAATTAATGTTATGAAGAAAATATTATTAAAATTGATGACTTTATCCTTGTCAAAAAAACAAAAATTATTAACTCGAGTTCATGTACATATTAAAATAAATAAAGCCAGAAGTCATGTGTCAAAACATTTCTTATATATCTAATTAATAGACGGTCTTGTCGTTATCATTCTTTTTTGTTGCAAGAAAAGATCATGATGGAGTTTTTTTTTGTTATATTTGTGTTAAAGTAATTTAATTTACAACATAGCGGCCCACATTTCAAATCATGTTATCAAATCGTTTAGGTTCATGTTTTTCAATTCGCTTCTATTTATAACAAAGGTTTGAAGCCATTAAAATAATATCATAAAGCAATATAATACCACCAAAAACATATTGGCTACTTTTGCTCTCATCAAAGTGGCCACTCGAATTTGTTGGAAAAGACCACTGTAGTTTTTCTTATTGTAATATAAAAACTCAAGATAATTACTCTTTTGGAGCATACATATTGTGATTTTGTGATTATTTTAGACAATTTCTTTTAACATAAGTAAGCTAGTAACATTTGACCAAAAAAAAAAAAAAGTAAGCTAGTAACTAAAATAGGCCAATGACTAGAAAGAGAGTTGGGCCACATATATATCCACCACCTTCGGCATAACAAAATTGTTTTCGAACCCACGACCATTAACACCATTTTTTTTTTTTTTTTTTTTTTTTTTTTTTAACACCATTTTTTATGAACTCAGGCTTCTAAGTTCTAACATTACTTGGCTCTAAAGTTTTCTAGAGCAAATGCTGATTTTCTTGAGGTTCCAAAGACCCCCAGAAAAAGAGAGAGAACACAAAAAAAAGGAAAAAAGAGAGTACATAACCTAGTGGTTGAGAACTGATTTGCTTTATTTCTCACTAAGTACACAACCTAGTGGCTAGTAGTAAGTTTATACCCAAACAAATAAATTTCACCATTTCACTGAACATTTTGCCTTCCCTTGATGATTTGCTTTAGTGTTGGAAGCCAAAAACTGCACTCATCCCATTCGGTGTTTGTCATAGCCACCTGTTCACCAATAATAACAAATAACAAACCAAACTCTTATTTATTCGAACATTTTTAAATACAATTATGCAATATTACTAAAGATTCATAATTATATCATTTTTTACCTGTATCTGTAAAGCTGCACCAAGATCATAATTGTCCAAAGCTTGACAGAGCTGAGTGAGTTTTTCAGCAGCGTTCTTTGAGATGTCTCCACTATTTAGTTTCAAAAACAGAGCTCCTAGCTTTCTTGAGTTATCTTCTACCTTACGTTTCTCGGCAGGAGTAGCTCTTGAGTAACCTCCTAATGGTTCAAATGTCTCTTTAAATAGCCTTGTCAATGTAGCCACGATAGGCTTATGGTGGGCTGGATCATTCCATAATATCATGAAGAAAATACTTATGAGTTTAGTTAAACTTATATATAATAAATAAACCACATCTAATGATGCTGACAAAAGTGTGTTTTCTGCTTTAATGTTATACAATGCCAATACCTGGTACATTGGAAGTATCTGCGGTCTGAACAGTTGGTGGTGGAGCTACAGGTGCTGGTTGCACTGCTACCTGGTGTGTTGGAGTCATAGGTCCCATTGGTGGAGCAACAGTTTGGAGAATCTTGGAGTTAATATATGGACCAACTTGTGAAGGAATGGATCGATGTGAGCCAGGACCGGGTGGTGCATTGTAAGCTGGGTCAGCGGATCGCTGGAGGCAGAGATTTTTTGGTTAGTCAAAAGCTAAAATGTGGACACAATAAACTAAATACAATGGAGACGGAAGTGAATCATATACATTAAACGAATAAGAATCCATGATTGGTTGCTGATATTGTGATGCAGCGAGATATTTGGAAATATTCCAAATATCTATTATTTATCATATTTTAATTAATTAATAATTATTGTTCTAGAATATTCTATGATTTAGGGTTTCGAGCTTTTATTATAAATAGCCGTCTTAGGCTTCTTGTATTCGATGGTTGTTTTTGATTAATAAATTAAAGAGCTTTTGATAAGCACTGAGAAGAGTATTCTCAAACGAAGTCTTTGAAGTCTTTGTTTATCGTGAATCCATTGATCTCCGATAACATTAGAATTCCGAGCTACGATTGTCCTGCTTGAGATCCATTGATACTCAAGATTACTTTCGTAATCTATCCCTAGAAGCTTCCGCTACGTCAGTTGGTATCAGAGCAGTCCTTTGATTTCTTAATCAAAGCTCGATTCTGTTTGTCATGAGGTATGGTAGCATCTATCCTATCACAGGCGAAAGTCTGTTTGTTGAGAGAAAAGAAAACCATGAGATCTACAGAGAAATCTATGGTGATCCCATCTATGATATCTACGAAGATGATGTCATAGTTATTGATTTTGTTTTCCCTGAAGATGCTTTCGAGAATCTGACTCGTGCAAAATCCGGGCGAAATCAAATCTGTGCAAAATTAGGGTTTCCTGCAGAAATCATGAAAAATCAGACTTGTGCAAAATTCGTGTTTTCTGCAGAAGATATGGAAAGTCTGATCTGTGCAAATTTCGTGCAATATCCGACTGGTGCAATAATTGGAAAAGAAAAAATTTGTGCAAATTTCGGGTCAGATCCGGTTCGTGCAAATTTCGGGCAGAATCAAAAGTTGGAGATAAAGACGGATCTTCGAAGATCTCCTATGCTGAAAACCCTGCTGAAGATTCGAGGACGAATCTTTCTTGGTCGGCGGGAGCTGATGCAGCGCAGAAACAAGATTCGAGGACGAATCTTTTCTTGGCCGGCGAGACCTGATGCAGCGAGATATTTGGAAATATTCCAAATATCTATTATTTATCATATTTTAATTAATTAATAATTATTGTTCTAGAATATTCTATGATTTAGGGTTTCGAGCTTTTATTATAAATAGCCGTCTTAGGCTTCTTGTATTCGATGGTTGTTTTTGATTAATAAATTAAAGAGCTTTTGATAAGCACTGAGAAGAGTATTCTCAAACGAAGTCTTTGAAGTCTTTGTTTATCGTGAATCCATTGATCTCCGATAACATTAGAATTCCGAGCTACGATTGTCCTGCTTGAGATCCATTGATACTCAAGATTACTTTCGTAATCTATCCCTAGAAGCTTCCGCTACGTCATATTGGCCCGCGTTCTTTAGTTCTCGAGGAGGATTCAAAGGAACAAAAGTAGTTCTTGATGGCTGAGCATTGCTTAATGGAGCTGGAGGAAAAGATTTCTGCAGGAAAAAATCATAGTAATTAAGGTTTGGTCCAAGAAAGTGATAGCTTTTATAACAACATGATATGAAGAAGAATAGCAGAGTTTGTTCCAAGTCAAACAACAGACCTCTTGATATGGCTTGGAAATTTCAGGCTGAGTGTTTTTTGAAGCAGAAGTGTTAGCAGCTTCTGCAAGAAACAATATCAAACAATTTAGCATATATCAGAATGATAACTTTCTTAATATTCTTATAAAGCAGACTAATCACAACATAGCTGAATACATACCAGGTTCTGCATACAGAGCAATCTGATTACGCAAGATTGAAAGTTCGGGTGAGAAATCACCAGACTCAAGAAATTTTAAGAACTTCATAGCGGTTGCAAGAAGTCCTTGACTGGCCAATATCTCAGCATAACTCTCAAAGAGTTTACGTAGAGACACACTAAATCTCTTGTTGCCAGTTGCCAAAGCAAGGACAACAGTCCTCTCCATAAGATCCTATTTCACAGAAAAAAAAAAAAGTTTGAGCAGAGAAGTACATTTTAATATATATGAAAGATATAGAATTCCATACGCACTTGAACACACTCAGCATAAGATTTTCCGGCACTTTCTTTTTCAAGGCTCCTTGACCAAATATCGACTGTGTTGTCGATATTGCCTGCGCAAATGTAACACAGAGTTGCAGCCAAAGTAAAACCAGCATCCATCAAATTTGAGGCGAGAGCATCACAGAGGCTTATCCATTCATCTCCTTCTGCAAACTGTTTTTCAGTACATTCCATTAGTGTAGTTAGTGACATCAAACGATATAGGAGCAAGTATTTTAACTTCATCAAGAAAATAACTTACAGTGCAGATGAGAGCAAGTGTTTCTTTCCAGAATTTAGGTGGTCTTGTATGAACAAAGGTCATTAAATCATTGTTCATCATTGCAGAAACAACCTGAAACAGATTAATATAGTAATTGTCCAATTTTTGCAAACCAACAAGAATATAAGATGGCACTTACAAACATATCAAGTAAAGTTGATATACCTTCATGTAAGGTACATTGCTCATCCTCATATATTTATCGCGAGTACTCTCCCACAATTCTGTACCACCAACATGAGCAATAACTAAAGCATCAGCCATCTTATTTGCAGATAAACACTGAGCCACTGCTCCTTTGTAATCTCCCACAACCAATGAACGTTGGATGGCATCGTCAAATGTTGGATCAGAGCTCTCTCCTTCTGGTTCTGGCATTTGCTTAGTTTCTTCCACGTTTGTAGAAGAACATGTAGCATGAGGCTCATTAACAGTTTGATCGTTTTCCTCAGAAGGTAAACTAAAGCCAAGATGGGTACGCAACTTCGTCTTAGCGTTCCCATCTTCTTCAAGCATGATTTTCAGCAATCCCCATGTTTCCTTCTCTTCCTCAGATCTGCAGAAACAGTGTATTGAAACAGAGAAGAAAATTTTAAGTTTGTGTTAGTTATCTAAGGATGATTATATTTGATAATTTTCAGTCACAGTAAGACTTACTCGGCCTCTTCTGTTTTCTTCTCGCACAAACCCCTAAGTGAAGTCTTCTCTCCATTTTCTAATGCAGCTTCAAATTTAGAAATTCGATTCACCAAACTTTGTTCTGTGGCCAGGCTATGCAGAAAAACCTGACAAATGGACATAAGAGTCAATGAACTAAATAAAAAAGAACATAAAACAATCTAAAACCACACCTCAGATGCCTCAGGGAGATTTTTGTTGAACGAAATAAGCTTTCCTCCAAATCCAAAAGATGCACCAACAGGGCGTTTCCACCATTTTGGTGCTGTTAAAGGATCTGCAACAAGATGATGGAATAAGAAGTGATGTTGGGGGTTCTTTGATGCTCCCAGCAAAGCAATGATTCAACCATATTGTTCTTGAAGGACATTACCTGAATCTAGATTTTTCTCCACAGTACAATAGCTGTTGCAACCCTACATTGATGCATACTTTCATGAGTTTATTTTCATTTTATTTATATATATGGGTGGGTGGGAAACTAACAAGAATTCATAGGTTCATTTTTTTGTATACGTCATAGATTATTCACACAAATTTTAAACACCAAAACATGATTGCAAAGAGATACCTCAAGGTTATAGATGCCAATTTTCCCATCAACTGAAGATGCTGATATAACTCCAGGCATCTTTGGATACCAATGAACATCAAAATTCCAGTTTTCGCCAGTAGGTAACTCAGCTACAATCTGACATAATTGGACCAGAAATTCCATTAATGATTAATTAAGATAAAGTACTAGTTAGCTAATTAGCATATGCAAGCTATAACAACAAAGCTATATCAGATTTATTGTTTCTTCACCTTTCCTGTCTTTGTGTTCCAGCAAATAGTTCGGTTGTCTTTCGCACAGGTAAGTAGATACAAACTGTCACTTGGACACCACTCCATTGCAATCACACCTGTTGTATAACAAGTATCACCACTATGTTTCAGCCAATGCCATGACACCAACATTGGTATATTCTATAGTAAAGGAGATGGAGAAACCTCTTTGGTGGCCAACAAAAGTATGAACAGGTGATTGTAGATACCTTATGTCCAAAAGCTGAAAACAGACATCTTTAGAGACCAATAAAAAGAGCCAAATTTGATTTAACTTGAACAAACAAATTAATATGATTTTATTTACCTTCACATTTGGTGAACTATCTTCATCTGATGCAACCATTATCTGATTATAATTATCAGGATCCCATTGCAAAACTGAGCACCTAACGGTATTTTTGAAGCTGTTGATTGATAATGAACAGATCAAGTTATGATAAGAGATCACATATGATTTCTAATATAGCAAATTTAAAATAAATCAGGATCTCAATACTTACTCTGTTATAACCTTCTCGTTATTCACATCCCATATCACTAAGTAATAACAATATTCATCATACGATTAGCACAAGTTGAAAATTGTAGTTAAACCTATGTGAACAAGATCATAGAACTCTAATGCTCACCAGTAGTCCCGTTGTATGAGGTAGATGCTAAAACATGTTGAAACTCTCTATTCCATGATATAGAAGATATTTCACTTTGCATATAAGAACCAGTACCCTGCAAGAAGACATTGTATATATCTTTAAGATACTCCAAAATCAACACATAAAATTGCAGAGATCTTGAACTATATATGACATGTTAGTATGGTACCTTTAGATAATGACAAGGCTTTGAAGGATTTGTTAAATCCCAAATACAAACTGTACCATCATCAGCCCCAGAAGCAAGTTTATTTGGGGACTTGACATTAAATTCAAGACAACGAACCTATATTACAAGACAATATAAACATCAAATAACGACGTCTTGGAAGAAAAGACATAAAATTCTGAAAACGAAGATATACAAACTCACAGGTCCTTTATGTTTTGAAAGATGTCCAACATGCTCTATTTCACCAGACTTAGAACTGACCAAACATAACAAAAAAAAAAAACTTTTCATAATAGTATTAAGTGAAGAGAGGCTAATAGATTTCAATTAGGGTTAGGGAAAATCACCGAATTGGATTCCATAAACCGATGTTCCCGTCAACGAGGCCACCGGCGATGAGACCATCGGATCCAGATCCATAACTTCCCCAAGCGAGTCGATTAAACCGCTCAGAGCTTTTGCAATGACCTACTAGTTTCAGCTCACGATCGTTGGACTGAAAATCGAGTTCAAAGATCTCGAGATTAGCGGATGAGCTAAACGAAAGATCTACTACTCCGGCCATTGTTCCGGCTGCAATGAAAGGAGATTCCGGCGCAATGGCAACGAAAGCGGATCTATTAATACTCTTTATGCAATCCATTGTAGCAGTGACTCGAAGAAAACGATTTCTCAAGAGTGTGGAGGGAACAGAGAGACTTTGTAATGTGTTTTCGAATGGTGAAGACTAAGTAGGGATATATATAGTAAACGCGTAAGGGTAATTTTCGTAACATGAACCTTTGGTGCTCCGTGAACACTACCATTCACAATCCGACACGTCATCTGTGTGTTGTTTCGATTTTTTGAAAAAGACGAAAATATCCATATTTCCATTTGGATAGCAGCACAAAGCTTTGTAATAGATTTGGATGTCTTTATTCCAAAATAAAACGAAAAGAAAGAAAAAAACTCTAATGAAATTGATTATTATTTTAAATATATTTCGTTTGCTAGTTGTCAAATTAGAAATATGATCAAGCCATAAACTCATATTTTAAAATTTGAAAATAAAAATAAAAAGGGTGATATTCACTTAAATTCACAAAATTTGATATCGGAAAGAACGTTTTCTGTAGAGCCCAGTGGATCGCCTAGGGCCTCTAGGCCTTATATGTTGATCTACATGACTACATGTGCTTCTTCATTTTTGTTTCATTTCATTATGCCAAAAAAAAAAAAAAAAAAAGTAAAAAAAATTATCAGAAAATCAATAAGTTGTCAAGAGTGGGATTTGAACCCACGCCCTTTCGGACCAGTACCTGAAACTGGCGCCTTAGACCAACTCGGCCATCTTGACGTTTTGATTCATAAAATATCTATAACCTATATATTCGTTATATTATTTGGCTTAATTTCAAAAATGTAAATGTTTTGCCAAAACCCATAAATCCCTTAGTTCAGACTTCAGAGGCTCAGAGCCTGTTCAGTTCTTCGCTGATCAAACAAAATTAAGACATTGTGAACTCGAAACAAACAGAATCCAGCATAGTGCGATTTAAAAATCTAAACATTTTGATCCACATGTAGTTTGATGAAAACACAAAATAGGAAAATTTCACAGTTATATTATTTGGAGTTATATTATTCTAAAAGGACAATAATGATACTGAAAAGATATTTGACGTTGCCACTGCCAAACTTTCCAGCAGACGTCAAGGCAGTTTATACTTAAATGTGTGGATATGTATTTGTTGGAATGCAAAATCCATTACGTACCAATCTTTCTACCTATTTATTAAGTACTGTCTGGAACAATAGGCATACCAACAATAAATACCAAGCCAGTCCGATTCTCTCTTCTCCTTTGTTGTTTCATTTCCACATACCACTTGTCATAACATTGTCCACATGTTATTTTATCATGGATAATAATAAATCCACAGAATATGTAATTCGAGAAAAAGAAAATAATAATTTGATGATTGAGATAATTCGAATCAATTCGTTGATAAGGAAGAAGAAACTGTATAAAGTTGAAAGGTCCAACTCATAATGCTCATTTGGCTTTCATCTAAAGTTACTGTAACATCAGGGGATAATATGGTGATGACTACAGTCTTCAAGTGAAATGAATAGTTTAGTGGGGATACGTTAGTAGCAAACACACATTTGAGCGAAACAAATTTCCTACTGAAAAATCTCAAAACACTAAAAAGAATTTGGATAGCCTTTGTAGATATTGATTTTTTTTTTAGTTATTATATTTTTAAATTGTATAATTTATGTATCACTTTAAAAAAAGGTGAAAACATAACAATTAAATGAATGCTGTGAAAGACGCCAAGTTATCATCATATTATACTGATTGCCCCTATCACTAACATGTAACATAGAAGAAATATGAGTTGATCTATTAAGAAAAAGTTGTTGCAATTAGTATTAAAAAAATTTGAACAATCAAAATACACTATTCTAAGCCGGTTTCCATTTTTCAGCTAAAATGTTTGTAACGTGAATGAACCAAAATATCTCTACAATAATTATTTGAGAAGTAGAAACGCACCATATTGAAAGTTAGGGCATTGGAGGCCTGTGGTTAAAAGTTAGAATGATTTGTCCTAAACACCCTTAATGAATTGTTCTTCTCGAAATTTCTCCTTCTTCGTAATTAGGGGTATATAAGTCTAATCGTGTGTTGATCTCTATAATAATGTCCTAAACACCCTTAATTCGAAATTTTTTGTTCGTAATTGTTAAGGGTATATAAGTCTAATCGTGTTTTGTGATGATTAGTCTTAATCACCCTTAAATTTTTTTATTTTATAGTGTAATCGTTGGGGATACGGATGTCATAATGTCTCGACTTTAACGATTATGGAATCTTAGCTTAAATTTATTTGTTAATTTTTTGGATAATTCTATATCTTAGTAGTTAAGATTCGTTTTTGTTAGTTTTCTGATTTAGTTTCTAATTAAAAAGTTAAATTTCTTAAGATAATGATTGATGTTTGCCCTAATCTTAAAGCTATATATATTGTTGATCGGCCAGAGAATTAGGTATTATTTTTTCTGTGTCCATTAGATAGTTTTCACCGTTATGCTTTTTTTATATAGCTACGATTCTGGTCGTGTGCATATTGTTTGTTGTTTGTTTTATTTTTTGCATTAGTTCGTTGCTTTACTGTTTGCTGATTTGATTCTTTTGTTATGTATTTCAGATTTGTAGAACGTGGGAGGTTCCATCGACAAAGATTTCGGACGAAGGTGGTGTTGACGAGAACAGAACGAGGTTTGGAAAGGTATTTCTATAGATTTGTTTTGTATATTTTACATCTATTAGATAGATGGTTTTGTTTGTTTTCGTAATTTTTTTTTGGTCGTTTTGGTTTCTCTAAATCAAAATTTTTGTGTTGTTATGATTTTTGCTTTCCTTGATAATTTAAACCGTTTTATAGCAATATTAATATTTTTTACCTGTGAATTACCGCATATTGGGTATGTGGAAGCAACTGAATCTATAGATGCAAAGTTCAGATCCGTTTGCAACCGATCGACATGTGATCTTCTATCTTTCATGCACTAACAATTTGTTTTTTTTTTTTAATTATGAATTTATAATTCAGATTAGGGTTACAATATTTTCGTTACAAATCAGATGCTAGCTGGAACACCAACTTGGATGTCATCTATAAGCAGGTATTGTAGATACTTATATATCTTCATGAACAAAACATGTTAGCCTCCCTCTCTTTTTAGTCGAACATATTTGTTTAATGAATAAAAGTTTTTAAGAAAATATTACGGTTTGTTTCATCCTATATAAAAGTATTCTCTAATCTAACTATATTTTGTATTTAGTAATTTTTTCGTTTGCATATTTTGTTTACTGTCCTGTAACTCAATTATATTGTCTCCTAAATCTTTATAATTTTGTTTATTAAATTAATTATATTTTTGTTTGGTGCTACAATTATATTTTGTTCGTGCTACAATTCGTGAAACACCTCCACCACCCGTTAGGTAAAGTACAGTATTCATAGTGAGTTCCTTTGTTAATTGACTGAAAAGTATTAAACTTTGATGTGACGGTTTATTGTTTTTTCGCAGAAAACCGATACTTCAGTCTCCCTTTCAACGGAAACCTCAACGTTCAACAACCTTTTCGTTCTCATCTATCGCCACGGCACCAAAGAAAAAAGCAAGGTAAAAAACAACTTCAGCTTGAAAATGCTGTTTTGGCTTAATGTGAATACAGAACTTCTAACTGTGTGCTTGATAAACCAGATAAGCGAGCAGTATCACCACATCGGTTTCCGCTTCTAAGATCTGGTTCGGTTGCTATCCGACCATCATCAATCAGCCGGCCAACTACCCCGAGCAAGAGTAGAGTGGTATCTCCAACGCCTAAACGGGTAAGCTTCGGTTACATTTCAAACACTCACTTTTAGGCTCTATCTCTAGCGGTTCCGAACGTTTTGTAACTCAATATATTGTCTCCTAAATCTTTATAATTTTGTTTATTAAATTAATTATATTTTTGTTTGGTGCAGTGTTTAGAGATCCTTTTAAGACCATATTATAATGGAGGAATCATCGTGTAGAACGCTGGAGACTATTCGGAAACCCAAAGGTCAATTTCAGAGTAATTTGAAACCGTAATTTAGTTATTGCACGAGAGAGGAAACAAGTTTATGACATTGTCTCATAGAAGACTTGTTTGAAAAATGGTATTGATTTTTTTTTTTTTATCTTCGACAGGAGAAGGCCAGAGCAGCAAAACAAAAGTCAAACTTCATAAATAAAAACAAGAGATTTGCTTTTTTTTTATTCGCATGTATCAGGAAGACCAAACCCTCGAGAATAATTCCACTACGGAAATATCACTCCAACAAAATCGATTGTTTTCTCAACTCAGCTCTTTGATTAAAGGAGCACAAAGGTATGTGGTCAATGGAGTCTTTTATATGACATGTTCGAAAATCAGTCCTACCACTCGATCTCATATTATCTCCTGTCATTTGATTCCTCGAATGAACACCATTAACAACAGTTCCCACCTGCCAAATTTGGTTGGCCGTGCTCAAATTCAATGCAAGAGTTGCGTAGATGGTAGCTTCGACATTGATCAGAGTCTCGGAGACGCGATTCACAAGGAAGCTAAGACTACCACAAGAGTTGCGTGTCGTAGCAACTCACGGAAGATGTATAGGCCTGGCATTGGCCACTTGAGTTGGTGAATACGACGAGCTCTTGCGTCCCAACCATATGAGTACTACTTGGGTTAAGTCCACTAGCAATCCAAGAAGAAGAAGGGGTTCCATGGTGGCAAAAGGAGATGGAAACGGTACTGTTTGTTTGTTGTATGTCCAGTGTTTAGAATTTCATAAGCCTGGTCACTTTTATAGTACTCTTTGTTTGTTTTGTTTTACGTTCTTGTGCTTTATTATATATATATATATATATATATATATATATATATATATATATATACTTTTCTTATATATGTATATATGTATATTGTTCTTATAATATATATGTTGTTCTTGTGGATGTATAATTTATATTGGTGTTGCAATGTTTTCGTAACATACCACGAACTATAAGCGCCAAATACGATTTCATCGTCTAAGACGGTAAGCTCGCAACAAACTATATTTTGTTTCAAATGGTTTGGTAGCTTTCTTGCATAGTTATCAATTCTGTTGTTCCAAAATCAGTAATTAAAAAA